CTGTCTGCTCCCTTCGCTTGGTGGGCACTGGCATACTTCATGGCACCCACCCTGCCCCCCCCACCACCATCGGTGGTCGGATCTTCAGCTTTTCTGCTCCCACCCTCTGGAACTCCCTCCCAGAATCCCTCCACCTCATCCTCTCGCTCGCCTCCTTCAAAGCCCGTCTCAAGACTCCTCTTTGATCCTACTATCGGACCCGCTCCCACCCCCACCACTACCCTTCACCCCTCCTGATTCCAAACTCCAGCAAACCCTTAACTGTCCAGTGCTTTGGGATGTCCTTCTGATGTGAAAGGTACTATAGAAATGTTTTTTGTTGTTTTTGTTGAACAGGCCTTCTGTGCGTCCCTTGCCTCCACCTCACCATCAGCGGCTAAGCCTTCAGTTATTACATGCTAACTTCTGGAAATCTCGTCGCTAACTCTCCAACACGCCCCCCTCTCTAGCTTTCTTTAAATCCCACCTTAAAACCTATCTCTTCGCCTGCTCCTATGGTCAGCTTCTCCCTCCCCTTCTCCCTTGTTCAGCGTCCAACCCACCACTGTGAAGTATTCCGCGATATTATCTCATGTGAAGGGCACTCTTATAACAAGTTGTTGTTATACAATTTCAACATTGCCTCTTTGTTTTGTCAAGTTTGTCTTCTATGCCTCAATAACAACTTGCATTTATATAGAGAGTTTCATATAGATTAACATTTCAACATACTTTACATAGATGGTGCTGGACATTAAGCAGGGAATATGGGAGAGGCGGGAGATAACAAAGAATCAATATATACAGGATCTCATCAATTATATATCCTTTAACTATTTGTTGTAAGACACCACAATTTTGTTACTTCTGTGCACATTTTCCTCATCAACTACCTGTTTTAGCAGAACTATCCTGGTGATATTCAGATACTTTCCTCCTTCACTAATGCTGAGCTTATCTTATCTCATCACCATCCACGTTCAATTTCATGATCTCCATAACTCCAGATCTAAAGCTTCGCCCAAATATTCACAAACAGGATAGTAATTGTAGTCCTGTAGCTCAGTGGTTAGAGCACTCGCTTTGCAAGCGAGGCACCTGGGTTCAATTCCAGGCAGGGCGACACCTTGGGCAAGTTTCCTTACTCCACACGCCTAATAATAATCCCTCCAAAACAAAACAATAAAAAATTGGTCATTTTCAATCCACGACTGTTTGTGGGTCATTGCTGTGCGCAATCAGCTGCCACATTTGCCCACAAATATACAGTCAATTCACTTTACAGTCTATTCTGTGAAGCGCTTTGAGATGTCGAGAAAACGTGAAAAGCGCTATATCAAATGCAAGGATTACTATTATTTATTTGAGGCAGAAATTGATCAATTTAAAATACTAAAACAATTCCTTCAAATTGCATGGCTTTCCTTTGAAATACATCACTGACCCAGACTTGTTTTAGCTCATAGAAAAATTGTTGAGTTACTTTTTGAAACCATTGGTACTTTGTGTTCATCCACCACCTGTGCATACGTTTGTTCAACATATCTATCACCCGTTTGCTAAAGACATATGTATAATATTTTCTTTTTTTTGTCCTAATTTTGAAGATATGACCTCTTGTTTATGAATTTGAACCCAAATTTCTAATTGTTCATAATCGTATATTGAAAACAAAAAGTTGCAAATAGAAGGTTCTGTCGGCAAACAGATGTGCATCGCGCCGATCTGCAAAAATATTTCTCTGAGCAAACTCAGACTGAAAGAAAGCACCTCTTTTTGTACTTGTCCTTTTCTGACTTCAGGGCGGACAGCTCTTTCTGGTGTTCGTCCAGCTTTATCTTCAGGTCGCAGCGAGCTCTCAGGAATATGGCTTCGACGCGACTGCTCTCCTCCTTCTCGGCCAGTTTGAGCTCGGACAGCAGCTCCTTGTTTTTGCGCATCAGACTGAGGATGGTGTTGTTGATGTACTTGGCGAAGCGATCATTCAGGTCTTTAAAGCGTTCCTTGCCGTCCTCCAGGCCGTCATGCAGCTCCCGCTCCACCAGCTCCCCACTCTTGTCAAGGCAAGTGGCCACGGGCCTCGCACATGCCGGGTGCATGTTGCCGCGCTCGGGAGCTCTCGCCGTTGCCATTTCTTCCTCACTAATTTATTGCAAATAAGTAAAGGGAAGCTGGGTGTTGCCGGCCGGACGGCGGGTGTCCAGGGTGTGGCGGTCAGTGTCCAGGGTGTCGGTGCGGGGGCAGTGCGGGAAGCGGGTGTGGGGGTCAGGGTGTCGGTGCGGGGGCAGTGCGGGGTGTGGGGGTCAGGGTGTCGGTGCGGGGGCAGTGCGGGGTGTGGGGGTCAGGGTGTCGGTGCGGGGGCAGTGCGGGGTGTGGGGGTCAGGGTGTCGGTGCGGGGGCAGTGCGGGGTGTGGGGGTCAGGGTGTCGGTGCGGGGGCAGTGCGGGGTGTCGGTGCGGAGGCGGTGTGGGGGTCAGGGTGTCGGTGCGGGGGCGGTGTGGGGGTCAGGGTGTCGGTGCGGGGGCGGTGTGGGGGTCAGGGTGTCGGTGCGGGGGCGGTGTGGGGGTCAGGGTGTCGGTGCGGGGGCGGTGTGGGGGTCAGGGTGTCGGTGCGGGGGCAGTGCGGGCGGCCGTTATATCTACGAGGCGATTCGACCGAAAACACGCGTTCAGGCGGCGCGCGCAGCCAACGGTCACTGGAGCGCGAGGCAGTTCGTGCTCAGCACGTGAGCCCCGCCCACCCGCCGCTTTCCCGCCACTAACCCGAGAGGGCCTCAGCCCCTCAGCCATGGCGGTGCCAAGTATCTCTGCTGTGGTGGCTCTGAGTATCTCAGTAATGGCAGCATCTTCTCAATCATTGCTCTCCTCTGACTCTCAATCATAAGCTCATCTACTCAGAGGCTCCTCTCCAACAACAACAAAATTACACATGTAAAGCGCCTCTCAGGTTGGGGGATGTCCCAAGGCGCTGGACAGACAGAGCTACGGACCCGAGCTGGGGGCAGTCTTGGCATCATTTCCTCAGATATTCCATCATCTGTTCTTCAGTCATCATGACCTCACCTCGGTGATGGTTCCGCATGCTTTTAGTTTAGTTATATGCTATTGCTACATGCTATAGTGGAGTCCTGTAGCTCAGTGATTAGAGCACTCGGCTCGCAAGCGAGAGAGCCTGAGTTCAGTCCCGCTGGGGCATGTTCCTTACTCCACACGCCTCTGTTTACCCAGCAGTAAGTAGGAACCAAGTTGTTGGTGGATCGTTTTTATGGGGGGAGTAATTGCTTAAAAAAAAGTCACTCATTCCACGACTGTTTGTGGGACGCTGCTGTGCGCAATTGGCTGCCGCATTTCGCCCACAAAATATACAGTCAATTCACTTTACAGTATATTCTGTGAAGCACTTTGAGATGTCTCAAAGACGTGATAAGGCGCTATATGAAATGCAAGGCTTATTATTGCTCTCATTGCTTTCTCTATTTTGCTGATTTTCTATTCTACAAATTTCTTGGCATGTGAAGACACGGGCAGGGTCAGCAGTGAAGCTTTTCATCAATGCTGACTCCAAGAATGTTGATGGTGATTGTGCCATTGAGGGGGAGGTGGTTGGACTCTTTGTTGTAGGAGATAGTCATAGCCTGACACTTATGTGACGTGAATGTTTCCTGACACTTGTCAGCCCAAGCCTGGATATTATCCATGTCTTGCTTCATTTGGATGTCTTTCCTATGTGAAGTGTGTCATACAAGTGTAATTTGTTGTCGTTAGATGTGTTGGAATGGAGCTGAATAATCTGGAAACATCAGCCAATAGTCCCACTACCTGATCTACTCTAGGAATGAACAATAACTGCTAACTCTACCAGTGTCATCCACATCCCAAGAAAAATATCTTACAATAGAGACTTAATTGATAAGCCAGCTGAAGTTGATAGGGCAAAGGAGCTCCTCTATGTTCTGGGATAATTGTTCTATGATAACTACAACCATCAAGGTATGACTCCAGCTACTGGTGAGTTTTCTCTCTGACTCCTATTGACCTTCGATTTGCTTGGGCTCATTGGTGCCATATTTAGTCAAATGCTTTCTTGATGCCGAGAGTAGTCACTCTCACCTCCTCTGACATTCAGCTCAAGTCTATTTTTGGATCAGGGATGTGACCAGGTCTGTTGCAGCTGTGGACTGGTCATTGGATAGCAGGTGCTTCTTGATAATAATAATAAACTTTGCATTCAATATAGAGCCTTATCACATCACGGAGAAGTCTCAAAATGCTTCACGCAGTATATTGTAAAGTGGTGTGACTGCCTATGTTTTTTGGGTGAATGTGGCAGCTACCTTGGTGCACAGCAATGTCCCACAAACAGCCATGAAGTGAATGACTAATTTTATTTGCGGGATTGTTGGCCAGGACACCAGCAACAACTTTCTTCTCTTTTTAAATAGTGCCATGGGACCTGGACAGGCAGACAGGTATAGGATTAATGTCTCATTCGAAGGATGGCACCTCCAAAAATGCAACACACCCCAGCACAACATTGGAGTGTCAACATGGACTATGCAAATTCCAAGTCCGATATGGGGCTTGAACCCACAACCTTCTAACCCTGAGGTGAGAGGACATTGTTAACAATTCCATCCATCACTTTACTAATGATTGAGAGAATGCTTATAGAGTACAAATTGGTTGAGATAGGTGATTTTTCATGCCTGAGGAGTAAAGCAGTTTGGTCTGGTGCAATGACTGTAAAAGTTTGCCCGGGCCCTTTGTAGTGCACTTTAGCCATTTTCTGATGTGAGGTACACAGTGATACATAACCCACAGTCCCGAAGATCCAACAACAGGCAGTTGGCCCCAGGACTAAACTGTAGGATTGTTTAATCAAAATGTCATCGGCGGCTTCTAGGACCCAGCGGGTGGGGGCGGGGCGGGTGGGGGCGGGTGGGGGCGGGGATTGCCGAGTCTCGAGTCTCGCCTCCACCCACTGTGACTCTGATCGGCTATTTCCGCTGATCGCGGTCAGACTCCGGTTTAAGCGGCCACAGGGCGGCTGTACTGTACACTCAGGTGCCGCCTGAATGACGAGGTAAAGCGGTGTGCGGTGAGAGGGCCTCACAGGAACGGTGTGGGCAGGGGCGTGAGGGGCTGGGGGAGGGGCGGGAGGGGGCTGGGGGAGGGGCGTGAGGGGGCTGGGGGAGGGGCGGGAGGGGGCTGGGGGAGGGGCGGGAGGGGGCTGGGGGAGGGGCGTGAGGGGGCTGGGGGAGGGGCGTGAGGGGGCTGGGGGAGGGGCGTGAGGGGGCATGGGCTCTTGGGGAGGGCTCCTGGGAAGGGGCAAGGGGTCCTGGGGAAGGACGTGGGGGGGCAGAGAGTTGGGGAGCAGTGGCTGAAAGCTCAGTGTGTGAGGGTGTGCAGAAGGCCCAAGAGTGCATCGGGGCTGGAGGAGGTTGCGGAGGGAGTCAGTGTGGGGCTAAGTGGACTTGAAGTTCAGGATAAAGACCCATTAGTAACGAGGGGGACAGGGAGTCAATGGAGCCTTTTGAAGATCATAGAATCATGGAATTATACAGTGCAAAAGGAGGCCATTCGGCCCATCGTGTCTGTGCCGGCTCCTTGAAAAGAGCTTCCAATTCAATCCCACTCCCCCGCTCTCTCCCCATAGCCCTATAAACTTGTCTTCCCCAAATAATTATCTACTCTTAAAAATTGTTATCGAATCAGCTTCCACCAGCCTTTCAGCGAATTGCATTCCAGAGCCCGACAACTCGCTGTGTGAAAACATTTCTCTTCACCTCTCCTCTGTTTCTTTTAACAACTATTTTAAATCGGTGTCCTCGGGTTACCGACCCACCCGCCAGTGGGAATAGTTTCTCCTCGTTCCTCCTCATAATTTTGAAAACTTCAATTAAGTCTCCTCGTAATCTCTGCTCCAAGGAGAACAATCCTAGCTTCTCTCGCCTCTCCTGATAACCTCCTGACTTTTGTCCTCTTTGCCCCTATTTATAAAGCCTAGTGTTCCATATGCATTTTTAACAGCTTTATCTACCTATCTTGCCACCTTCAAAGATTTACTTATATGAACCCCCAGGTCTACGACTGTTTGTGGGACACTGCTGTGCGCAATTGGCTGCCGCGTTCGCCCACAAAAATACAGTCAATTCACTTTACAGTATATTCTGTGAAGCGCTTTGAGACGTCTAGAAGATGTGAAAAGCGCTATATCAAATGCAAGGATTATTATTATTATATATCTGTTCCTTCACCCCCTTTAAGTTTGTACCATCAGCTTATATTGCCTCTCCTCATTCCTCCTCCTAAAATGGATCACTTCGCATTTCTCCACATTAAACTTCATCTGCCACGTGTCTGCCCATGTTACCAGTCTGTCTATGTCCATTTGCAGTCTGCTAGTGTCCTCCTCACTGTTTACTACTTTTCATAGCTTAGTATCATTGCAAACTTGGAAATTGTACTCCTTATACCCAAATCCAGGTCATTTATATAGATGGGGGAGAATGAGTACACAGAGACTTGTGTGGAAGATGATTATGGCTGGGGAATATTGTATAAGCTGGACCTTATGGAAAGACTGGCAAGGAGTATGTTTGACAAACAAAGTCTAGAGTTTCCAAAGGAATGAATGGGTTTCAGCTGCATTGAGGTGAGGTTAGGTGGACTATATCTTTCATTTAAATTATTTCTTACTGTTGGCAACTAGGCAGCAATTAAGCAACAAAGAATAGAATTCAATCGCCTATGCCTGTATTTCAAATGTTACCAATATGCATGTTTTTCCTACCTCTCAACTCAACTTTTTCAACTACATCATCGCCGGTCTCCCTTAAATTTCACCATTGATATGCTCCAACTGATTCAAGACTCTCCCACCCATATCCTCACCTGCAGCAAACTCGACAAGCCTCAGTACTCATCAGGCTCCACTGGTCCCCTATCCCCCAACAGATTGGCTAGCATACGATAACAAGATTAGTTTGCACGAAGAAGGCCTTTTCGGTTCATCTGATCTTATCTTCCAGAAAACCTTTCCTACTACCTTTTTTCAAACGGTTACATAGTTATCTTTAATGTCCATTTGAACAGGCATCCATCTCTTCCGAAGGATAGCACCTCCAAAAATGATGGGCAGATTCCCCGCTTCCGAGCTGTAAAATTCTATGATTCTATCTGAGCAAGGTATCTTTAAGCATTCTGGGATGCTGCCTGTGTGAAGTGTGCTATATAAATGCAAGTTGCTGTTGTATCTAGATGAGCAATAGAAACAATTTCAGAAGTTATGAATACTGGTAAACATATTGCTAAGAAATAACTACTACAGTTGATGACAACTGTGGTCCAACAACAACTTCTTTTAAATAGCGCTGATTTTATAGTTCCTTATTGACTTGATGATCAGTTGAAATTGCTTGTCCCGTTTACCTTATTAAAAGTGTTAATTTTGTTTTTCAGCTGGTAATTCTTCAAAATGGCTAATCTTGAAGGTTACTGTGAAGGTAACACATCCTTATCAGAAGTTTGGACACAACAAGGGCTTTCTCCATGTTTCTATTTCACTTTAGTTCCAACAGTACTTTTGAGTGTCAGCTTCGTCTTTGGTACATTACAGTGCGCTTGTTATAACGCATATGGTACTACAATGGAGCCAAAATATGTACCTCACTCTCGTCTCTACCTGATGCAGTTGTTGTTTTCACTGCTCCTAATCCTACAGTTTGGAACATATATTCTCTGGCAAACCTTTGGCTTAGGTGTACTGCATGGATACATGATTGTCTACTTTTGTTTATCTGTCATTGGATGGACATGTGCCATCGCTTTGCTACATTTAGAGCGCACTAAAGTGTTGTTGCAGGACAGAACACATGGCCATAGTGCAATCCTGCTATTCTTCTGGGCGCTGGCTTTTGCAGCTGAGAATCTGGCATTCATATCGTGGGGAAGTCCGTTGTGGTGGTGGTCAATGGACAACACTGACCAAAAGGTAGGTCCTAGGTGACTGAATTGGAATATAATGTTTGAATGGTGACTCTCCAGGATTGAGGCACACGAGAATTTTGAGACTAAGAAGGGTTATTGGGTGAAATGACTTTCTTGTTCGTAAAATCATTCCATTATGAGGTGTTACCAAAACGTTCATACAATAATAGGGGTAATAATATTAAGGCTTAAGGTAACTCTCCTTTGTAACTCTATTCTGTAGGATGGTGATGAAATTTGTTGCATTGGTATGTTTATATCACAAGATAACAAGATTAGTTTGCACGAAGAAGGCCTTTTCGGTCTTATCTTCCAGAAAACCTTTCCCACTACCTTCTTTTTTCAAACGGTCCCATAGTTATCTTTAACGTCCACTTGAACAGGCATCCATCTCTTCCGAAGGATAACACCTCTAAAAATGTAACACCCGCCCCAGCCCTGCGCTAGAGTGTCAGCCTAGACTGTGTGAATTCAAAGTCCCAACCTGGGGCTTGAACCTACAAACATTGGCAGCCCCTCTGGGATTATTGGGTGCAATGGCTTTTTTGATCCTAAAATCATTCCATTCTGAGGTGTTATCAAAATGTTCATACTATACGAAAAGCAAACGTTGGCTCAAATTAAAGCAGTGGCATGAATATTAAGTTTTTAAGTAGCAGCTGGGAAAGAAACAAGTTAAGCACTGCTCTGAGTGACTCAGCAAAACTGGTCCCATGACTCAACAGAAAATGAAACACTATCTCACTCAATACACACCTCCCGAAACAGCCAAGACTTGTCAGGAAGGTCTTGAGACAGACCATAAAGGAAGGGGCGAGGCAGAGGGTCTGCCGATGTTTGTAGGTTCAAGCCCCAGATTGGGACTTTGAATTCATACAGTCTAGGCTGACACTCCAGTGCAGGGTTGGGGCAGGTGTTGCATTTTTGGAGGTGCCATCCTTCGGATGAGATGGATGCCTGTTCAAGTGGAAGTTGAAGATAACTATGGAACCGTTCTAAAAAAGGGAGTTTTTCCCGGTATCATGATCAGCAACCCCCAGATAAAATTGGTCACTCACTTCATGGTTGTTTATGGGACATTACTGTGTGCAAATTAGTTGCCACGTTTGCCCAGTGTAGAATGTAGTGACAGTGTTTATAGGCAAAAAGCAGCAGGGAGTGACTGGGCTGTAGAGTTGAAGGGGTTGTTGTGTCCCTGTGCTGTCAGTGAGATGCTGGTAATTAAAGTCATATAGAGCAGATTTATGGTAGTTCTGTGCTGTAATGCCAACCTGAATGATTCCTGTATGTCTTTGCTCCAGGTGCAGTTTGGTTTGTGGCTGGTGCGATACAGCTGTACATTTCTGCTTTTCACCCTGGGATTGAAAGCACCCGGTTTACCTCAAAGGCCGTATATGCTGCTGATAAATGAGGATGAACGAGACATCGAATACAGCGAGGTTTGTGGAATGTACCTTGGCTCTCGGTGAGCAATCTTGCACAAGCATTAGTGTATCATCCCCATTGCTCTCCTCTATACTGTCTCTTGGGCCTGAGTATCCCCCCCTTATGTTGTGGTGACTAGAACTGCATGCAGTGCTCTAGGTATAGAGAAGAGAGAACAGTTTCCTTGGGTGCAGTACAGAATGAACTTGGTGAAACTCTGACATTGCATAAACAACAACAAGATTACATTTGTATAGCGCCTTTCACGACGGGAGGACGTCTCAAGGTGCTGTACAGTGTACAGCATTTCAGACCCGATCTGGGGTCGGGGGGGGGGAGAGAAGAGACGGGAGGGAAAGGGGGGTGACCGATGGCATGGTCAAAGAGGAGGGTTTTGAGGCAGGACTTGAGGCTAAGGAGGGGGCGAGGCGGAGTGATTGGAGATGGAATTCCAGAGGTTGGGGGCAGAGTGGCTGAAGGCTCTGCTGCCAGTGTGGGACGGGTGGGTCGAGGGACGTAGAGTAGGCCGGAGCCGGCTGAGCGGAGGGAGCGGGCGGGTTGATAGGGGGTTAGGAGATCACAGAGATAGGGTGGGGCCATGGAGGGCTTTGTAGGTGAGGACCAGGATCTTGAACTGGATCCTCTGAAGGATAGGGAGCCAATGGAGTCGGAGGTGCGGAGGCGCTGGTGCGAGCCAATCAGGAAGGCCTCAGTCTTGTTCACATTCAACTGTAGGTAATCTGCCCTCATCCAGGACTTGATGTCCGACAGGCAATGGTCCTTGACTTGAGGATGGAGGCAGAAAGATACGAGTTGGGTATCATCCACATACATATGGAAGTTGACCCCACGTCTGCGGATGATGTCACCAAGTGGGAGCATGTCACCAAGTGGGAGATATTGAAGAGGAGAGGGCCAAGGACAGAGTCCTGGGGGACGCCAGACGTGACAGTCAGGGGCTGGAGGAGGAACCGTTCGAGGCAACAAAGTGGAGATGGTAGGAGAGATAGGAATCGAACCAGGCAAGGGCAGGTCCGCGAAGATTAACTAAAGAGGAGAGGCAGTGTATGAGGATGGAGTGGTCGACAGTGTCGAAGGCAGCAGAGAGGTCGAGGAGGATAAGAAGGCAGAGAGAGCCCTGATCACAGAAGTTCAGAATGTCATAAAAGAACTATAGCTGTTGCAGGGTCCAAGGGGTATAAGGGCAACTTCCTGAGAACGCACATCAATTTCTAGTATAATAATAATAATAATCCTTGCATTTGATATAGCGCCTTATCACGTTTTCAAGACGTCTCAAAGCGCTTCACAGAATATACTGTAAAGTGAATTGACTGCGTATTTTGTGGGTGAAATGTAGCAGCCAATTGCGCACAGCAGTGTCCCACACACAGTCGTGGATTGAGTGTCCAAATTATTATTATTTCGAAGGGAATTTTATCCCCGGAAAAGCAATCCGCCAATCGATTAACAATCGGGTTCCTTACTGCTAGATAAACTGAGGTGTGTGGATTAAGGAGACTTGCCCAACGTTTCAGCCTGCCTAGGAATCAAACCAAGGTGCTCTTGCTTGTGAGGCGAGTGCTCTAACCACAATGCTACAAGACTGCACATTATTGCCTCAAGGCTCTTGTAACTGGAGTTACGCAGTACTGTTTGCGTCAATTTGGTGAAAAAAATCCCGTGGCACTGCACATACTGCATTATATTACACTGTGACCATGTCAGCATCTTTCATCTCCCAACTGCACATTCCCATTTCTGGTAACAAAGAACTCACTTCATCAGGAACCACAGATCAAAGAGGAAAAATCTCTCATTGTCCTAAAGAGAAAGCTCTTTCCCTTCAATAGCAGATTCACTCAGATCATCATGGGTGTCAGCTGGTTCAGAAAGTGGCCAGAGGTATGAAAAATAATTGTTTTCTAATCTAAGCCTAAATCTTTATATTTATTACGCCAGTGATGCAGGCAACTGAGACAAACCGACGGAAAGAGGTACTGGTACCTGACAATTTTAAGCTCTTGACCATAGCTGATCACATTCAGCAGCACTTCATGGCTGAGAGCACGATGTCGGGGTGAAGGGTTTCTACATCAAGTACAAATGGCCACTGTGGTGGAACTGAAAGAAAGCAGTAAATGCCAAAGCCACGGTTATGTTGACTTCATGGTATGAGAGGCTACACTCGAAATGGGGTCATTTCCTCACCTGTGCATGAGGCCAACATTGCATATATTTAATCTCAATTTAAAAGTAAGGCTTTGTGTCTGAGCACGTTTCTTTTCTCATAGCATCTCTTAAACCAGAACGACAGGAATCAGTCAACTTGGAAGGACTTTCGGAAGAAGATCCAGTTGCTTTTGCCATACATGTGGCCCCAAGGGAACATGCTGCTGCAGGGTCTAGTCCTCCTGTGTCTGCTCCTCCTGGGGGCAGAGAGAGCCATCAACGTCTTTGTGCCCATCTATTACAAGAACATTGGTATGTTACAACTTCATTTTATTTGTTCTAGTTCATAGAATCATAGAAATGTTCCTAAACATAAAAAAGGCATTTAGACAACAATAATAATACTTGCATTTGATATCGTGCTTTTCACTTCTAGACGTCTCACAACGCTTCACAGAATATACTGTAAAGTGAATTGACTGTATATTTTGTGGGCGAAACGCGGCAGCCGATTGCTCACAGCAGTGTCCAACAAACTGTCGTGATTGAAGTGACCAATTTATTATTGTTAAATAATATTATTGTTGTTAAACAATATTGTTTATTATTGTTACAGTGCTATCTCACTCACGCCCAACTTTTTTCCCACTCTGTATCATGTCATGTCAGCCTAGCACAGTAGTGGCATTCCTGCCTTTAAGTCGGAAGGTTGTGGGTTCGAGGCCCATCTCAGGACTTAGAAACACAAAGTCTAAGCTGACACTCCGATGCAGTGATGGGGTATGGGGGGTTTTGCATTGTTGGTGGTGCTGTCCTGCAGATGAGACCTAAAACTGAGGTCCCATCTGCCTGTTCAGGTGGACATTAAAGATCCTATGGCACTATTTGAAAAGAGAAGGGAGTTTCTCCAGGTGTCCTGACCAACAATCCCCCAAGTAAAATTGGTCACTCATTCCATGACTGTTTGTGGGACATTGCTGTGCACAAACTGGCTGCTGCATTTTGCCCACAAACAACACAGTAAATACACTTACAGTATATCCTGTGAAGCGCTTTGAGACATCTCAATGACATGATAAGGCACTATACCAAATGCAAGGATTTTTTTTTCATCAAGTATTTATCAAATTGCCTTTTAAACCTGTTATAGTCTCAGCTACAATAGCCATTTTGGTAAGGCCTTCCATGTTCTGATAGATCCTATGCAAAACCTTCCTCTGATTGACCATAAGACGTAGGAGCAGGAGTAAGCCATTTGGCCCCTCGAGCCTGCCCCTCCATTTAATAAGAATTAGGTTACAAGATCATGGGTGATCTTGTAACCTAATTCCATTTACCTGCCCTATCCCCATATCCCTTAATCCCTGTATCCTTTAGAAATCTATCAACCTCAGTCTTGAATATGTTCAAGGACTGAGCATCCACAGCCTTCTGTTGGGTTTCCTTGTTTTACCATTGTCCTTTAATGCAGGTAATGGACCAATGTTCATGGGATAGGAATTGGATAGATTTAGTGGGGCGGTTAGCACCAAACTACCTCCTCCAGGGCTTTATATATTGTAAATTTATAGATTATATATTTATAAATTGCTATGCGCAGTTGGCTGCTGCATATCACCCTAAAATATAAAGGCAATTCACTTTACAGTATATTTTGTGAAGCACTTTGAGATGTCTCGAAGACGTGATAAGGCGCTATATCAATTGAAAGGATTATTATATATTATTTTCTTTGAAGTGCTAATTTGTTGCTTTAAATCACATTCTGTTTGTATATTGCACCTCCGTTCACCATATTAATATCTGCTGGCTGTATGTTTCTCTTACACAGTAAATGAACTGAGTACAGGAGTTGGCTGGAAGACGTTATCCCTGACCGTCTGCATGTACGCCTTTCTCAAGTTCCTACAGGGAGGCGGTGCAGGTAGGAGATTACACACGTTTGTCTCACAAATTGTCCTGAGAACCACCTGAATATTGACTATAAAAAGCAGCCTCAGCAAGCATACTAAATGGTTTCACAATAACTGGGGAATATGTGGGTTGCTCATTCAATAGCAACAATAATAATTATAAGATATTAATTATATAAATAGTAATATTATAATACACTAAAACCACAGCTAGCTGGAACACCACCATCAACAACAAAAATTACATTTATAGAGCGCCTTTCACATCGCGGGGACGTCCCAAAGCACTGAACAGACAGGTGTCGGGAGTCACCAATACGAGAGGGGGATCTGGTTTGGCTCAGTATGACAACGCTGGTCCTGGTATTTACCAACTTGTTTCAGAGCCGGTAAATGCAGATACTGGCATTAGAATTGTTTGAATCCCGCGAACAAGCCATCGTCTGCTCACAGGATTCAAGCTGAGTCAAACTCAATAACCCTGGTGAGGGGAGGCTGGGGGGAGGGGAGCTGTTTGAGGGGTGCTGGGGGAGGGACTAATGGGGGGGGAGGCTAGGGGGAGAGGCTGCTGGGGGAGGGGAGGATGTGGGGAGGGGAGGCTAGGAGGAGGGGAGGATGTGGGGAGGAGAGGCTAGGGGGAGAGGCTGCTGGGGGAGCGGAGGCTATGGAGAGGCTACATGCACATAGGCCCGAGGAAATTTAAAAACTTTCCATTTCAGGTCTGGTCCATCTAGGTCTGAATTTCAAATAGCCAGAGTCCAGTAAGCCGTACATACAGCTAGTACAGTCATTTGTAACAAACCAGATATTATCATAAAAACCCTAGATTGTACATATGGATTATTCATAAGGCTATCTCAAGTGATTACAGCACAAGAAATAAGGAACCAGAGAACAGAGAAGATCAGGAATTATATCGATCTACAAATTGAATGGGGATGCATGTGGCAGTATAAAACAAGTATGGTTCGTATAATCATCAGTGCAACCTGGACTGTTAATAAGACAATTCAGAAATGGCTGACAATACCTGGAAAACAAATTATCAACTTCCTAAAGAAAAGAGTTATTTTAGGAAGTTCAAACGTACTAAGAAAAGTAACTTCCATTCATATGTTAGAAATTACATCTACAGTGATTTAAACTGTAATAACATCATAATCCTTGTATTTGGTATAGCGTCTTTCACGTCGGGAGGATGTCCCAAAACACTTCACAGGATTACTATAAAGTGGAGTGACTGCATTGGAGTGTAAACTTAGACTACGTGAGTTCAAGTCCGAACGTGGAGCTTGAACCCACAACTTTCTGACTCAGACGTGAGTGCTACCATTGAACCAGGCTGACACACGATACACTTCAATATCTCACAGGTTTTGGTTTGGATTACATTTACACCAATCAGTTGCCACTTTGTCCAATATTGTTCCCAATAGCTCAGTATTTTGCTGTGTAGCACCCACAGGCGTTATCCTATGTGAAAGGCACAATGTAAATGCACCTTGTTGTTGTATTATATAAGGACTTGATCAGAAAGCACAGAAATAGCCAGAAGAAGAGAAAAGGGGATATGAGAGTCTGGGAACTCCTGGCAGTCAGAACAGAGGCTGAGGGTTGTGGAGGAGGGTTTCCTTGTGGCCCTGATCAGGGTCTGAGGAGGAGGCTGTGGCTGGTTTATACATAACTGATTGGTTTTTGTTTAGGCTCCTCAGGTTTTGTAAACAATCTGCGCTCCTTCCTATGGATCCGAGTGCAGCAATTCACCAACCGCGAGGTGCAGATCCGCCTCTTTGCCCACCTTCACTCGCTCTCACTGCGATGGCATTTGGGCAGGAAGACTGGGGAGGTGCTCCGCAGTGTGGACAGAGGCACCAGCAGCATCAACAGCTTGCTCAGGTATCACTGGTCACTGACGCAACCCCACACACAGTCCCAGACAGGTCTCTGCTAATGTTCTATTATTGCCACCTGTCAGTGACTACAATATTATATTGCAGTATCTCCTGATACAATGAATTAGCTGTCAGCCTGGCTTAGTCTGTTGCTCTCTCACCTTCCAGTCAGAAACCTCACATTGGCTGACAGTCTTAACTGATATTCCAATATAGTGCTGGGTGGGGGAGGTTGCGTTGTCGGAAATGCCACCCTTCAGATAAGACGTTAAACTGAGGTTCTGTGTGTGCCTTTTCAAATGGAAATTAAAATATCCCATGGCACTATTAAAAAAGAGAAAAGAGTTTCTCCCAGTGTCCTGCTATGTGCAAATTGGCTACCATGTTTGCCTGCAAATACACAGTCACTACACTGTACAGTAAATCCTATGAAGTGCTTTGAAACAGTTCACCAATGTGATAAAACTGTTAATAGAACAAGGATTATTATTATAGTTCAACACAAATGAACTGTTTTTTCACAGCTACATTGTGTTCAGTATTTTCCCAACGATTGCTGATATTATCATCGCCATCATTTACTTCATTTCCAACTTCAGCGCCTGGTTTGGACTCATCGTGTTCCTATGCATGGCACTGTACCTGGGTAAGTACCTCAGACATACCTGCCACACGGCCAACAATCCCCAGTGGATTCACTTCATGGCTGTTTGAGGGACACTGCTGTGTGCAATTGGCCAATGTGTTTTGCCCTCAAACTATGCAGTTAAACCACTTTGCAGTATATCCTGTGAGCGCTTTGAGACATCTCATCAACAATATTATTATTAATTATTATTATCAGTGACTGATGCTACATTTATAAACTGTAACAGGACTAAAGTGCAGTCAGTCCCTCCATTAGCCACTACAGCCTCCAGTTTGTTCCCATAACGAAAGATCATAAGTGTGGGCTTAAGATCCTTGTCTAACAATTTAAGCTGTATCTGGAGGAGAGCAGAGCTGAGAGAATCACAGAACACACAGGGCTGATGCAGCTTTAGCCTGCATCTCTCTTTCAGTCGCTAGTCTGCAGATTTCTGTTTATATTTTTAAAAAATTGGGCTACATTCAGGAATTGCCACCAATAGCCATTCATTTCTAATGTTATTATAGAACTAGCCCATGGGCATCACTCTACCCCCCCCACCCCCAACCCTGTGAAGAGCATCTCCAGCTATTCCATTTTGTGCAACTGTTTCCAGCTTGTCTGGAGGACACCTCAAAGCACTTCACACAGCATCTGGGAGCTCGAGCTGGGATGGGGGACACTGTGGAGGGTGACTAAAAGCACTACTGAAAAGAATAATAACAACTTGCATTTATATAGCGCCCTTCACACAGGATAGCATCTCGGAGTACTTAGAATCTGATTGAGATTTATAAAATAATAAAGGGATTTGAAAGGGTAGATACAAAGAAACTATTTCCTCGGGTGGAGGAATCTGAACAAGGGGCATAATCTTGAAATTAGAGCTAGGTCATTTACGAGTGAAATTAGTAGGCAGTTTTTCAGTGTTGGAGGCAGGCAATATTGCAGCAGTGAGTGAGAGACACTGAAGTGGCAGTGTAACATTAATTCTGTGACACATGATACAAAGACTCGGTGTTTACCAACAAACTCCAAATGTTTGCAGTTTCCGAGGAAGCCACTGAGCAGTTTGTGCTAGTTGCTGCTGTTTCTCCACTAACAGGCATGACCATTGCAATAACCGAATGGAGAACAAAGTACCGAAGAGAAATGAACACGAGGGACAATGAGGCAAAGTCCAAGGCTGTCGATTCCTTGCTTAACTTTGAAACGGTACGAAACATCGAGGTGACTGATAGGCTCGGCCGGCACTGAGGGTTGGGCGGGAGAGATGGGCCACCCCCACTGAACGGTGACAATGTGACAATGAGTGGATTTGAACAAATAGTATCTCAGGCAGCGCAAAATCTTTAACCTTCTGATAATTCACTGATTCTCTGGGGTCAAACCAGTAAAACCTGACTTTAATGGCAAGAAGCATATTTAAGCAAACCACATCTCTCTGCCTGTAGCTGGAATCTCTGTGTCATTGTTGCCATGTACCATGTCTCTGTCTGAAGCTGGAATGCCCACATTACATGAACAGCTCTGACTGTGTCCCTTCAGGTCAAGTACTACAATGCTGAAGGCTACGAGGTGAATCGCTTCAATGATGCTATATTGAAATATCAGGTAAGAGCAAAATGAGGCAAAGAGTTTTAAAGTAACTGAACAGAACCTCCATCTGATTTACTCTGTTACCCAGGGGCACCAAGGCCAATTACAGATAATAATAACCTTTGGTTGGTGAGATGTAACCAGTGTCCCCCAGGGATCTGTACCGGGGCCTCAGTTTCTCACCATATATATTAATGACTTATTTGAAGGACTAAAGGGCTGTATATCCAAATTTGCAGGTGACACCAAGTTAGGAGGCTTAGTAACTTGTGCAGATGGGAGCAGGAAGTTACAAGGAGGAATAGACAATGAGTGGACAGACCCTGTGGTGGATGGAGAAAACGTTTGCTCATCCACTTGGGGTCCAAGAATGACAGGTCAGAATATGTTCTTAATGGTGAAAAACTAGGAATTGTGGAGGAGCAATAGGATTTATGTGTCCCATGTACACAAAGCACTAAAAGTTAGTACACAGGAACGATATGTTGGCCCTGAAGGAGCTGCAGCGCAGATTCACCAGAATGTTACTGGGGATAAATTGTAAAGATAGATTGCATAAACTTGGCTTTTATTCTCTGGAGTTCAGAAGGTTGAGGTTGGGGTGATCTAATCGAGGTGTTTAAAATGATAAAGGGACTCGAAAGGGTAGATATATTAAAACTATTTCCTTTGGGGGCTGAGGGAAATCCAGAACAAGGGGGCATAATTTTAATGTTAGAGCTAGGCCATTTAGGAGTGAAATCAGGAAGCATTTTTTCACACAAAGGGTAGTGGAAATCTGGAAGTCTTCCCCCAAAAGGCTGTCTGACATTATCTGCACTCTTTAATCCTCCCGGGATCATTGGTGTTTAGGTTGCAGAATGGAAGACCGGTGCCAGCCTTGCATTCCTGAACCAAACACAGAACCTCGTAATTGGCTCTGGCCTACTGGCTGGATCTCTGCTCTGTGCCTACTTTGTGACTGAGAACAAATTTCAAGTAAGTGGAGCTTAAGTGGGATCAAAATTATATTATTAATAATAATTAATCCTTGCATTTGATAGTGTTCAGAGTGAGAGCTCTGTGTTCCCTTTCTTTCCCCACCCTAAGTAGACAGAACTACAGCCATACATTAAGTGTATGGTCCCAGCATACTGCTCTGTGTTGTTAACTCGTTGATGAATTGATCTGATTGATGTTCTTGCCTCACTGCTCAGGTGGGTGACTATGTTCTGTTTGGGACGTACATTATTCAGCTCTACGCTCCACTCAACTGGTTTGGCACCTACTACAGGTTAGCACTTCTTTCTTTCCCTGCACACGCAGCAGCCAAGCTGTGTTTTTCTTGCTGCCACACATTGCTTCTCAGTCACACCTTATAACAAGAAAATACAATGTTAGAAACGCAGAAGCAAATTTCACCTCAAAATAAAGTTTAAAACCATTCTCCCTCTTTGTCCGCAGGATAATCCAGAGCTCGTTTATAGACATGGAAAATATGTTTGAGCTTTTCAAAGAGGATCAGGAGGTCAGTGTGATGGGAGCTTCAGGAAAGCCAATCACATAAGCTGTGTGGTGGGTGGGCGGGAGAGTGGGGGGGGGGGGCGGGAGAGAAACATGAGTGGGGGAGACAAGAGGAAGAGTCTTGTTTGTTGCAGATGCTGAAGCAATGGTGTCACCACAAGTTATGATCTAAAAAAACTCCAGCTCCAGCCCCTGGTCTCCCAACACTAACAGTGAGCTGATGGGCTGTTCTGCCAGTTCTCTGAATAAATCAGCACAAGTCAGTAGAGTAAATGGCCCCAGAGGCTCTTGTCCTTTCAGCAGGAGGACAACCATCCATCACGTCTGATCCCTGTCACATCTCATCTGTGGTTATAGTATTTTCAGAATCCCAAATGATGGGAATACAGCCTCATCCTGTGTGATTAAGCTAGACACTGTACTGTGAGGTTTACCACTGATGTACTGCAGATTTTCCATGGCTTCTATCTGTGTGAGTTGCTGCTGTGAAGTGGCTGGGATACGGTCCTCCTCTTGGGCAGAGTGACAGAAGCAAGGCAAGGTTGGCCATAGTCACTATGACATTGGGCAGCATTGGCAGACTGAGTATCTGCTTCCCCCGCAGCCTAACAATGGTAGGCAGCAAGAGCAGGTCACATAAACTACTTTTGTCAAAGCGACAAATGAGGTCAGACTGATGACGACTGGCTGCTCGATCTCTTACAGGTCATTGATGACGTGAACGCAGCAAATCTTGTATTCCGAATGGGGAAGGTTGAATTTGATGATGTTTTCTTCAGTTATGTGGCTGGGTAAGTCTACGGTTCAATGTGGCTGAGTACTACAGCTTCACCTAATCGTGCTATCCTGAATTTTAATGTTGAACTTCATTTTCTAGGAAAGAAATCCTCAAAGGCATATCGTTCACAGTGCCACCTGGGCACACAGTGGCTCTGGTGAGTTACGTTGTCTGTGTTTGACATTCCAGGCTTTCGTTAGTGTTAGCAGGTCACAGAGGTAGGGAGGAATGAGGCTGTGGAGGGCTTTAAAATTGAAGACGAGGATCTGGAACGCTATCCTCTGGGAGATGGGGAGCCAGTGAAGCCGGGTGAGGGTGGGGTGATGGAGTCACGGAGCCTGGTGTGGGAGAGGACACGAGCTACAAAATTCTGAATAATCTGCAGCTTATGGAGGAAGAGTTTGGAAGTCCAGCGACCATGGAGTTAGCATAGTTAAAGCTAGACATGATGATTCTTCATGCTCATCTCAAATTGTAAATGAGTCTAAATTTTATACTAGTTCTTTTAAGAACTTGGACTTATTTTAACAATTTGACAAAATTTTGGACACTCAGAAAATGCTAAATAAATAGAGTAAATCTGGACCCAGGTTCAGTTACTCCCCACATGTGCAACAACCTTGTTGTGGGAATGAGAGCCTAAAGATATAAATAATTACATGTTTATAGCCCAAGTAATGTCACCTATGAAGGGATCCTCGTTAATGAGGAAATTAATATACTTTCTTCAAACATGCACAGGTTCCAGGCAGGAACACACCGCAAGGAAGACCATACAGACATATGCACATACACATATTGCTCCTGAGCATAGCTTTCCTACAGGAGGAGAGTTGGGTTGGGGAGGGTCAATGCTATTCATATCCTTTACAAGAGGTTGAAATTAATTATCAAAGATAAAAGCTGAATTTTCCGAGTATCTGAAACCTGCTAAACGGTTTACATGTCATGTTTAGCTTTCTCGCAAACAACCTTGGGATGAAGCCTCTGTGATGGTTACTGTGTTCCAGGTGGGGCCGTCAGGGTCGGGGAAAAGCACCATCATCCGTCTGCTCTTCCGCTTTTATGATGTCTGCGGAGGTTGCATTAAGATCGATGGTCAGGACATCTCTAAGGTAAAGAAGGGTGGGTGAGGCTGCTGAGTGCTGACCTTTGATGTGTTCTGTAACACATGTAACTCTGGAACACTCTCCCTCAATCCTCACGCTATGCCCCTTTTCACCCCTTTTCAAGTCCAACCTGAAAACCCTGCTCTTCGGTGACCTCCCCCCACCAGCTCGGTTTCAGGCTCCGCCACTGTTAAGCACTCTGAGCTGCTACCCTGCGTGGAGGGCACTATAGAAGTGCAAGTTGTTGTTATTGTGTGCTGTGTACAGTATGACAGAATGCTGTTTTCCAGGCTCAGAGGTTAAAAAGTTGTACCAAGGTTGTACTGTACGTTTCAGTGTCTGCTCTGTGGTGTATGGCTTTACACTGACCAATAATCTTCAGGCAGTGCAACAACAACTTGAATTTACATAGCGCCCTTCACACAGGGCAGTTTCCCAGAGCGTTTCAGTGCAATATAGTCTAATCCAGTGCATTCCAAATCCTTATTGTAAGGAAGATAGTTACACAGAGCTCACACTCGTTTACGATAAGGGGTCGGAGTCAACAATAACAAAATTACATTTGTATAGAGCTGGGGGTCGGTGGGGGAGGGTGGAGGGCGGAGGGGAAGCAGAGAGATCGAAAGCACGGTGAAGGAGGATGGTCTTGAGATGGGTCTTGAAGGTGGCGAGGGAGGGGGCGAGACGGAGGGACAGTGGATGGAGTTTCAGAGGGTGGGTGCAGAGTGGCGGAAGGTCCACTCTTCAAGGAGCGAGCAAGGTGGGTGACATGAAGCAGGCCAGAGCCTGTTGAGCGGAGGGAGCGAACAGGATGGTAGGGGTTTAGGAGGTCAGAGAGATAGAGGGAGCAAGACCATGGAGGACTTTGAAGGTGAGGACCAGGATCTTAAACTGTATCCTCTGTGTGATGGGAAGCCAATGGAGTTGGGCAAGGATGGGGCTAATAGGGTCGCGGAGCCTAGTGCAGGAGAGGACACGGGCTGCAGAGTTCTGGATGACAAGCAATGAGTTTGATTAGTCGAGCCTTGATGTATGAGAGTTTTGGCGGACTGCGGTGTGAGACAGTGTCGGAGCCGGGCGATGTTGCAGAGGTGGGTAAGGCAGAGCAGGACATGGCACGGATGTGGAGTAGAAAGGATAGTTGAGAGTCAAACAAGAAGCCAAGTTTCTGGACTGGCTTAGCAAGGTGGAGTGTGCAACCATGGATGGCGGTGCTGTCAGCACCTGAGGTGAGAAGGTGCTGACGGGAGCCAATCAGGAGAGCCTTGGTCTTGTTGACATTTAGCTGAAGAAAGTTCGCCCTCAGCCAGGACTTGAATGCTGACATTCTGTCAGGACAGCAGTGGTCCTGGAGTCAAGGGTGGAGGCAGAGGGGTAGAGTTGGGTGTCATCCACATACATGTGGAAGTTGAACCCATGTCTGCAAATGATGTCACCAAGAGGGAGCATATAGATATTGAAGAGGAGGGGACCAAGGAGAGCCCTGAGGAACTCCGCAAAAGACGATCCAGGGGCTAGAGGAGAAGTCATTTGAGGAGTTGAATTGCAGGTGGTATGAGAGGTACGATCTGAACCAGTCAAGGACAGCGCCGTGGAGGTTGAAGTGAGAGGAGAGGCGGTGAATAAGGATAGAGTGGTCAACGGTGTCGAAAGCAGCAGAGAGGTCAAGAAGGACGAGGAGGCAGCACACACACAATGGTACAAAGTCCTTCTTCTGTGCTATAAAGTTTGGAGTGGAGCCGAGCAGGGTGGGAGATAGTCAGAAGGTAAGGTTTTAAATGGCATTTGAAAGTTGAGAGTGGAAGGCAAAGAGATTTAGACAGAAAATCTCAAGAGAGCAGGGGCAAAGTGAGGCCTGAGTTACCAGAGTAGATGGAGTGGATGGACAGAAGCACTGAGGAGATCACTGGATAGTAGGGGGCAGGGGCATAGATATCTAGTTTCTTTTTTAAAGCTTTCTTAAATATGGATTTTGCCTTAGCCATCACTCCGAACTGTGTGAAAAACATTCTCCTAACCTCCCCATGTGCCTGTTTGCTAACTATCTTAAATCGATGTCCTCTTGTCACTGACTCACCAATTTCTCCCTATTAACTCTATCAAAACCCCTCATAATTTTAAAGACCTCTATCAGGTCACCCTCAACCCTCTTTGTTCTTGAACCAGTTATGTGTTCCAAGGACAGCCTCTATACTGAGGATTTCTGTTTAATGTTCTGGATAATGCTGAGCTGCCAACTGACTAGTGACAACTTATGGTAACTTCACATCAGCAGTCCCTTCCCTGCCACATGCTGGAGGGCAGAGGGTGAACGGGATTTATTAAATAACCCTTGTTTTTATTTACCAGAGAGAGGGGTGTAATGGGGGGAGGGGAGGGGAACAGGGAGTCTGTTCTGCAAACATCTGGTTTATTTTCCACTTTTGAGAAACTTCCTAATTCTTAATAAGTTAGTGGAGATGGAGTGCATTCCTTGTGAGAGCAAAGGGCCAGTGTGCTGGATCCTGGGGTTATGGTGTCAGCTTCATTGGGGAGATTGGTGTGAGAGGGTGTAAATCAAAGCACTGCTGAAAGTGAACAATGTCTATTGGGCAACAGCGAAGCATCTGTTCCACACAGTGCGTAGCTTGTGGAGTCTCTGTAGCATGCAAGAGCAGTTTTATGTCAGCTTTGTTCACCTCTTCCAGCAGCTCGTGGTAAAAAGCTGCCAAATGTCATAGTTTCAGATTGAAGCGGGGATTAATACTAATCCAACTTCCCAAACATTACCTTTGACACAGTCTCATTGAGTACAGCCCTGAATCCTTTCTATTTCCCGAAGCGACTTGAGTTCCTTCCAGAAACATTTTAAATCTACTTGTTCCACCTTTCATCCTTTGCTAAACATTTCGCTTGCAGTTCCTGCTCTCTTGTGCTGCTCATGTGGTTCCACAGTGAGTTGTCGATTCTAGGAATGAAGAGGGATATTCAGGTTCATCACCTGCCTCTGCTGCTAGTTCAGTGTCGAGTCTTGCCCTTGCTCAAAGCGTGATGCTGCGTCATGTGGGATGGAAAGGCTGTGCTGCTATGGGGGAAGGGCCGGTGTTGTGCAGTGGGGAGGGTGGTGGTAGGTGTAAGGTTCACCTTTTGAATGTGCTGCTCAGCAGTGTGTATTTGGTTGTGTAGGTGAAGCAGGTGTCACTGCGGTCACACATTGGGGTGGTGCCTCAGGACACTGTTCTCTTCAACGACAGCATCAGGAACAATGTGAGATACGGTCGTGTGAGCGCCAGCGATGACGAGGTAGAAGAGGCCTCTCGAGCAGCAGATATTCATGAGCAAATAGTATCTTTTCCTGATGGTAGGAAGTGTATGCATCTTGGTTGGGTCAACTAAATGGATGGATCGCTGTGGGTGGGGGCAGTGGGGTGGGGATTGGGGTGGGGGGGGCTGCGCTCAGATGGGAAAGGTGGATGTGATGGGATGGGTTGTTAGGGGGGGAGCGGAGCTGGGAGGGGTTAACAACATATAATATCTTTGCATTTGATGCAGCATCTTTTATGTCGGGAGAATGTGTCAAAGTCTGTCACAGAACTATAAAATGTAGTGACTGTGGTGTATAAAATGTAGTTCTGTAGGTAAACATGGCAGCCAATTTGCACACAACGTCCCACATGAAATGGGTTGCATGGGGCGGGGGTTGCAGAGCATGTGCGTGTGGTTCCTGCCTACTGTGTATATTGATAATAACCTACCGCTCCTTCAGGTTATGATACACAAGTTGGTGAACGAGGCCTTAAGCTGAGTGGTGGTGAGAAGCAGAGAGTGGCCATCGCCAGGACCATCCTAAAGGCCCCACAGATCATCCTCCTCGATGAGGTGAGCAACAGCTGAAGCATGAAAAGCCACTTTGTCCCAAACACTGAAATCACTGCCTTTTCCTTCATTGGAGATGAGATGCTTGTGGCGCTGAGATTGTGTGGTATTCACATCCTGTGGAGGTGTCATCAATTAAGTACACATCACTCTCGGTACTACAGACACTCACTCTCACTGTTACATACACTCACACACACTATTACAAACACTCACTGTCTCACTTTGCTACACACTGTCATTATCTCAGACGGATGCACACTCTCGCTGTCTCACGCCTTGTACTTTTTCTCAATTCCCCTTAATAACTTTACCCAAATTTCTATCTAATTTCTTTTTTAAACTCCTCAGTTGATTTTACCTCTCAGGCCTCTGGGGAAGTGCTTCCATTTTCACACCATTCACACCATGTGAAGTATTGTTTTCCAGATGGCTTACCTCTAATGTTGAAGATTTTGTCAGGGTTTCATTAATTTGTGTTCTCCTCAGGCTACGTCAGCTTTAGACACACAGACTGAGAGGAACATTCAGGCCTCCTTGGCTAAAGTGTGCACTGGAAGAACTACCATTGTGGTGGCCCACAGGTAAGGCATTGGGAACAGCAGACATGGCATTGTATTCTGCAGTAAATATAATAATAATCCTTGCATTTGATACAGCTTTTTATCACGTCGTTGAGACGTATCAAAGAACTTTGTAGGATATACTGTACAGTGGATTGACTGTATTTGTAGGCAAAATGAGGCAGCATATTGCGCTCAGTGGAGTCCCACAAACAGTTGTGGATTAAGTGACCAATTTGTTTTTGAAATATGAAACATTACATGTATCTGCACAGTCCTGTGGCATGTAACTGGGGTACACAAGAGCAATGCCTAGGCAGTGGATAGGCAGGGTAATGCAGGTGGATGTGAGACGTACAGGGCACTCCATTCTCCTGTGTGTGAGGCTGAGTTTATTTACTCACCTCATTAAAGGGTTAATGTGTTTCTCTGAGGCAGTCTTTATGAAGAAGCATGAGGACTTGATGGGATTTGCCCTCCTGCTGCTGCAGTGATAACAGGTTGTAAATCCAGATCCTGCCCTTTGATTATTAGCTGGTATGTTTGTACAGCCAAACTTTGATGCTGATCTTTACAAACTATAAAGTAGTGTTTCTGATGTGGGCGGAGGCTGTTACTGAGGCACGGGTGTCAGGAGGGAAGGACCGGCCGGACAGGACTGTGCAGGGCTATGGGGCAGGCCTGGGCTTTGCGCAGTGAAGGCAGGCGCTGCTTACAGCACACTGCAATTATAGAGATAATATAAACCATTACAATGGCTTTGGGAAAAGATGTTTTAAATCTGAGTGTTTGAAGTGGAGCAGCTGCAGCTGTGAGCAGGTCCTGCAGTGGCTGAACAGTGAAAAACAACTTGCATTTATATCGCTCTTGTAGAGCAATGTGTTTGTGCTTTAGAAAACTGTTGCCCAACCCTGAGCAGGACATGGGGAAGGGAGGAGGTGATGGTCAAAGAGGGAGGTCTGAAGATAGACAGAAGGGGGAGTTCCAGTGGCTCGAGCCATTGTGGCTGAAAGCACGACTGCCAATGGTGGAAAGAAGGGATGGGAGACTTGCAGCAAGCCCAAGATTGCTGAGCAAAAGCGGTGAGAAGATAAACCAAAGGCACAGTCAAAGTGGAAGGTGGGAAAGGGGGTGAGGTGAAGGGACTTGCCGTCCCTGTGGAGGGCTTTAAAAGTGAGGATGAGGATCTTGAAGTTCTGAATAGTCTGCAGCTTGTGGAGGGAAGATTTGGGAAGACCAGCAAATGGGCAGTTTGTATAGTCCTGATGAAAGTGTGGATGAGGGTCTCTGTGGCCTGAGGGAAGAGGGGAAAGGCAGTGGCAGAGATGGGCGATGCTGTGGAGGTGGGGGAAAGCTGAACAGGTCGTGGCATGGATGTGGGTTTCAAGGACAGTTAAGAGTAAAACAGTTGCAGATCTAAAAGGTAATTTAGGAGGAACTTCTTTACGCAGAGACTGGTGAGAATATGGGGCTCACTGCCAAAGCAAGAAGTCTCAGCGTGTTTAAGGAAACTTGATGCATACGCACGAGTGAAGAGAATACAACAACTCGCATTTATACAGCGGCCATCATGCGGGAAAGCTTCACCGAGTGCTTAACTGTGGGTTAGCTTGATGCCAAGTCGGAAAGGGGGGGGGGACAGGAAAGGTCTTCAGGTGTAAGAAGTGGATGTGGAGAGCGGCTTAGGAGGGGATGAGGACCACATGGCACATAAACACTGGCGCAGATTAATTGGACTGAATGGCTTGTTTCCATGCTGTAATGTGTAATTCTGGTTATTTTGTGGCTGTTTGTGGGATGTTACTACATAAATCAGCTGCCACATTTGCCTATAATTATACAGTCACACTTTACAGTAACATTCTGTGAAATGCTTTTGAGTTGTCTTTACGTGATAAGACTCTTTGTCAAATCCAAGGATTATAATTACTAATTTTGTTTTTATATATTACTGGAAGTGGGAACCACTGGGCAATGGAGACACGTGCAGCAGCACTTTGGGCGTCTGGAGCAAGGAATAGGATTTGTGGAAAGACTTGTTGACACAATCTCTTGTGTAAATTTTTCTCCAGGTTGTCAACCGTGATTAATGCAGATCAGATCCTGGTGCTGCAAGATGGCCGCTTCGTGGAGAGAGGCAGGTGAGGTGGTGAGGCAGATGAGGCCGTGGGGCAGGTGAAGCTGTGAGGTGGCATTCACTGCAGAACCATTACCTCTGGCCAGCCAGTTACACCATATACAGAATGATGGGGGGTGCCGGGGTGTATAGGGGTGGGAGCTGTAGGTGGGGGATTGGTTGTGAGGTGAATTGGGGGTGAGGGGGGGGCATGCGTTTATTTTAGTTAGCCAGGTGTCTTGACAGATGTTGAAACACATCAGGATACTTAAGAATCTCCAAGCCAGACCAGCATACAAGGAAAACTCTACTCTTTTCAAATAGTACCATGAGATCTTTAATGTCCACCTAAACAGACAAACGGGACCTCAGGTTAACGTTTCATCCGAAGAACAGTACCTCCAACAATGCAGCCCTCTCTTAGCACTAGACTGGATGTTAGCCTCGACTGTGTGAGTTCAGAGTTCCAACATAGGGCTTGAATTCGTAATCTTCTGATACAGAGGCCAAAGTGCTACCCAGGTACCCAGCTTACCTACTGTCGGAGAGTGTTAGGTGCAGGTTGGCAAGAGCCAAGCCTTGGGGACCATAGAGCAGAATTTAGAATAAGTCTTTAGGTAAGTCTTTAGGGCTTTGGCTGCAGAATTATCAGGAGCAGAGTGGGACACAACAACTACAGCAATTTGTATTTATATAGCGTCCCTCACGCGGTGTAGTGTCCCGGACATCCCTGTCCAAGTGAGTAGTCTTCCCCTCCTGGTCCTGCCAACAAGTGAGCATTTGACAGGGTGGGGCAGGTGGAGGGATTGATTTTTGTCACTTGTGTTCCAGGCATGATGAGTTGCTGGCTAAAGGAGGTGTTTATTCTGGAATGTGGATGAAACAGCAAGAGGTCGATGCAACTGATTCTGCTTCAGACTCAGAAATCAAAGACAGGAGCTCAGAAAAGCTGCAGCCCCCAAGCAGCGGGAGGGGTGACTGAGCCCCCAGGAACCAAATAACCCAATTGGGAAAAATACAGAAAAAACAAAAAAAAAGGTAAACTGATGAATTGTTCCTCTATTTGCCGCCGTCACTAAAGGCGCGGGAATCTTCCTGATCTAGCTCACTTCACTGTAACTTGATAAATCTAGCTTATTACCGGGTGATATTTCTCTGTTGTGGGAGCCCACAGACCAGGAATGTGGGGTGTAATCCCAGAGAGAGGGAGCGCTTGTTCTTTAACAGCTGTCGCAGTGCAGTGAGTGAAAGCTGCAATGTGCGTTTGTGACACCAGCATCATCTCCACTGAAATTTCCCTGTGACCTCATTATCCATCTTTCCCCCCCCCTCCCCGAACACACTCCCTCTGCCCCCATACCAATGCGCTCCCTCTGCCCCCACACCAACGCAGTCCACCAGAAGGGAAAGTTCCTCATGCTCAGCTACATGGCGTTCTGGAAAGAGCATCAAGACCTCAAGTCCTGGTCATACAGTCCTCAGACTAAGTGAGTGACAGCACCTCACTGTACTTCACACACAGGCTTTCAAACTGTGTCACACTGTCAGTGGAGTGACAGACAGTGAGGGACAGACGCTGAGGGTCAGGAGCTCCTGTAAAAGCACTAGTGACAATAACCAAGGGAGAACAAGGGCCAGTGGAAACGTCTCCGCTGCTTCCCCGAGAGCTCAGAGCCGTAAAGGAGGACTGTTTGCAACGTGTCTTGCATGTCACAAGCTTGACCTAAATTAAAGTATTTATTGGTTAGAGATTTAGTCTCACATGAACATGGCCTCAAATACTGTGGGTCGGTCCCCCTCCCGTCCCCGTTACACTGGCAGCCAATGCCAACTGTGATTGGTGTGTTTGCACATATTTGAGTTTGTGTAGTATTTATACTGTTAATAATGTAATGTTATAATTAGCTAATGTGGGCTCATTAATAACATGTGGAAATCATGTTATTCCCAGGGAGAAGATCCAGAACAAAGGGACAGGTGGATTGTCCAATGAGAGTGCAATATGTAACCTGATATTGTAAACGCTTCAGAACACACATAAAGTGTTTATAAGGGAAATTTGCCTGTTATATACACCATATGAAAGGTGCTTTACAAATGTAATGTTTTTTACGTTGTATAGCATGTTTAATTTTAGAATTATATCCCCGTTTTTATCTCCATTTGGGCAATTGTTTTCTCACAATAACTTGCACTGCACACAAGTGTACAAATACAAGCAAAGAACAAAACACTTGGACAGATACACGCGCACACACTTCCCAATGCATGCCTACACACACTTACCCCCATACACATAACATCTTAGTATATGCGCACACACACCTCTCAACACAAGCAAACACACTATACAGCAAACGGAAATGTATATGGAGTTTATTTGTTCATGTGCCCAGGCCAGTGTGCCACTCCCCAGCACCGCCCAGTGTGCCACTCCCCAGCACCGCCCAGTGCGCCAATCCCCAGCACCGCCCAGTGTGCCAATCCCCAGCACCGCCCAGTGTGCCAATCCCCAGCATCGCCCAGTGTGCCAATCCCCAGCACCGCCCAGTGTGCCAATCCCCAGTGCTGTGACATTGTCACTGTGCCCTTTTCATGCGATGATCTCCTTGACATTCTCAATGGCACCGACAGAGTCCAGTTTGTAAACCATGAAGTGTCCCTGTACCTGTGCGGCACTGATACTATCCGTCACAGCCAGCGCTCGCTTGGCAAATGCCTCGGCCTCGCTGAGCGGTTGGTCCGGGTAAAACCTCTGGAACATATGAGAGAGCTGCCAGTGCGAACAGTGACCCACAAACTGCTTCATGTCAACTCGCCCGGGGCGGATCAATGCGGGGTCCAGCCTGCGGGAGTACAGAGTGTCAGCAGGGGCTTGGCAGTGACAGTGGGGGGGCAGGGATTTGGAGGGTGGGGTTTGACGGGTTGGGGTGGGAGGGTGGGGTTTGAGGGGTTGGGGTGGGAGGGGGGAGGGGGAGATCGTGAGCTGCTCAGAGACAGCGATTACCTGTCCAAGTAGTTTGTTGTCATGAAGATGATTCTGGCCTCGGTTGAGGCCACTCCATCGAGTGCATTTAACAAACCGCTGAAGGTCAATCGGCCCATTCCCTTGTACACAATGGGGTCTGTAACCACACACAGTTCACAGTTACTACACAACATGGGGATGAGAGGGTCACAGCGAGGCCCGCCCCAACTCTCGGTGCCAGGTCACGGGGTTGGGGGCGGGGCTAACCTCACTCTCGGTGGGCAGGTCACGTGGTTGGAGGCGGGGCTAGCCTCACTCGGTGGGCAGGGCACGGGGTTGGGGGCGGGGCTAGCCTCACTCTCGGTGCCAGGTCACGTGGTTGGGGGCGGGGCTAGTCTCACTCGGTGGGCAGGTCACGTGGTTGGGGCGGGGCTAGCCTCACTCTCGGTGGCCAGGTCACGTGGTTGGGGGCGGGGCTAGCCTCACTCTCGGTGGCAGGTCACGTGGTTGGGGGCGGGGCTAGCCTCACTCTCGGTGGGCAGGTCACGGGGTTGGGGGCGGGGCTAGCCTCACTCTCGGTGGGCAGGTCACGGGGTTGGGGGCGGGGCTAGCCTCACTCTCGGTGCCAGGTCACGTGGTTGGGGGCGGGGCTAGCCTCACTCTCGGTGGCCAGGTCACGGCTGAGGAAGGCGGCGTCCACATCCTCCAGTAAGACGAGGCTCTGCTGCGGGGCCGCGATCAACAGGTGGTTGAGTCGGTCATCGGTCAGACTCTGGTCACTCAGGCTCAGCAAACAGATACTGTACTCCAGCTCCCCGGCCAGCGCCGTGCTGAGTAAGAGAGAGAGAGAGTGAGTGTGTGACAGAGACAGTGTTTGGGTGAATGTACCGGTGACCCCCCCTCCCCCCGTGATGTTACTCACATGAAGCTGCTTTTCCCACAGCCGGGGGGGCCGTACAGCAGATAGCCTCGTCTGTATGGGATCCCTGAGAACAGCAAAGCACAGGGTCTCACACACACGGTCACGCAGCCCCAGAACCCTCCTCCTCTTCAGACTCCTCCCATGGACTCTCCCCACAACCCCCACAGCAGCACCTGCCCCCCTCCCCCGCCCTCACTCACCCCTGTCCATGTACCAGGAAGGATTGCTGATGAACTCCCTCACGTCCGCCACGATCCGGCCCGCGACTCCTCTCTCCAACACCACTGATCTGAGTGGTCGCCGTCGCCGCGGGAACCCGAACGGTCGCCACTCGGCCCCCATCGCAGTGTACATCACCGTCTTCCCCTCCTCCTGCCGCAGGGCCAGCTCCCGGGCTGTGCCACACAGGGTCAAGGGGGCAGGAAAACATGTCATCCCCCTCACACACAGCATCACCCCACCCTCAACCACTCCCACCCCCACTCACCCCCTTCACACTGCGCCTCTCCTCTCCCCCCACCGCTCGGCCCCCTCACATTGTGCACCCCTTACTCGCCCCTCCCGCTCTGCTCCCCCCCCCACCCCCCGTGTGGGTGGACACAGCATTATAATATGGCTAAATCAGGCTATATAATATACTAATGAGCAATGTAAGCAGTTACATGATCCCACCTTCCTCCAAAATATGAAAGAAAATGGTTTTGTTGTTGCCGAGTGAGGTGAGAGTCACCGATTCCCAGGGAGTCCCTGTGTGAAGGTCAACCATCTGCTTCTCACGGTTTCTCTCAACACGAAGCCATTTGTTTCTGTACCTGTTACACAAAGCATTTGTATCCAGTGTCACTCCACATTAGTGCTAACACCCTATGGCTCAACATATCCATCCACACTCCCAGCTCAGGGTTAGAGACACAGTAAAGCTCGTCTACACGGTATGTCCACATTCCCAGGTGAGAGTTAGAGACACAGAAAAGCTCCCTCTACACTGTATGTCCACACTCCCAGGTCAGTGTGTCAAAGCGAGAGGCATAAACACAATAAAAATGTACATTTTGCTGGCACATTTCACATCATAGGACATCCCAAAGCGCTGCGCAGTTGGACACCCAAGCTGGCAGTGGGAGCCAAGGAGGGGTGTTTTGCAACTTGTGGAGAGGAGCTGGGAACGTCACCTGGATGTGATGAGGGTCTCAGTGGCCTGAGGGTAGTGGAAGAGAAGGGCTATATTTCGGAGGTGGGTAAAAGCTGACCGGGTCAGAGTACAGATGTGAGGTTTAAAAGTCAGTTCAAAGATACACACACACACACTGATATCTGCTCTCACACACACATACTGAGATCTACCCTCACACACACACACAATCTGAGATCTACCCTCACACACACACTCTCTGAGATCTACCCTCACACACACACACATATACTATCTGGAGTTAGGTAAGCAGGATGCGTCCCTCCAGGGAGAGAGAGCGAGAGTGCGCATTTCATTGCGGACACTGGAAGATTTCCAGGTTTGGGTGACAGATATGTGTGACACTCTCAGTCCGGAGACTCTAAACATGGTTTTCCGCTTGTGTCAAAACAACAGCCAAACAGTCGTGACCTGCATCACACTCTGGTCTATGCCCGGCTGATCGGAGTCGTACACAAACCCCTGCATGTATCAGTGTCTCAGGCTGTGTGCCCTGCTTACCCGTGTACAGACTGCAAGTGTACTGTACCGTATGAAGTGGTTTCCCGGGCTGGGCACAAACTGGAACTTGGTGGTAATACGTCCACTCTCGTGCTGTAGGTATGAAGTCTCCACACTGAGGTGCTGTGTGCGCTGAGCGTGGTGTGTGATCCAGGCCAGCAACCAGTGATAACTCTTGTCTCGGCTGGCCACCTCCATCGTGATCATGCAGCGTCTCTGGAAGGCAATCATCCCGAGCTGGGCCCCCCTGCGAGCGAGTGCCAGCGCCGTGCCCACCCCAATGAGTCCAAAACCTGCCCCAAAATAGGGATTGTCCTTCAGCGCAGCAACAAGGTCTGTCAGCGGCATCTCGAGGGTCACAGGAGCCACACCATCCAGTACAGCAGCCAGGCCTGAAACAGCACAGCGTGAGCACACACACAGCCCCTCACACACACACAGCCCCCCCCTCACACACACATAGACCCCCCCCCACTGCTCCCCTCACACACACATAGCCCCCCCCTCACACACACTGCTCCCCTCACACACACACAGCCCCTCACACACACACAGCCCCCCCCCACTGCTCCCCTCACACACACACAGCCCCTCACACACACACAGCCCCACCTTACACACATAGACCCCCCCCCACTGCTCCCCTCACACACACTGCTTCCCTCACACACACTGCTTCCCTCACACATACCCCTCACACACGCACCTCCCCCCTCACACACACACACACACACTGCTCCCCATACACATAGTCCCCCCCTCACACACGAGGTTACCTGGCAACCCTACAGCTTCCGGTGGATCCGTGAAGAACTTCCGGCGCTGGTGCTGGAGGGGCGGAGCTTGCGGTCACATGACATTTCTGCTCACACTGTACACCCCCCACACTAACCCACCCTTCCCCCCACACACACTGCCCCCCAGCCCCCCCCCACCTTTCCCCCGGACCCCCCACACACACTGCCCCCCCCCCCCCCACGCACTCACACTGTGCAAAAGACAGACGTTTGTCGCGGGTTTTTAATGAATCGGGGTTTAATGTCACAATTTCTTTGAGCAGATGGTGATCCCAGTGCGGGAACCGCTTCACACACAAACATCTGCTAAAACACAGAGAATCGCCTCTCATTCAAACAAGGAAAGAAACTCATTAAAGTAAAGTCCCCAAACGGTCTGGACACCACTCCCCCCACCGCCACAATCAACATAAATAGCTCTGTGTAACATAAATAGCTGAGGCTCTGGGAGGGACTGAACTCGCCGACCCTGGGCTCCCCCCCCCCCCCCGGCCAGCGCTCCCCCCACAGCCCCCGAATCTCACCAGTAGCCCCGGGCCCTGGGCTGACCCACAGCGACACAGTGCCGGGGGGGGGGGAGGGGGCACTCACACATTATCATATATTTATATATATTTAAAAATTAACACATGAAAAGAACACATCCCAACAGTCCTGCGGGATTCCAGGTGGGATTCCTCCCGGATTAGCGGCGTGTGAGTGACTCCCGATGAAGCCGCTCGGTCAGTGGCCGGAGACGAGGGAGAACGAATGGACACTGACGTCCACGTCAATCAGTCACTGTGGTCACCAGATACAGCGCCGCCTGCTGGTGGGGGTCGGTCAGAGCGGCTGCAGCACCGGCCGACTCCACTCCGCACTCAACGGCTGCGAACTTCTCTCCAATTCCACCAACTCCTCAAGTGTTTCCCTGAGGCCAACAGACAGCGTTATCCCGCACAGCCCCACAGCACAGCCTCACAGCACAGCCTCAGCCACAGCCCCACAGCACAGCCTTAGCCACAGCCCCACAGCACAGCCTCACAGCACAGCCACAGCCACAGCCCCACAGCACAGCCCCACAGCACAGCCCCACAGCACAGCCTCAGCCACACAGCACAGCCCCACAGCACAGCCTCAGCCCCACAGCACAGCCTCAGCCCCACAGCACAGCCCCACAGCACAGCCTCAGCCCCACAGCACAGCCTCAGCCCCACAGCACAGCCTCACAGCACAGCTTTAGAGCACAGCCCCACAGCATAGAACAGCTTTACAGCAGAGATTGGCATCAAAGCACAGCACACAGTGAACTGCCCTGTGTGTGTGTGGTGTGGGGGGGGAGAGGGGCTGCACTGGGGGTATGTATGCCTGTGTGTGTATGTGGGGGTGAGGGGCTCAGCGCTGTATGACAATATGTGGGGGTGGGGGTGGGGGGTTGTCGCGGTGACAGATACTCACGTGCACATGTAGAAGAAGATATAGCCGTTTCGCTGCCGCTGGGACTGGACGCTGGTCTCCGCCGTGCGAGACACCTCAAGGTCGTTGTACGTCAGCCACGTCTGCTTCTTTATGTCAAACACATCACTGATATAGTGCCCTGCGGGAGGACAGCACAGCATGTGGGTGTGTGAGTGTGAGTGGCAGTGAGTGCCGTGTCAGTGTGAATGACTGCGGAGCGGCGTGTGAATGAATGTGACTTGTATCAGTGTGAGTAGCACGTGTTACACTGACCAGAGGAGGAGGAGCTGCCGATGTGACTGACCACACTGATGAGCCGATAGGAATGACTGAGCTCCTCCATCTGCACAGACACAGCCCATCACACTTGTGTTCAAATCTCCCCACTCCCTCCACCTCCCGACTTCTCCGACCTCCTCACTACCCAATCCACCACCGGGCGCCTCAGCTCGACTGCACCGCCTCCTGCTCGTCCCTCGCACCCTCCGTCCCACACTGGAGAACACGCTTTCAGCCACTACACCCGAAATTCTGGAACACGCTCCCTCACTCCCTCCTCCTTGCCCCCTTGTTGCCTTTTTTAAGTCCCACCTGAAAACCTTCCTCTTCGATCCTGTTACAACCCCCGCCCACCCCACCCGGTTCAATCAGGCTCCGCCACTGTTAAGTGCTCTGAGGTGCTACCCTCCGTGGACGGCGCTATATGTATAAGTTGTTATTGTTGTCAGGGGGTTAGCCCCACCATGCACACAGACCCCTCACCCACACTGCCCCCTTCCCACACACTCTCCCCCACATACACTCTCCCCCACATACACTGCCCCCCAACACACATCCTCTCTCCCCCACACATATGCAGTTGCCTCCCCCTCCCCACCCCCCCACCCCCCCACCCAGGGGAGATGCTCACCTCTGTACACCGCTTGAGTTCTGCGTTCTGACAGAAATCCACATCCAGGAAATCCCCATCCTCGTTACCAGAATCCTCGTCAGACCCCAGCGACTCCCCAAAGGAGCTATTACACTCTGTAACCATCAGCCACAGTCACACACACACACACACACTGTAACCATCAGCCAGTCACTCACGCCGGGTGGGGGGGCAGCAGTGTGTTTGTGTGGGGGAGGGCAGTGTGTTTGTGTGGGGGAGGGCAGTGTGTTTGTGTGGGGGAGGGCAGTGTGTGTGGGTGGGGGGAGGGCAGTGTGTGTGGGGGGGAGGGCAGTGTGTGTGCGGGGTGGGGGGTGCGGCGGGTAGTGTGTGGCGCAGGGGAGGGGGGCGGGAGGTTACCCTGCAAGCTCAACTCTGTCGCCCTTTTCAGATCATCGTCTTCCTTCAGGTCGCGAGCTTCCTGTGGGCAGGAGGTAACAATGTCAGCTCTGCCCTTCACAGCCCCGCCCTCGTCTCGCCCTCGCCATTGCTCTGCGGGCTGACCTGCTCCTGGAGGCTCTGAGCGAGTGCCTGCTGTAGCTCCTGCTCCTCTCGCTCCCTGTCCAGCTGGTATTGTTGTAGCCAGTCTCCCTCACACCAGCCATCAGGTGTCTTGTTCTCCTTGTTCTCATCGCCATCCTTCCCCACAGACACAGCCTCTGTCGGTCACAACACAGTGACTGCCTGTGTCAGCAGCCCCCCTCCCACACACACACAGTGACTGCCTGTGTCAGCCCCACCTCCCACACACACACACAGTGACTGCCTGTGTCAGCCCCACCTCCCCCCCACACACACACACACACACACACAAAGTCCCCCCCACACACAATCCTCATTTCTTCCTTCATCAGTCGAGCTGTCTCACTAACAAGTCCCCGCTCCCTGTCACTAGCCTCACACTGGTGCGCGCGCTGACCCTCACACCTGGGTGCGCGCTGGACCTCACGGCCTCAGGTTCCATGGTCACTGGCTGCTCCGGGAACTCCTGGGCCTCGTCCTCCCCAAAACCGGTGTCAGGGCTGCTGCTCGGCTTGTCCTCCCGCTCTGAGCTCCCGGCCTGGACGCTCTCCCGCCTGCTCATCTCCAACACAACCGCCAGCACCTCCTCCTCAGTCAGCCCGTCCAGCACCGTGTGCAGCCCTGACCCCGGCCCCTCAGCCTCCTGCCGGCTGCCCTTCACTGCCTGGGGAGAGAGCAGCGTTACACCCAGGCATCTCCACAACATGATGTGACTAAGGCGCTCGAGCAAATGCAATGATTAGTATTTTCGATTGGGAACTGGGAAAGCACACAGCAGTGAGCTGGCTGAGGGAGCTGGGGGCTGGCGGGGTGAGGGGCAGGTAAATTAGGGCGAGGGAGTGCTATTGGTGAGAGGGTGGAGCAGGATGAAGGTGCCCCGTGGCAGTGGTTTGGGGGGTGACGTGGGCAGTAGTTTGGGGGTGACGGGGGCAGTGGTTTGGGGGTGACGGGGGCAGTGGCTTGGGGGTGACGGGGGCAGTGGTTTGGGGGGGTGACGGGAGCAGTGGTTTGGGGGTAATGGGGGCAGTGGTTTGGGGGATGACAAGGGCGAGTGACTGACCGTTTGGGGCTCCGTGTCCGGTGTTTGCTCGTTTAGCTGCCGGCTCAGCGACATGGCCCGTCTCAGCTGCTCCTCCTCACTGTCAGAGTCCAGCAACACTACCGCAGGCTTAAAGCTGTACTTCCTGTCAGAGAGAACACCGGCTTAGCCTTAGGAACATAGGAACAGGGGTAGGCCATTCAGCCTTTCGAGCCTGTTCCGCCATTTAAATAGATCATGGCTGATCTGTACTTCAATTAATCCTGTCAATTCGAATTTCCCGCTATTTCCCCATATCCCTTATACACATACACACTAACCCGCTTAGCCTGTACACACACATACACAAACCATTTTAGCCTGTACACACACACTACCCAGCTTAGCCTGTACACACATACAAATCATCTTAGCCTTAACACACTAATCAGCTTAGCCTGTAGACACACACACACTAACCAGCTTAGCCTGACACACATACATACACAAACCATCTTAGCCTATACACACACACGCGCTAACTAGCTTAACCTGCACGCACACTAACCATCTTCGCCTGCACACACACACTAACCATTTTAGCCTGTACACACACACACATACACACAAACCAGCTTAGCCTGTACACACAAGACGCCTCGTGCTGGGACTGTAACAGCCTGTGTGTGAGTGTGGGCGGGGTAGGGGGCTCATCTCTTTAGATGGTTTCTTGCCCAGTTTCTCCCCACAATTACAGCAGTGACCACTCACCTGGCCAGTGTGGAGGGAAGGGCTGTGCAGGAGTTCAGTGACTGTGAGGTTTTGAGAGGCTGTGGCCTGGAAAGCAACACAAGGGTTTATGTCAGCCCCACTGCATATACTCTTCAACACCCCTCCCCGCTCAGCACCCCTCCCCACTTAGCCCCACTGCATACTCTTCCAATACCCCTCCCTGGTCAGCCCCCCTCCCCGCTCAGCCCCCACTGCATACCCTCTTCAACACCCCTCCCCCGCCCACATCCGCTCAGACGACCCCCAACCCATGGTTGTTTGTGGGAAAGCTGCTGTGTGCAATTGGCTGCCATGCTTTGCCCACAAAATATAGTCACTGTACTTTACAGTATATTCTGTGAAGTGCTTTGAGACGTCTTGAAGACATGATGAGGCGTTATATCAAATACCAGGATTATTATTTTTAATTGTTAACCCACCCGCTTAGCGCCCACTCCCCCCACCTACACCCACTGCTGAGCTCCCCCTTCCCCTCCAGCTGTGACTCCCCACCCGTGCTCTCTATCACACACACACACACACACACTCACGCTGAGCCTTGTGAGCTGGAAGCCAGAGCCAATGGCTCCCGTGTGCCCTCGCTGCAGTGAGCCTGGAGACTCAGGTACTTGGGGATCTTCACCTGCTGCCCCACCTTACTGCTCACTGACAACTCCACACTGTAGCTGTACCTCTTCAGGTGGAGGATCAGTACCCTGTAACCAGCATATCCACACAGTCACTGAGAGAGCACTGTCCGTACAGCTTACACACAGTAAAGCTCCCTCTACACTGTCCGTCCATACGCCCAGGTCAGAGTTAGAGACACAGTAAAGCTCTCTCTACACTGTCCGTCCACACTCCCAGGTCAGGGTTAGAGACACAGTAAAGCTCCCTCTACACTATGCGTCCACACTCCCAGGTCAGGGTTACAGACACAGTGAAGCTCCCTCTACACTGTGCGTCCACACTCCCAGGTCAGTGACAGACAAGATAAAGACCACACTACACACAGCACTGACCTCGGGAGGCGGCTGAATTTGTGAGTGACTACAGCAGCTTTGCCCTGGCATTTCTCACAGGCGTATTCGATCTCCTCAGCCTGCAACAGAACATGGGAACGACTAAATACCAGCAGCAGGTTGTACCGAACGACAAAGCTTACACACTCACACCAAAGCACACGGACAAGGTGGGGATCAGAGCATTGCTGCACATCTTAAAGGGTTAGGGCCACCTTTTGTGCTGTACATCTTTCTGGTTCTATGGGAAACAGCCCTTTTAAAAGAGCAATTCTTTCTGTCCCATTGACCAGTCCTCGTCTATTCATCTCCTGAAGTTGTTTACAATTTCCTTCATTGCTAACCACATTCCCTCTTGTTAACGGTCCTCAGCAAACCTAGAGAATGCAGATAATTTATATTGAGATCAGGAGACATGGCTGCCCAGTGTCACTCAGTCAGTGAGATGGACCCTCAGTCACTCACCCTGAAGAACAGGTCCAGAGAATCCTGGATGGATCGTGGAGGCAGCGACTTCCGTCGTCGCGGGAGGTCAATGGACAGGTCGTTAAACTGCTCTCGCTTAGTGACGGTTTCACAGCACCTGTGACGCAGAAACCGTCACCTCCTCATACAACACTCCACATACACCCCACATAAACACACCCCACAGACAACTCCACCCCCACACCCCACACTCCCCAGTCACAACCCCTCCCCAGACACACCCACCCCAGTCACACACACATCCCACCCCCAGATACACACCCCACCCCCAGACACAACCCCCCACCCCAGACAAACACAAATACCCCACCCCAGACACACACACCCCACCCCAGACACACACACCCCACCCCAGACACACATACACCCCACCCAGACACACACACCCAACTCAGACACACCCAATCCAGACACCACCCCAGATACAAACGCCCTCAACACACGCACACATCCCCCACACGCGCACACAGCCCCCCCGCCATGCGCACACAGCGCCTCCCCCCCCCCACGCGCACACAGCTCCCCCGGGCGCTGGACAGTGTACAGCATTTCAGACCCGAGCTGGGGTCAGGGGGGGGGGAGAAGGGAGGGGAGGGCAAGGGGGGTGATCAATGGCATGGTCGAAGAGGAGGGATTTGAGGCGGGACTTGAAGGAGGCTAAGTGGGGGCGGGGGGGGGGGAGAGGCGGAATGATTGGGGGATGGAATTCCAGAGGTTGGGGGCAGAGTGGCTGAAGGCTCTCCAGCCAATGGTGGGGCGGGTGTGTCGGGGGACGTGGAGTAGTCGGAGCCAGCTGAGTGGAGGGAACGGGCGGGTTGATAGGGGGTGAGGAGGTCGCAGATGTAGAGTGGGGCGAGGACATGGAGGGCTTTGTAGGTGAGGACCAGGATCTTAAACAACAACAAAATTACATTTATAGAGCGCCTTTCACATCGGGAGGAAGTCCCAAAGCGCTAAACCTCTGAAGGATAGGGAGCCGATGGAGTCGGGCGAGAATGGGGGAGAGGGGTCACGGAGTTTGGTGCGAGAGAGGACACGGGCTGCAGAGTTCTGGATTATCTTCAGCTGTGGAGGGAGGATTTGGGAAGGCCGACAAGCAGGGAGTTTGCATAGTCGAGCCTGGAGGTGATGAAGGCATGAACAAGAGTTTCAGCGCCTGAGGGGTGAGGTAGTGGCGGAGTCGGGCGATGTAACAGAGGTGACGGAAGGCAGAGTGGTTCATGGCTTGGATACACCTCCACCACACACACAGTAACCACCTCATTCAACCCCCACACCTCCCACACACACACACACAGCCACTGTGCCTCACACACATACAGCCTCAATCACCTCACCCCACGCCCCCCATACACCCATACACACAGGCACACACACACTCCACCCAGACACACACACCCCAACCAGACACACACACACCACCCCACCTAGACACACACACTCGCACACATCTGCTCTGGTTCACTTACATTTTACAGCTGATTGAGTGTAAAACTTCAAACTCCACGTTGGAGACGATGGGGCAGGTATAGAGCTTGGTGTGAGCCGCTGGACCCTCACCCCCCGGCTCCTGCTCGTTCCTCCAGCTCTTGTTCAGCCGCTCCATGTCCTCCTTCAGTTGGTCCAGACACTGGCTCAGGAACTCGTGGGCGTCCTGCAAACACAGCAGCCACAAAACAGCCGACTGGCTTTACACGAGAACCTGTGAGGCGCTTTGAGACGTCTTGACAACGTGGTTGATAAGGCACTATAGTAAACGTAAGGATTATTATCATTACTACAAAGCCCTCAGTGTGCAGTACTGCTCCCTCTGTTGGTAGAGAGGACGTACTGCAGCACTACGATCTAACAACAGGGCCAGAGTCGGTGCTGAGCCGATGTCAATGCACTGACATCCCCCGAATGTGAAAATAAAATCGTAATGACAATTGTTCAAATACTGACATCAACACTGTGATCCCGGCTGCACACAGTGAGTCTCTGAGGCTGACAGTGACACTTTGGGGGGCTCTGAGCAAGGCTTACGTTCTGCATGTAACCGGAAAACCTTTCTGCCGTGGCCGAGATGGAGTGTTTCACCTTCTTCAGTAGCTCCTTCTTCATCTCTGGGCTGCAGTTGTCCTTCTTGGCCAGGAGGTGGGCGAAGCGCCTGCCGAGGGCAACACAACATCATAGGGTTAACATCCTCGCTGCCCCCCGCCCACCACCCAACCTCCCCACCAAACCCCCCACCCCAACTCTCCACACCACCTGGAACCCCTGTCCCCCACCCACAGCCCTAAGCCCCCTCACTGCACCCTGGACCCCAACTCAACTCTCCACACTGCCTGGACCTCCTGCGCCCCCACAGCCCTAACCTCCCTCACTGCTCCGTCATCCCCAACCCAACTCTCCACAGTGCCTGGCCCCCCCATCCCAGCTCCCCCACATCCATAACCCGTCACTGCATCCCACCCATCCCAACCCAACTCTCCATACTGCCTGCCCGCCCCCCACCGTCCCGTGCCCCCACAACCCTAACCCAAATCTCCTCACTGCCTGCCCCTCCCATCCCACAGCCCTAACTCCCATCATTGCCCCCACCCCCTCCCCGAACCCAGCAGCCAGCCAGCCTCACTTGAGCAGTGCGTTGGTTGGTATCTTATTCCAGGGAATGCCTTGCTTCAGCAGATCAATGGATAGCGACTGCAGGGAGAACAGCGACTGCAGGATAGCGTTCATATAGCAGGTATTCCCCAGGTTAGAGAACCTGCCATTCAGAGGGAATCCAGTTACAGGAGTCCACCCGCACATGTACAACACCCCCACTCCACACACACACCCCGGGCACACCCCCCACGTGCATGCACACACCCCCGCGCACACACCCTCACCCCACACACAACATACACACACTATACCCTCCATCAGCTATACAGTCTCACATAAGTTTACAGTAACTGATAATATAATTCTTGCATTTGATATAGCACCTTATCACGTCTTCGAGATATCTCAAAGCGCTTCACAGAATAAAGTGAATTGACTGTGTATTTTGTGGGCGAAACACGGCAGCCAATTGCACACAGCAGCGTCCCACAAACAGTCATAGATTGAGTGACCAAATTATTATTATTATTATTTAAATTGAAGGGAAGCGTTTCTCCCACAAAATATAGTCAATTCACTTTACAGTATATTCTGTGAAGCGCTTTGAGACGTATATCAAATGCGAGGATTATTATTATTAATTAATACCCCAGGAAAAGTGATCTGCCAATCAACTAACAACCGAATTTCTACGTACTGCTGGTAAGCAGAGGCGTGTGGAGTAAGGAAACTTGACTAAGGTTACGCCTCGCCCAGGAATCGAACCCGGGTCCTCTTCACACTACAGGACTCCACAAACTGAAATCCATTCTCACACAGCTCTGGCCTCACTGTCACATTTCTGCAGGTGGTGTTTCCCTGCTCTGTGCTGTGCTGTACTCACCCCTGCAGCTGCTGTGGCTGCTGTGTGGAGGGCTGGACTCTCAGCTTGTTCCAGCCGGCATAATCCTGATTGAGACGCAGTCGCTTTGCAGACTGAGGGCTCGGCTGAGGCAAAAATCCTGGGGTCTTTTTTACTGAAGGATTCTGGCTTGAAAGGCTGGTCCTGAGAGACACAGAGAGAGAGAGAGAGATAGACAGACACACAGACAGATAGAGAGAGACAGACACATACCCACACAGAGACAGATACAGACAGGCAGAACGATAGAGCGAGAGAGACACACACGCAGGATTTAGAATGGATAATAAATCAGCAAGTCACCACCCCATAACCTGCTGCTCAGGGGAGGGAGCCAGGCTGACACATCAACACCACTGGATACTTTACAGCTTCATTCATTCAGCCTCAAAGGTCTCAATGTGGGCTTTATGTTACCAGGACACACAACAAAGCACACCCACCTCCCCCTTTCACAGGAAGAAAGCCAGCAGTCAAAGTTGCTTGTCCAAGGCTGACCACCCTCACAGTTCACTGGGAGCTTACCCTGACCGCCACCCCACTCAGACGCTGGGAGTTTGCCCAGGGGCTGACACAGAGCTTACCTGTCGAGCACTGAATTCCCAGTAGTGTAATCCCTGGCTGAGGCTTTGCTGCCGTAGAAAGAGGCCGATGGCACCGGCAACGACAGCGGCCCTGAGAAGGAGACACAGTCACATGACACCAGGCTCTTAGCCCTCTCTCCCAGTATGCAGCAGCACGCCCCCCCCCCCAGGGTCTGGGCAGGGGGCTGTCAGTGATGATATCACTACATCTAGAGCACGTGGGGCTGGGGGGAATGTGAGGTGAGGAGGGTACCGGGATCTGTGGCCCAGGGCAGACACTCACCATTCGGCTTATTATCCTCTGCCTGACGGAGGCTGAGCTGTTTGTCACGGCTGCTGCTCAGGAACCTCCGGCCAGTGTCGCTCCAGGCCTGGTTATTGCTGTGGAAATTCCAGCCATGGTCACTCTACCTCCAGCCCGAGCCGAGTCCTCAACCTGTAACCCATCCTCAACACCCCCCAACCCTTCCCCTTCTATCCCCAGCCCGAGCCATTAACCCTAGCTACCCTATTTCCCCCGCCACCCCTCTCACCCTCCCCTCCCTTATTTCTAACCCTGAGCCGAGCCCTCAATCCGCATCCCCACAACCCCCCCGCCAGCCATCCTCCACCACCCAACTCCCCCACCTCATCCTCCACCTCCCCCTCTCTCTACCCCCGGACCGAGCCTAGCCGTTAATTTCCCACTCCTTAGCCCTTCCCCCCTGCTCCCTCCTCACCTCTACCGAGCCGAGCTCTTAAACCTCACCCTCTCCTCAACCCTCCCACCACTCTCTCCCTCTTACCTCCCGGTCCCTGGTCACCCTCTCCCTCCTCCCACCCCTCCACACATTTTAAGCCAAGCTCTCAACCTTCTCTCCCACACTGTCACCCTCTCCCCTCACCTTCCCCCGTTACCCAGCTGGTGTTGTAACTGACCTGGAGGAATCATTCTCTTTGGGATAATCTTCAGCCGTTTCTGGCTCTGGGGCCGGAAGCCTCTTCCTCTTCTCACTCCTTAAGCAAAACATGTAGCGAGTGAGACTCCTCCCCACTCACACAGTGCCCCCCACCACAGTGACAAACACCCCCACACACGCAGCAACCCCCCCACCATGATCCACACCCACACACTGCTCCCCCTCCACAACCCCCCACATACAACCAGCCCCCCCCCAACACTGAACCCCCACCCCCACCACCCACAGGCCCCCAAAACAGGCAGCAAGCAAGACGCCCACCTCACATAGCGCCCTCCACCCTACAGTGACAAGCCCCACTCACACAGTGCCCCCTATACAGCCCCCATATACTGACCCACCCACTGTGCCCCCAAAACAGGCAGCAAGTGAGACAGTTCAGTGAGCTCCACAGTGACAACCTCCTAGTGACTGGCTGTTGATGCTGCTGTTTCCCACCTGTTCTCTGCCAGGATGTTCCGGCTGTTACTGTAAGAGCTGGGGCTCTGGGATCCGCTCCGGCTGTTCCCGGGAACCGTCACCACCACCGGCACAGGCGGCCGCAGCCCAGCCCTGCTTGGCCCTGCTGGAGACTTCCTCACCACAGCTTCCTCCCTCAACGCAGCCTCCTCCCTCCTCACTGGGGTCTGTGACACATAGATGGAGGTCAGCCACAGAAGCACATCTCCCCCTTCCCCGCACACAGCACTCCCCACCAGTCACTGTAGCACAGAGCGGGTCCCAATCAGGTTCCCCATTGCCTCACCTGGTTCTCTATGTTACACAACTGCCTGTGACTTTCCTTTGAGGGAATCCTCTTCCCCAATGTTCCCCCAAAACTGCCTGATCCCGGGGTCAGCTTCATTCCTGAGGGAAAGTGAACACACGTCAGGGTCAGCATCTCACGCACACACACACACATATATATACAGCGCCCCTGAGCTTCCGATGTGAGAGCAACTACAGTATATACCATACTCGAGTGTGGGATTGTCCTGTGGATGAGGAAATAAACCAACCTTGGTTTTAACGTCTCGTCTGAAGGATGGTGTCTCTGACTATCCAACTGTGCTGTGTTGGAGCGTCAGCTTAGACTGTGTGATTACAAGTCCCAATATGGGTCTTGAGCCCACAATCTTCTGTTTCAGAGGTGAGAGCGCTCCCACCGAGCCGGGCTGACACACACTGAGTTGGGCTGACACACACACACACACACAAAATGCGCCGGTTCTGAAACTGAACGCCACAACTCACCGCTTGGAAGCTTCTCGCTGCTCAGATCCTCCAAGAAGTCCACGAGGAGCTGAGCCTGGGAGCTTGGGGCCTTGTCGATGGTCAGGCTGCTCTTGTCCTGCAGCGTCAGCATCAGCCGGGTCTCCTGCTTCACCGCGGGGCTCATCTTCACTGTCTTCACATTGCGGCTCAGCTAGTCACACAGTAACCTCATTAATACACACAGCTAATCACACAGTAACCTCATTAATACACACAGCTAGTCATACAGCAGCCTCATTAATACACACAGCTAATCACACAGCAGCCTCATTAATACACACATCTAGTCATACAGCAACCTCATTAATACACACATCTAGTCATACAGCAACCTCATTAATACACACAACTAGTCACACAGTAACCTTGAGTTAGTGAGTGCGTGACTGGGGAGAGCTGTTTGTGTTTGGGATTCAGTGACAGAGTGGCATAGGGTGATCGCTGCCAGATTCTCTGCCACAAACCCTTGTTGAAGGAGCGTTCATCAATTTGTTTAAAAGGATTTAGCTAGATACTCAGAGAGTCTGGGGGAGCAGCAGGTGAGTGGATTAAATTAGGTAAAACATGTGGAGGGAAACACCAGCCCAGACCTGACGGGCTGCCTGGCTTGCATTCACTTCCCGGGAATTTATCAACATTCACAGTCTGTGCCTCCCGCCCCTGCACCCACCCACCCCGCTTACACACAGGGTCTCTCCCCTCAGGCTTACACATAGGGCACCCCCAGCCTGGCTCACAAGTGCCCCCACACAGGCAGAGGTGTCAGACTCCACTGAACCATAGTCCCTGAGGTACCTGGAATGTTCTGGTGGGGCCGCCACATTTGAAGCGAACGAGGAGAGAGGCTTTGTTGTCCCTCTCCACCACCTCCAGGTTGCCCTCACGCCAGCGTGTCGTCCCTGTCTGGATGCTGTTGATCCGAATCTGACCGAAAACTTTCAGTAGGGCCATCACAGATTTTAATGGCTCTCAACAACTTTACCACAACCATGTAACCATGTAACCTGCTGAGCACAAGGCAACGAAGAGTCAACGTCAGAAAGCTCTCTCAGGCTGAACATTCAGGATAGAACCCGCTTCACTCAGCCCCACCCCCCTGTGCCCTCGCTCATAGTCCCGAGCCCTCAATACAGACTCCATGATGTGCAGATTTACCCACAAATCACACAGTCAATTCACTTTACAGTACATTCTGTGAAGCGCTTTGAGGCATCTCGAAGATGTGATAAGGCGCTATATCAAATGCAAGGATTATTATTATTATATACACGTATAATGTATGAGAAATGTAATGTATGAGAAATATTCATGCATACACGCACTGACTGTCGGTACCCATTTCTCTCTCTTAGTGTGTGTACGTATTATATATATATGAGTGTCTATGTGAATGTACATAAACATATATGTATGTATGAGCATATATATGTATGTGTGAGTATACGTAAGTATGTGTGTGTGAGTACATGTATGTATATGTGTGAGTGTATGTATGTGTGTGTGAGTACATGTGTGTGTGTGTGTGTGAGTACGTGTGTGTGTGAGTACATGTGTGTGAGTACATGTGTGTGTGTGTGAGTACACGTGTGTGTGAGTACATGTGTGTGTGTGAGTACATGTGTGTGTGTGAATACATGTGTGTGTGAGTACATGTGTGTGTGTGAGTACATGTATGTGTGTGAGTGTATGTATGTGTGTGTGAGTACATGAGTGTGTGTGCGTACATGTATGAGTGTGTGTGAGTACATGTATGTGTGTGTGAGTACGTGTGTGAGTACATGTGTGTGTATGTGAGTACATGTGTGTGTGAGTACATGTGTGTGTGAGTACATGTGTGTGTGAGTACATGTGTATGTATGAGTACATGTGTGTGAGTACATGTGTGTGTGAGTACATGTGTGTGTGAGTACATGTATGTGTGTGTGTACATGTGTGTGTGTGAGTACATGTATGTTATGTGTGTGTGAGTACATGTGTGTGTGTGTGAGTACATGTGTGTGTGTGTGAGTACATGTGTGTGTGTGTGTGTGAGTACATGTATGTGTGTGTGTGAGTACATGTATGTGTGTGTGTGTGTGAGTACATGTATGTGTGTGTGTGTGTGAGTACATGTATGTGTGTGTGTGAGTACATGTATGTTATGTGTGTGTGAGTACATGTGTGTGTGTGTGAGTACATGTGTGTGTGTGTGTGTGTGAGTACATGTATGTGTGTGTGTGTGTGAGTACATGTATGTGTGTGTGTGTGTGAGTACATGTATGTGTGTGTGTGTGTGAGTACATGTGTGTGTGTGAGTACATGTGTGTGTGTGTGTGAGTACATGTATGTGTATGTGTGTGTGTGAGTACATGACGGGGTGTACCTGTTCCTCTCTCGCGCTGATGGCGGGAAGCTGCTGTTACCCACAATGCTGTGCGGCGCGGGGGCTGCCGGGATTCCAGTGATTTATTGCAGTTTATTGTTGTATTTACACACATGAAATCATATGATGTTGTGGGTTATTATGTGTGTTTGTGTGTGTGGTTATTAGCAGTTATTCGGTGTTTGTCGCCGCGGGTTATTGTGATTATTGTCACTGACACACAGGCGGGAGGAGGGTTGAAAGGTCACGTGTAAAACCTATTATTACAACAATATATTTACAAACAAACCGTGTGTGAGAGTCCGCGCGGCGGACGGTCACTGCGGTGTCGGTGTCGGTGCCACAGTTGCTGCTGTAGTCTTATTATTGTTGTTATGGCGGCGGGAGCGGGACAGCCCGGGGTCAGGGGTCAGGGACGGCAGGACCCAACGGCGGCGGCAACAACACCCTCAGCGGCAGCGCCACCGCCTCCACCACCACCGACACCGACACCAGCACCGACACCAGCACCAGCACCATGCACAGCCTGGCGGCCGGGGCGGTGAGCGGGGCCCGGGGGGAGAGGGCTGAGGCGGGGGGAGAGGCGGGGGGGGCGCGGGGGAGAGGGCTGAGGCGGGGGGAGAGGCGGGGGGGGGCGCGGGGGAGAGGGCTGAGGCTCGATCCCGGGAGGCAGTAGCTATTCTGTAAATAACATTTGCCATATTCGCTCCTTATCGCATCAGTAAAATGTCTCCGAGCACTTCACAGGATGTTTGTGGCTAAATTTGCGCACAGCACTGCCCCACAACAGCCACGAAGTGAACGGTACATTATATTTGAGAGAGGCTGTTCCCGGGAAACTCCCTCCAAGTGATGTCGTGGGGTCTTCACAGTCCTCTTGAACTGGCAGATGGGGCCTTGGTTTAACCTCTCATCTGAGCTGTGGCACTGAGGCAGCGGCGTGGACTGAGCTCAACGGAGGGCATTGAACCCTCAAATTACTGACTCAAGCCCCGAGCGTTACTAACAGCCGAGGCTTAGTGGGAGCAGTGAGCTGACAGGAAGGGCTGAGGTATGGGGAGTGGGGGGACTGCTGTGGGGGGGGGAATGGGCTGGTGTGGAGCGGGGGTAGGGGGCTGGTGCTCTCTTTCTGTGACTGACACTGTGTTTGGTTGGCAGCCGGCCACGGCCTTGGCACAGGTGGATCGGGAAAAGATTTACCAATGGATTAATGAGCTGTCGAGTCCTGAGACGCGGGAGAATGCCCTGTTGGAGCTGAGCAAGAAGCGAGAATCTGTGCCCGACCTGGCGCCCATGCTCTGGCACTCGTTTGGAACCATTGCTGCTCTGTTACAGGTACCGGCAGTGGGGCTGCGGGTGTACGTGGTGTTGTGTGAGTGCTGCCCCCTATCTTGCACAGTGTAGAGGGAGCGTTACTGTGTCTCTAACCCTGACCTGGGAGTGTGGACGCACAGTGTAGAGGGAGCGTTACTGTGTCTCTAACCCTGACCTGGGAGTGTGGACGCACAGTGTAGAGGGAGCGTTACTGTGTCTCTAACCCTGACCTGGGAGTGTGGACGCACAGTGTAGAGGAGCGTTACTGTGTCTCTAACCCTGACCTGGGAGTGTGGACGCACAGTGTAGAGGGAGCGTTACTGTGTCTCTAACCCTGACCTGGGAGTGTGGACACACAGTGTAGAGGAGCGTTACTGTGTCTCTAACCCTGACCTGGGAGTGTGGACACACAGTGTAGAGGAGCGTTACTGTGTCTCTAACCCTGACCTGGGAGTGTGGACACACAGTGTAGAGGAGCGTTACTGTGTCTCTAACCCTGACCTGGGAGTGTGGACACACAGTGTAGAGGGAGCGTTACTGTGTCTCTAACCCTGACCTGGGAGTGTGGACGCACAGTGTAGAGGGAGCGTTACTGTGTCTCTAACCCTGACCTGGGAGTGTGGACGCACAGTGTAGAGGAGCGTTACTGTGTCTCTAACCCTGACCTGGGAGTGTGGACACACAGTGTAGAGGAGCGTTACTGTGTCTCTAACCCTGACCTGGGAGTGTGGACACACAGTGTAGAGGGAGCGTTACTGTGTCTCTAACCCTGACCTGGGAGTGTGGACACACAGTGTAGAGGGAGCGTTACTGTGTCTCTAACCCTGACCTGGGAGTGTGGACCACAGTGTAGAGGAGCGTTACTGTGTCTCTAACCCTGACCTGGGAGTGTGGACACACAGTGTAGAGGAGCGTTACTGTGTCTCTAACCCTGACCTGGGAGTGTGGACGCACAGTGTAGAGGAGCGTTACTGTGTCTCTAACCCTGACCTGGGAGTGTGGACGCACAGTGTAGAGGAGCGTTACTGTGTCTCTAACCCTGACCTGGGAGTGTGGACGCACAGTGTAGAGGAGCGTTACTGTGTCTCTAACCCTGACCTGGGAGTGTGGACACACAGTGTAGAGGAGCTTTACTGTGTCTCTAACCCTGACCTGGGAGTGTGGACGCACAGTGTAGAGGAGCTTTACTGTGTCTCTAACCCTGACCTGGGAGTGTGGACGCACAGTGTAGAGGGAGCGTTACTGTGTCTCTAACCCTGACCTGGGAGTGTGGACACACAGTGTAGAGGAGCTTTACTGTGTCTCTAACCTATATGGAGTGGAGTCCTGTAGCTCAGTGGTTAGAGCACTCGCTTTGCAAGTGAGAGACCTGAGTTCAATTCCAGGCAGAGGGCGAAACCTTGGGCAAGTTTCCTTACTCCACACAGAGCCTAATAATAATCCCTCCAAAACAAAAAAAAAACAATAATAAATTGGTCATTTTCAATCTACGACTGTTTGTGGGACATTGCTGTGCGCAATTGGCTGCCGCGTTCGCCCACAAATATACAGTCAATTCACTTTACAGTCTATTCTGTGAAGCGCTTTGGGACGTCCTCCCGACGTGAAAAGCGCTATATCAAATGCAAGGATTATTATTATTATTATTATTATACTGTTATTGTGTGGGGAGCCAGTGGTGTGTTGAGGTCATGGAACTAGAGTTGAAGATATGAAATGTTACATTTGCTTCTGGTAAATATAATACTAGTTTTTCTCCAGGAGATTGTAAATATTTACCCATCGATCAACCCCCCAACACTGACAGCACATCAGTCTAACCGTGTGTGCAACGCCCTGGCCTTGCTTCAGTGTGTGGCTTCTCACCCAGAAACTAGGTAAGTGCCCCCAGGGAGAGCTAGTGCCTCTCACAGCGCCCAGCCCTCTGTGCCCCTCACTGCCCCCAGCCCTCTGTGCCCCTCACTGCCCCCAGCCCTCTGTGCCCCTCACTGCGCCCAGCCCTCTGTGCCCCTCACTGCCCCCAGCCCTCTGTGCCCCTCACTGCCCCCAGCCCTCTGTGCCCCTCACTGCCCCCAGCCCTCTGTGCCCCTCACTGCCCCCACGCCGGTGGCCCCCCCCCCCCGCCCCCCGACCGGTGCTCCCCCCATCCGCAGGCTGGTGCCAGTCACTGCCAGGCCTGTGTTTGAGGTCGATGTGAGAAGCACATGGCAGTTTGTTCCTTTATGTTGTCCTCCCAGCACTTGTTAATTTGCTGCAGAGAGAGGAACAAGGTGCCTTGTTTCAGGTCAGGATGATAGAATTTCTGTGCCAGCAGTTTCTGGCTGAGACCCTGTCACTGGGTTAGAGTCAGTGTCGGGAACCCTTGTTGCTGGATATTTTCGGGAGCTGGGGTTTTTCTGGCTGTGACACTGTCACCTCTGTTACAGTCTTTATCACAGTGGCCAGAGGCCACAGTACAACTTAACAAACTGGTGGAGACATTGGGCAGCAGTAAAGTTGCTCCCTGGAACTTGTCCCACAGAAGAGGCTGGAACCCGGGGATGCTGGCCGAGAGGAGAGGGACAATCATGTTAATGTAGGAGTCAGTCATGTGATTTCTTGTTGGCTTTGTGGTGTAATGTGTGATGTGTGTTGGTGCTGTGTTCCAGGTCGGCTTTCCTTGCAGCCCACATCCCACTCTTCCTGTATCCATTTCTCCACACGGTCAGCAAAACCAGGCCCTTCGAGTACCTGCGTCTCACCAGTCTGGGCGTCATTGGTGAGCATAACACAGCGCCCGGTGGTCAGTGTGACTGCAAGCAGTCTGATGCCTCGGCACTCACTTTCACATTTGCGCTCGCTCACTCACTCACTCACTCACTCACTGACTGTTGTATTTGATGCAGGAGCACTTGTGAAAACTGATGAGCAGGAAGTGATTAACTTTCTCCTCACAACAGAGATTATCCCTCTCTGTCTGCGGATCATGGAATCAGGCAGTGAACTGTCTAAAACAGTGAGTACAGATCCCATGGCTCTGTCAGCGGGGGGAGGGCTGCCATGTGTGTAAGCGTCTCTCTCTCTCTCTCTCTCCCCTCACTGACTCTCTCTCTCACTGACTTTCTCTGACTCTCCCCCTCTCACTGACTCTTCCCCCCCCTCACTGAATCTCCCCCCCTCACTGACTCTCCCCCCCTCACTGACTCTTGCCCCTCACTGACTCTCTCTCCCTCTAGCTGACTCTCTCTTTCACCGACTCTCTCTCTTTCCCCGACTCTCTCTTTCACCAACTCTCTCTCTTTCACTGACTCTCTCTCTCACCAACTCTCTCTCTCTCTACCTCACTGACTCTCACTGACTGTTTCTCCCCTCACTGATACTCTCTCTCTCACACTCTCTCTGACACTCTCTATCGCTGCAGGTCGCCACGTTTATTCTGCAGAAGATTCTCCTGGATGACACGGGGCTGGCCTACATCTGCCAGACGTACGAGCGTTTCTCTCATGTGGCAATGATTCTGGTGAGTCTGGGATCAGCGGACGGCTTGTCACTGCCGGGGGTTGATGAGAGGCGAGGGGTGGTATTACTGTCGGAGGGTGGGGTGTCAGTGCTGGGAGTGGGGGGGGGCGACATCTGTCCTTCCGTCACACTGAAGGCTGATGTCCATCAGTAGCTGATGAGGAAACTCTGAGGCTGGGGTTACAGCTGCTGGAAGGTGTGACCTGGATCCTACTTTGTGACACCCGGTCGTACGTCCAGTGCCTGGAATCCACCGTTTGGTTTGCAGAGAAGTGAGTAACCGGCCTCAGCTCAAACGCCACACCAACACCTGGAGCCATCGCTCAGCGTGTGGGGCTGTGATGGTGACAGTGTGTGGTGGCCAATGACTCTGCTGTGTGCAGTGATGGTGACTATAAAAGCGGCCGATATGCGGTGCTGGTGATGATGGTGATGATGATGATGATGGTAGTGGTGATGATGAAGGTTCTGTTGTCCACACAGGGGAAGATGGTGCTGCAACTTTCCAAAGAGCCGTCGGCGCGGCTGCTGAAGCACGTGGTTCGCTGTTACCTCCGTCTGTCTGACAATCCCCGGTGAGTATCAGTGAAGCCATGGCTAGTGAGCACCACCCCTGTGTGTGTGTGTGTTGCCCCCCTCACTGACGCTGTGTGTGTGTTGCCCCCCTCACTGACGCTGTGTGTGTATTGCCCCCCTCACTGACGCTGTGTGTGTGTGTTGCCCCCCTCACTGACGCTGTGTGTGTGTGTTGCCCCCCTCACTGACGCTGTGTGTGTGTGTTGCCCCCCTCACTGACGCTGTGTGTGTGTGTTGCCCCCCTCACTGACGCTGTGTGTGTGTTGCCCCCCTCACTGACACTGTGTGTGTGTGTGTTGCCCGCCTCACTGACGCTGTGTGTGTGTGTGTTGCCCCCCTCACTGACGCTGTGTGTGTGTTGCCCCCCTCACTGACGCTGTGTGTGTGTGTTGCCCGCCTCACTGACGCTGTGTGTGTGTGTGTTGCCCCCCTCACTGACGCTGTGTGTGTGTGTGTTGCCCCCCTCACTGATGCTGTGTGTGTGTGTGTTGCCCCCCTCACTGACGCTGTGTGTGTGTTGCCCCCCTCACTGACGCTGTGTGTGTGTGTTGCCCCCCTCACTGACGCTGTGTGTGTTGCAGGGCGCGGGAGGCCTTGAGGCAGTGTCTTCCTGACCAGCTGAAAGACACCACATTTGCTCAGGTGCTGAAGGACGACACCACGACCAAGCGCTGGCTGGCTCAGCTCGTCAAGAACCTCCAAGACGGGCAAGTGACTGACCCTCGGGGCATCCCACTGCCACCCCAGTGAAGGGCTTCCCCTGGCACTGCCTGACCCCGCAGGCGGTCACCAGCCCCCTCCCCACCAGCTCCAGCCTAACCCACCTTGCAGGACTGTGATTGGCAAGGCTGTGTGTGGTGGGGGGTGGCTCAGGCTGTGACGCTAGTGTGAGATCCCCTGCTCTGTGAGCTGTGGGGAGGGACTATGTGTGATGGAGGGCCGTGCCCTGTAGGCCATGCGGGGCTGAGGCTGTGTGTGAGGAGGGGAGAGGAGCCGCTCCCGGTGCTCACTGGCGTCTCTGGAGAGAGTTTCCTGAATTGCTGTGAGTTTTTAGTTTGTAGTTTGTAGTGAAACAGCGTCAGTGACTCACTGTCAGTAAATGTCTATAAATATTCCTCTGTCTCCAATCCCTCCTCTGTCGTGTTTTAATCCTGCACCAACTTTCCTCACGCAATGGAGGGGGTGCAGTGGGCGTGGGGGGCAGGACTGGGGGAAGGGGGACAGCAGGGGGGGAATCTAACCCACAGTTATGAGGATGATGCTTGTAACACACACATACAGGCATGGATGTGCACCGTCACTCCCTTACACTGTCTCTCACACAGACACACGCAGTATAGAAGGAACTTTATTCTGTCTCTAACCCCTGCCCGCACAATCCTTGGTGACGAGCTGGTTGCAGCCCTGAATGTTCCCACTTCCTGGAGCGAGGCAAGCTGCGGGATCCAGTGTCCGCTCATTAAATATGTATCTGTTACCCTGACCATCTCAGGGGACAAGCACACACTTAAAGCTGTGTTGTCATTCTTGCCTTTCATTCCTCAGACAGTTAATCAATGGCTCACATCTCTACACTGTGCGTCCACACTCCCAGGTCAGGGTTAGAGACACAGTAAAGCTCCTCTACACTGTGTGTCCACACTCCCAGGTCAGGGTTAGAGACACAGTAACGTTCCATCTACACTGTGTGTCCACACTCCCAGGTCAGGGTTAGAGACACAGTAAAGCTCCTCTACACTGTGTGTCCACACTCCCAGGTCAGGGTTAGAGACACAGTAAAGCTCCTCTACACTGTGTGTCCACACTCCCAGGTCAGGGTTAGAGACACAGTAAAGCTCCCTCTACACTGTCCATCCACACTCCCAGGTCAGGGTTAGAGACACAGTAAAGCTCCATCTACACTGTGTGTCCACACTCCCAGGTCAGGATTAGAGACACAGTAAAGCTCCCTCGTTACTGTGCTTCCACACTCCCAGGTTAAAAACACATGTTTGTGGTTGCAGACAGCCTAACTGGGAAGATGAGGGGGAGGGGACCCTTGTCTCCTGTCAGGCCCCTGCCCTGCTCTCTGCTCGGACCCCTCAGATCGCTCACCAGACGGGAGATATAATGAAGGCGAAGGTATAAGCAGTGATGCTGCCACAGTAGCTCACACCAGCAGCCGGCAACGCCCAACATCCTTGCTTTAAGGTCTGGCTCTGATGGCACCGATCAGTTTTCTTCACCTCCTGGCTTCCCAGCCTGTGCTCAGCACAATGCTCCAGTTCCCTCACCCAACACCGTGTCTGAGCCGCTCCCGGCTCTCAATCCTGCCCACTCTGCTCTGGTGAGAATCCACAGTCTCTGGTGCTTGTTACATCCCACCCTGTGTGTGTGTATATGTTTATGTTACACCTTGTGTGTGCACTTCTCCAAATAGGATTTGTGTACAATCCTGTGTGTGTCTGTGTGCACTCCCGTGTCTGTGTGTGTGTATGTATGTGTGCGTGTGTACGCTTGTGTATGTACGTATGTGTGTGTACCTATGCACTCCTGTGTGCACTACTGTGTGTGTGATGTATGTGTGTGTGTGTGCACACTCTGGGATTAGGGTGAGGTGTAAATATCAGGTGTGTGGAGGGATGTCTCCGATGCAGTTAGAAACCTATCACTAGTCGGTCATTTGTCATCTGAGGCCTCACTGGGCGGGTGGCAGGTTGGAGGCACTCCCTGCGAGCTTTCTGGTCAGCATCACAGCTCAGCATGAAATGTATGTGAGCATCTTCCTGCCCACTGCTCAGAAGCGTATCTTTTCCCATTGAGCCATAATCCCGCAGCTGGTGGCGGGGAGCTTGAGCAGCTGCTCAGCCACAGATCAGTGTGGGCCACATCCTGCAGACACTTCCCCATTTATCAGCAATCTACCTCCTGCTTGATCCGGGACATATGGGCTGAAGGAGCCAGGAGCTGGGAGCCATGAGGAGCTGTTTGGACACAGTCTCACACACAGACTGAAGCCCTATTGAGGAGTGAGGTAACACTGGAGCAGCTTCCTCTGCGTGTCACTGAAACAGCTTGTGTTAATAGTTTTACAATCTATGCAACAATTATTGCAAAAGTTACTGAACAGTGTGTAGGTTTCACAGTCAACAGGGAACAGTTTGCATTACATAACGGTGCAGGGTATAGGCTTGTGTCAGTGATTATGTGGGAGCAGAGAAGGTTCAATGGGAATCCCAGCAAGTTCTTTACTATTACGCTTGTTCAAGATACATTTTCTCTGATGGGCATCAATTGAAGAAAAATGATTTTACACAGAGCGTTGTCACAATAGGGAAAAAGCAGGGAATGGGGTTAGAGTAGAGAGCTCCAGTGGGGGAGCGAACCCCAGCACAGACACGATGGGGAGAGAGAGAGAGGGCAGGGAATGGGGTTAGAGTAGAGAGCTCCAGTGGGGGAGTGAGCCCCAGCACAGACACGATAGGGAAGGAGAGAGAGAGCAGGGAATGGGGTTACAATGTGGGATGAGATGGGGGGGTGTACAATGCCTTGTCCTGTATGAGACTGGACTGTGAGGAGCCGCAGTGGGAGGGGAAGGGCTGACTCAGCAACATTGAGGTGTCTCAGAGGGAGGAGCTGGTCTCTGCCTTCCCTCCCCCTGCACATACTCCGCATCCACAGCTGGTGCCAGGGATGTACTGTGATTGTGCTGGTACTGCCTTACAGCTTCTCTTCTCTCTTTCTCTCTCTCTGCCTCTTTACTTTGCCAAGACACCGTCCGGCATGACGGCGCTATATAAATGCAAGTTGTTGTTGATGCTTCTCTTTATCTCTGCCTCTTTGCTCCTCTCCTCACCTTCACTCCCCCCACCACCCCTCAGTCTGCCCCCCTCACCATGCCCCCACTCACTCTTTCCCCTCCCCGGGTTTTGTGGCTGGAGTGTTTCTAAATGGTTTTACTTTGCAGAGCTCAGCGTTGCTGTGAGGAGAGGAACTGATGGCAACTGCGAGGCCAAATCTATGTAAGTGGCAACTGGATTCAGTCAGAATCTGGGGTATTATGAGGTATTGTTGGCGTATTATGGGATATTCCTGGAATAAGTGCAGTGACTGTGTGTTTTGCGGCAAACGCGACACACAGTGATGTCCACAAAAACAGTCATGAAGTGACTGCAATTTTATCTTGGGGAATGGTTGGGCAGAACACCGTGAGAGAGAAACTCCCTTTTCTTGTTGAATAGCACTGCGGCATATTTGATGTCCGTCTGAGCAGACAGACACACAAGAGCTCAATGTAACCCTCTGACACTACAACACCCCCTCCCCACAGCTACACTGCAGATCCCCCCCTACCTCCCCCCACCAGTGCCTGGACAAGGTAAAATTCAAGATCCCAGGATTTGGGGCATTGTACAATGGGATTCCAACCCCCCCACCCACCACCACCACAATCCTGACTCCGGAACAAGTCAGGTACCAATTGAGCCAGGCTGACAGACTGGGGTTTTGCTGGAGTTGTGTTGTTGCCATGATGCTGGCATGTTTGTGTATGTTACTGGTGTGTGTCTGTTACTGACATGGGTGTATGTTACTGGTCTGTGTGTGTGTATGTAGGTTACTAGCATGTGTGTATGTTACAGCTGTGTATGTGCGTATGTTGCAGCCGTGTGTGTATTTTACAGCCATGTGTGTGTGTTACTGGAGTGTGTATTTTATTGACGTGTGAATGTTATTGGTGTGTGCGTATGTTACTAGCACGTGTGTATGTTGCTGGCGTGGGTATGTTACTGATGTGTGTATGTTACTGTTGTGTGTGTATGTTACCTGTGTGTGTGTGTATGTTACCGATATGTGTGTATGTATGTTACGATAAGGTGTGTGTATGTATGTTACTGGTATATGCGGTCAGGCCTGCAGGATGACAGGGACGTGCAGGCCATGCAGCGGGGGGCGGTACTGAGGAAAGTCAAGTCTCGGAGCTGGAAACGCCCACGGTGCTACAGGCTGCAGGAGGATTGTATGAGCGTCTGGTACAACTCGAAGAAAGCTGGGAACCCCAGGACCGCGTGTGAGTACACCTGTTATAGCGTTGATACACGTGCCAGAGAGTGTGATACATGTGCCAGAACATGATACACGTGCCAGAGCGAGTGACACATGTATCAGAGCCTGTAACATGTCAGCGAGCATGAGTCACGGTCAGTGAGTTGACTTGTAATGAGGTTAGTATATAGTGAGTTGACATAGAGCATGTGGTGAGTTGGTGTGTGGGGGGTTGGTGTGTAGTGAGTTTGGAGCGTAGTGAGGTTGGCATGCAGAGATGGCGTGTAGTTAGGTTGGCGTGTAGTGAGGTTGGCGTGTAGTGAGGTTGGCATGTAGAGTTGTGTAGTGAGGTTGGCGTGTAGAGTTGGCGTGTAGTGAGGTTGAGGTGTGCTGTTACAGTCTCGCTGTGTGATGTGGAGATGGTGAGAGAGGGACATCAGTCAGAGCTGTTACAGAGCCTCGCTGGGGAGTTCAGCCCCGGCCTCTGCTTCACCATCGTGTTCCGGGGCCGCAGCGGGAACCTGGACCTGGTGGCAGAGTCGGTGCAGGAGGCAGAGTCCTGGGTCCGTGGTCTCCGCACTCTCATCAACAGCCTCCAGAACATGGACCAGAAAGAGAAGCTCGACCGATATCCTTCAGCAATGATTGGGCCGAGGAGGTGGGCAGAACTTCGTCAGCACAAGCACCTGTGAGGAGGGAATATTTCTCAACTCAGGCTGAATCTGGAAATTATTTTCCTGCAGTTCTTACAAATTAGTGCTGATCTGGGAGTGTGGACACACAGTGTAGAGGAGCTTTACTGTGTCTCTAACCCTGACCTGGCAGTGTGGACACACAGTGTAGAGGGCGTTACTGTGTCTCTAACCCTGACCTGGGAGTGTGGACACACAAGTGTAGAGGGAGCTTTACTGTGTCCTTAACCCTGACCTGGGAATATGGATGCACAGTGTAGAAGGAGCTTTATTGTGTCTCTAACCCTGACCTGGGAGTTGTTGTTGAGTGCGTTGTGCACAGATGATTTTCCTTCACTCGGGCCTGACGTGGATCAGGGACTGGTTCCAGAAAGCAGATAAGGATAAAGACGGCAGAATGAACTTTAAGGAAGTGCGAGACCTGCTGAAAATGATGAATGTGAACATGAACGAGCTGCATGCGCTCAGCCTGTTTGAGGTGAGTGATCGACAGGTGCCGAGGGATGTGAGATGGAGAGTGTGAGGGAGGTGAGGTGTCAGGCTGCTCCTTGGCCAGCACTGGTGTCGGCCGGTGATTGTTTGGTGTTGAAGGCTCCTCTGTTCTGTCTCTTGTCCCTGTCATTGCTGTCGGTCAAGCCCTGCGAGAGCTGGCATCGCAACCAAGAAATCAAACCTAGCAACAACATGAAGACCCTTCGGCCCACCTGCTCTCATCCCTCTACAAATCCAACGACCGTTCCCCGACGCAGCATTGAGCTGTTGTCTAAATGAGTCCAAGTGCCCCTGACCTCAAAACCCCAACCTGCCCCACTGGCCTCACCCCCCCACCGCCCCCCCCCCCCCACTAATTAGTCTCTGGGTGAAAACCTTCCTGGTTTCTGTCCTGAAATCGCCTTTTGTCCATTCAGGAAATGGAACATAGCAGGAGGCGCCCTCCAGTGGCTGCAGTGCGAAGCTGCAGCATTGAAGAGCATGGGAGCTGCTCTATGTGTGTGAGTGTGAGCTGAGTGAGTGAGTGGGGGTGCGTGTGAGCAGGGGTACCTACACCTAAACTCTAACCCAAAACCTTACCTTAACACCTAACCCACTAATCCCCAATCCTCATTGGCTGGTAACCCTAATACTAATGCCCTAACCCTGACCCTAATTGACACTGGGAAACACTTTACACGGGAAACCCTAATACCTTAACTCAAACACTTTACAATGAGAAACTCTTTACAGTAGGAGACACTTCACAATGCTATGAGCTGGTGAATGTGAGCAGGTGACTGTGAGCAGGCGTGCGAGTGGATGAGTGTGAGTGGGTGTGTAGCCGCGGTGCTGACCGGCCCCTCGAACCCTCAGATGGCTGACAAGTCTCGGTCAGGGACCCTAGAGGGAGAGGAGTTTGTGCTGTTTTATAAGGCCCTGACAGAGCGCGAGGACCTGAGGAAGATCTTCTCCCACTGCTCTGCGGATGGGCAGACTTTCAGCCAAAGGGAATTTGCCGAGTTCCTGACTGAGCAGCAGCTAGAGCCAGCGGACACTGCCATGGAGACGGCCTCCGCCCTGATAGACAGGCATGAGCCCTCGGATACAGGTACCCAACCACCAGCCTGACAATGACATCTGAACCCCGGGTGGGGAGAGGGTGAGAGCAGGGAGGGGCAAGGGCAAGAAAGGGCGCGGAGAAACGACGGTGGGGGTGCGAGGGGCAAGGGCTCGATAAGGGCGAGCGGGAGGTGAGGGCTGGGAGAGGACGAGCGGGGCAGGAGCTATGGGCGAGAGGAGTGGGGGGTTTATGGGGGAGAGTTGAAGGCGGGGAGATTAGGGACAGGAGGGGGGAGGGTTGAAGGCGGGGGTGATGGGGGTCACTCTCGGTTTATGACTAACATTTCTTGTCACGTCTTGTTTAGCCAAGCAGCTCCCGGCGCTGACTCTGAATGGCTTCCTGGCCTATCTCCGTTCTCCAGAAGGTTCCATCTTCAACCCTGAGCACGAGCGTCTGCACCAGGACATGTCGCGACCGCTCAACCATTACTTCATCAACTCCTCACACAACACCTACCTGCTGGAGGATCAGCTCCGTGGGCACAGCAGTGTCGAGGGCTACATCAGGTACTGGCTCTGGGGGATGAGGGAAGACAGGCCCTGGTGGGGAGGCGGGGACAACATGCTGTGGGGACTGAGGTCCTGTGTGAGCATGGCTCTGTGGTTAGGTTGTGTTCTGGTTACAGAGCGTTGATGAGGGGATGCCGGTGTGTGGAGGTGGATTGCTGGGACGGAGCCGGCCTGGAGCCTGTCGTCTATCACGGCCACACATTCACATCCAAGATCTTCTTCAAGGACGTCATCTCCGTCATCAGCAAATACGCTTTTACGGTAAATAACTTGCAGTAACATGGCAACCCTTACCTGGTGTCTTACACACAGAAACCATCTCCACTATTAACAGTCTCCAAACACAGCGACTCAGAGCTCCAAATTCAGTATGCATCTGGGATGGAATGCGCACTCTCTCTCTCCCTGGAGGACGCACCTTGCTTATCTAATTCTGGATATTAGGCACAGGCTTGGGGAACCCCAGAGTGTGCACTGGGGTAACTGGCATTGATATTGCTGCGGCAAGCTTTCCCGCTGCTTGTCCATCTAGGACCATCCAACCCATTAGGGCTTTGGCTGCAGGGTTAACAGGGGCTGTTTGGCCCTTCCAGGTCCTGCCAATGAGCCAGGCCGGGCTGTGCTGTCATCAGCAGTGAGTGCCCTGGATTACTGCGGATCTGGCTAGCGTTGGATGTACAGATGTAAATGACCTCGGACTCCAGGTAACACCTTCCAGCAGCTGTCACTCCAAGCCTCAGAGTTTACTAATCAGCTACAGCTACAGACTGACATCTGCCTTCAGTGTGGTGGGAGGACTTTTACAGGAAAGCTTGTGATGTGCCAGCCGCCTTCATGTTCTTGAAGCCCAAGTCCAATCCTGGGTACCAGGTTCACTGAGCACCAGAGTAATCGCGGTCCTGATGTGAGGGGCCTTGGCAAAGGGCCATGGATGGGGCTACATTACAGTGGCAAGTAAATGTATCCTTACTGTGACAGGTGTCAGAGCTGCCACTGATCTTGTCCATCGAGAACCACTGCAGCCTCGAGCAGCAGCGAGTCCTGGCACATCACATGCGGCACTTCCTGGGAGACTGGCTGGTTATGGGCACTATCGATGGCTCTGTGCCCACCCGCATGCCATCCCCTGAGGTAAGTCCTTTGTACCCCCTCCTCCCCGGGACACCATTACCCCTCTCCTTCCCCCACCCTCACCGCCACCCCCAGGTACACACCGTTACCCCTTTCCTTCCCCCACCCCCAGGTACACACCGTTATCCCCCCCCCCCCCGCAACCCAGTACACACTGGTATCCCTCATCGCCAAGTACACACTGAGCGGGTGACGAAATTAATAATCTTGTTGCTGGGGTTAGTGTTAATTGGTTCTGGGTATTCGCTATGTATTGAAGATGGGCTGGGAGAGGGTGAGTGTGAGCGGTATGTGTGCAGGAGCTGAGAGGAAAGATCCTGGTGAAGGGCAAGCGGATTGGGCCATTGTTGGATGCCCTGAGTGGGCCGGAGGAGGACCCCTGCTCAGGGGAGGTGACGGACGAGGACGAAGCCGCAGAGGCAGAGGATGAAAATATCAGGAACGAAGTCAAGAGGAAAGAAAAGGTAACAGCGCAGGGCGTCCCCCCCGGCGCAGGGCGTCCCCCCCGGCGCAGGGCGTCCCCCCCGGCGCAGGGCGTCCCCCCCGGCGCAGGGCGTCCCCCCGGCGCAGGGCGTCCCCCCCGGCGCAGGGCGTCCCCCCGGCGCAGGGCGTCCCCCCGGCGCAGGGCGTCCCCCCCGGCGCAGGGCGTCCCCCCCGGCGCAGGGCGTCCCCCCCGGCGCAGGGCGTCCCCCCCGGCGCAGGGCGTCCCCCCCGGCGCAGGGCGTCCCCCCCGGCGCAGGGCGTCCCCCCGGCGCAGGGCGTCCCCCCGGCACACGTGCCTCAGGCTGTGTGGTCCATGTTCCCTGGCTGTGGGTATCAGAGTCGCTGCTTCACAGCCTCTGTCCCTCTCTCCGCAGGTCTCCAAGCAGAGTCTGGCTAAGGAGCTGTCAGACTGTGTAGTTTACTGTAAAAGCGTTCACTTCCACAGCTTCCATCACTCGCGGCAGCACTATCACTGCTATGAGCTCTCCTCCTTCACTGAGTCCAAGGCCAGGAAGCTGATCCGGGAGGCTGGTGAGTGACCAGGAAACCACAGACTGAATCTCAGGGTCTCCCTTCCTCTGACTCCTGGCACAAAGCAGCCGGAGATGAGAGTTGGTTGAGCTCAGACATTCAGCTCTAAACTGTGGGGGCTTTCAAATGTACAGATCAGCACCATGTGAGCCCGAGCACTGGCCACAGGGACACACAGGAGATGAGGAAAACAGGGGGAGGGTGGTCTGTGTATGGGGTGTGGGTGTGTGTGTGCGGGGTGGGGTGGGGGTGTAGGCGTGTGTGTGTGTCGGCGTGTGTGTGTGTCGGGGTGTGGGGTGTGTGTATGTCTGTGTGTGGGGGGTGGGGGTGTCTGTGTGTGTGTGGTGGGGGTGTCTGTGTGTGTGGGGGTTGGGGTGTCTGTGTGTGGGGGGTGGGGGTGTCTGTGTGTGTGTGGGGGGTGGGGGTGTCTGTGTGTGTGGGGGGTGAGTGTCTGTGTGGGGGGGTGAGTATCTGTGTGGGGGGTGGGTGTCTGTGTGTGGGAGGGGTCTGTGTGAGTGGGGGGGTGTCTGGGGGTGGGGTGTGTCTGTGTGTGGGGGTGGGGGTGTCTAAGTGGGGGGTGGGTGTGTGTCTGTGTGTGGGGGGGTATCTGTGTGGGGGGGGTATCTGTGTGGGGGTGTGTGTCTGTGTGTGTGGGCGGGTGTGTGTGTCTGTGTGGGGGTGGGGATGTGTCTGTGGGGGGGTATGTGTCTGTGTGTGTGGGGGTGTATCTGTGTGGGGGTGTGTCTGTGTGGGGGGGGGCGGTATCTGTGTGTGGGGGGGTATCTGTGGGGGTGCGTGAGGGGGGTGTGTGTCTGTATGTGTGGGGTGTGTGTATGTGGGGGTGTGTCTGTGTGGGGGTGTGTCTGTGTGTGGGGGGGTGTGTCTGTGTGTGGGGGGGTGTGTGTCTGTGTGTGTGGGGTGTGTGTGGGGGTGTGTGTCTGTGTGGGGAGGGGGTGTGTGTCTGTGTGTGGGGTGCGGATGTGTTTGTGTATATCAGTGTGACTGTCTGTTTGTCCTCTCTTGACAGCCAGCGAGTTTGTCTGTCACAACACCTGGCAGCTCTCGCGAGTCTATCCCAGCGGCTTCCGCACCGACTCCTCCAACTTCAGCCCTCAGGAGATGTGGAATGCTGGCTGCCAGATAGGTACTGTCTGCAAGGGAGCCAGAGCGGGGTCACGGGGCTGCACAGGAGCCAGATTGGGGTCACGGGGCTGCACAGGAGCCAGAGTGGGGTCACGGGGCTGCACAGGAGCCAGAGTGGGGTCACGGGACTGCACAGGAGCCAGAGTGGGGTCACGGGGCTGCACAGGAGCCAGAGCGGGGTGCAGTGTTTGTGTCCTGAGTCCTGTAGTGCAGTGGTTAGAGCACTCACCTCACAAGCGAGAGGACCCATGTTCGGTGCAAAACCTTAGGCAAGTTTCCTTACTCCACGCGTCTGTTTACCAGCAGTCAGTAGGAACCCAGTTGTTAGTCATTTGGCGGATCATTGTTGACTGGTTGAAGGGCTGATGTGTTAGGATTCAGTGACATGAACATGTTCTGCTCCATTTCAGTGGCTTTAAACTTCCAGACGGCCGGAGAGCACATGGACCTGAACGATGGGCTTTTCAGCCAGAATGGTCGCTGTGGCTTTGTCTTGAAGCCCTGGTTCATGAGGACCTCAGTCACCACATTCGACCCCGAACATCCCACAGGGACCACAGGCTTCCGGCCAATCACCCTGACCATTCAGGTATGTCAGCCCCCCACAGCCATTAGTGTGGGGGTCTGAGCGGGGGTCAGTGTGGGGTCTGAGCGAGGGTCAGTATGGGGTTTAGAGTGTCTCTGAAGTTTGCTGGTTTCTCTACAGATTATCAGTGGGCAGCAATTGCCCAAAGTGGCAAACAGTAAACAGGGATCGATCGTGGACCCGCTGGTGCGAGTGGAGATCCATGGGACGCCCGGTGACTGCGCGCGACAGGAAACCAAGTACATCGACAACAACGGTAGTGCAGCAAATATACACGGAAACTCACACTGGACATGTGGAACATACTGATAATATTCTTATCTTTCATACTGTGTCTTTCATGTTGAAAGAACGTCTTGAAAGTGTTCACAGGATTTTCTGTAAAGTGTAATGACTGTTTTGTCAGAGACGCTGTGCTTCAGATGAGATGTTAAATCACGGTCCTGTCTATGTCTGTTTAGGTGGATGTTAAAAATCCTGCAGCGATATTAGAACAAGAGGAGGGTATTTGGATGACAATCCCCGGGGGTAGGGGGGAGGATGGGAGGGGGCATTTAATGAACTAAGTGGAAAGGGAAAGGCAGAGTCTAATCCCCCACCCGACCCTGCACAATGGGATTGCTTTGACACTGGTAAGTGGATTCCGGCGACATTGAGTTATGGATTAACTCAGATTAATTTCTGATAATAAATAATTCACCCACAAATATACAGTCAATCACTTTACAGTATAAATATCTGTGAAGCGCTTTGAGACGTCGAGAAGACGTGAAAAGCGCTAAATCAAATGCAAGGATTTTATAATTGGAGATAATCCACGCGATGCAGACGGCTGTCAGCAGGTGGCGCTGTTGCACTGGGTACAGCACAGGTGTTATGTCGCCACCTGCTGGTGGAAACATAGAATCACAACAGCTGAAAGTCAGACAACAATGGACATTATGTGAGCGACTCTGCTCTTCCCCGGAGCAGCTAATCCCTTCCCTCTACATGTGCTCGTCCTGGTGACTTTTAAATACCCCAATTCTTGCAATCCCAGCCAACAACCCCCAGATAAAATCAGTCACTTACTTCATGGCAGTTTGAGAGATTATTGTGCACAAATTGGCTACCGCATTCACTATACTTTAGGCTAAATTCTGTGAAGCACTTTGAGACATCTTGACAACGTGATAACGTGCTGTATCAATGCAAGGATTATTATTGGTTGTTTGATATTGTGTTTTATCACGTCTGGAGGGCGTCTTGTAAAGTGGAGTCCTATAGCTCAGTGGCTAGAGCACTTGCCTCGCAAGCAAGAGACCTGGGTTTGATTCCCAGGTAGGATGAAACATTGGGCAAGTTTTGTTGCAACACACGCCTCTGTTTCCCTGCCAGTAAGTAGGAACCCGGTTGTTAGTCAAATGGTAGATTGCTTTTCTGGAAATAATAATCTCTTCAAAAAAGAATGAATAATAATTTGGTTACTCAATCCACGATTGTTTGTGGGACGCTGCTGTGCACAATTTGCTCTGCGTTTCGCCCACAAAATATACAGTCAATTTACTTTACAATATATTCTGTGAATTGCTTTGTGACGTCTAGAAGACGTGATAAGGCGCTGTATCAAATGCAAGGATTATTATTATAAGTGTTTTGTGGGCAAACCCAGCAGTCAAATAACGCACAAGCAAAGTCCCACAAACAGCCACGACTGATTTTATTTGGGGTGTATTGTTGGTCAAACCATTGGGAGAAACTCCCGTCTCTTTTCAGATAGTATCATGGGATCTTTAACATCCACCCGAACAGACAGACAGGACTTCGGGCTAACGTGTTATCCAAAGGACAGCACCTCCACCATTGCAATGCAACTCCAACACTGACCTGGAGCATCAGCCTAGACAGTGAGCTCAGAGTCCTTAATATGGGGCTCAAACCCACAACCTTGTGATTCAGAAGCAAGAGTGCTACTGTCTCCCATTGTCCAGCTCCCACACACAGTGCCCCCCCCTCATTTTACTCTCCTCTTAACATTAATGTATTTCAAAACCTATTTGCTATTAATCTTAACATTCCCTCAGATTTTTTCATGATTTCTTAACCTTTCTGATCCCTTTCTCTCCTGCACTCCACACCCTCCTGGCCTTGCGCTGTACTGTGCCGCATCATGTTCTTTGCTGATTTGACCGGTGTCTCACCTCCTCTGCAGGTTTTAACCCAGTGTGGTACGAAACCTTGACCTTCAGCATCCAGGTTCCTGAACTCGCTCTCATTCGCTTTGTGGTTGAGGATTACGACATGACCTCGAAGAACGACTTTGTGGGACAGTTCACAATGCCGTTGAGCTGTGTACAGCAAGGTCAGTGTTTCTCTTATTGTGTCACTGGGTGCACAGACTACAGTCAATTTACTTTACAGTATATTCTGTGAATTGCTTTGAGACGTCTAGAAGATGTGATAAGGCGCTGTATCAAATGCAAGGATTATTATTATAAGTGTTTTGTGGGCAAACCCAGCAGTCAAATAATGCACAAGCAAAGTCCCACAAACAGCCACAAAGTGAACAACTGATTTTATTTGGGGGATATCGTTGGTCAGACCATTTGGAGAAACTCTCGTCTCTTTTCAGGGGTGGGGGGTCGCTCACTCTGTGACTGCAGAGTCTTTGTGTGATTTGTGAGTCTGTGTGAGTTGCTGTGTGACTGTGAGTCTCTGTCTGAGTCACTGTGTGAGTCTGTGTGTGACTGTGAGTGTGTGACTGTGAGTCTCTGTGTGACTGTGCGAGTCACTGTGTGACTGAATTGTTGTGTGACTGTGTGAGTCTCTGGTGAGTTGCTGTATGTATACAGGGTGAGGCTCTGGTGATATTCCCTGCTGTCTCATGTGTTAACAATGTTTCCCAGGTTATCGTCACATCCACCTGCTTTCCCGGGATGGCACGTATATCCCGCCCTCCGCACTGTTTGTGCACATCAGGATCACTGAGGACTGACTCCGCCTGGCAACTCTCCCTCCCCACTCCCCACTCCGGCAAAGCTCCGCCTGGCAATGGTCCATCCACCGGCTCAGCCCTGGTTTTATAAACATTTCCAGAAAATGTTGTTTTATATTAAACCATGTGAATACCTCAACCCCACACTCCCTCACCTTCACACTGCTTCACACTTCCTCACCCACACTCTCTCACACTCACACTCTCTCTGCAGAGCACAGTGAGGACCAGGAGACCTGTGCTGCTGCTGGTAAATACCGTCTACGTTGGCAGCAACACTGTGATCAGCACTGTGCTGGGTTCTGGCCGGAGCTGGTTCTCCTTTTATGGTCAGGACAATGTCCAACAGTGGGAGCTGCTATTTATACTGTGTAATGTCAACAGCTAAAGACCCAGAAACTGATCCTGGAGTGCGGTGGGGGGGCTCATTCCCAGCCACACACACTCTCACTTACACACATGCACTCACACTCACTGACACACTCATACACACATAGACTCACATTCACACATATGGACTCAAACACATGCATTCACATTCACTGACACACAGTTACACACATGCACTCACACACACACATGCACTCACACACAAAAGCACTCACACACACACATGCACTCACTGACACACACTGACACACGCTCACACAGCCTGGGTTTCACACTGTAACTACTGGTTGCTATCAGCTGATGGCTGAAGCTCAGACAGGTTCAATCAGTCTCTGTCCTGCACCCCCCCCCCCCCCACCCTCACCCCCGGCCTGGAACGACCGCCCATCCTCCCCCTTAGCTCCTCCCCCTGCAGTAGTAACGAGCCACTGCATTGTTGTTGTTTGCCTGTAGCTGCATTGTCACTCTGCGGTTACTCTGGTCATTGGTCACTCTGCGGTTACTCTGGTCATTGGTCACTCTGCGGTTACTCTGTGGTCACTCCGCGGTTACTCTGGTCACCGTGGTCACTCTGCGGTTACTCTGGTCATTGGTCACTCTGCGGTTACTCCGCAGTTACTCTGGTCACTGTGGTCACTGTGTGGTTACTCTGGTTACTGTGGTCACTCTGCGGTTACTGTGGTCACTCCGTGGTTACTCTGTGGTCACTCCGCGGTCACTCTGTGGTCTCTCGCAGTAACGATCTGGCCTCAAATAAATTAGCTTCTTCTGCAGTTGTTGGTGTCAGTCAACCTCTCTCTCCAACGTTGCCCGGTCAGTCGCGCTCAGCTCCAGGGCCGGAGTCGCCATAAACCAGGTAAAGCCATGTCTGAGGAGCCCGGGCCTGGGATTGACGCGTTTCCCTCCGGGCAGCGTCTCCCGCTTTCTGCTGTGGGGTTGCGCGTGAGTGTCGGGAAGAGGGGCGGGGCTGGAGGTCAGTGAGTGACAGCCAGAGGGGCGGGGCTGGAGGTCAGTGAGTGACAGCCAGAGGGGCGGGGCTGGAGGTCAGTGAGTGACAGCCAGAGGGGTGGGGCTGGAGGTCAGTGAGTGACAGCCAGAGGGGTGGGGCTGGAGGTCAGTGAGTGACAGCCAGAGGGGCGGGGCTGGAGGTCAGTGAGTGACAGCCAGAGGGTGGGACTGGAGGGCTGTGATTGACAGCCAGAGGGGCGGGGATGGAGGTCTGTGATTGACAGCCAGTGGGCGGGGCTAGAGGGCTGTGATTGACAGCCAGTGGGCGGGACTAGAGGGCTGTGATTGACAGCCAGTGGGCGGGGCTGGAGGTCAGTGAGTGACAGCCAGTGGGCGGGGCTGGAGGGCTGTGATTGACAGCCAGTGGGCGGGGCTGGAGGGCTGTGATTGACAGCCAGTGGGCGGGGCTGGAGGGCTGTGATTGACAGCCAGTGGGCGGGGCTGGAGGGCTGTGATTGACAGCCAGTGGGCGGGGCTGGAGGGCTGTGATTGACAGCCAGTGGGCGGGGCTGGAGGGGCCATTGATGCTGAATAGCGCCTTTCACGTTGGAGGACGTCCTGAGGCACTGGACAGTGCACATTGTGAGGCAGACAGTAATAATGATAATTCCGGCACTTGATACAGCGTCTCAAAGCGCTTCACAGGATACACTGTAAAGTGAATTGACTGTATATTTGTGGGCGAAACGCGGCAGCCAATTGCGCACAGCAATGTCCCACAGACACTCGTGGATTGAGTGACCAAATTATTATTTTTTCAAGGAATTATTACCCCCCAGAAAAGTGATCCACCAATCGACTAACAACTGGGTTTCCTACTTACTGCTGGTAAACAGAGGCGTGTGGAGTAAGGAAACGTGCCCAAGGTTTCCCGGCCGGGAATCAAACCCAGATCTCTCGCTTGCGAGGCGAGCGCTCTAACCACTGAGCTACAGGACTCCACTTGCGGATTTGTGCTTTTTCTGGATAAATGCTAACATGTATGATACAGAATCACTTTGATGGAATCAACATTTCCAAATATGACTGTCGTTCGGAACCCAATTGTAACCGTTTGTGAAGGTGAAATCTGGAACTCTCTCCCCGAAAAGACTGTGGATTATGGCTGAATCCGATCAAATTTCATGTTTGAGGTGGATAGATATTTGTTAGGTCAGGGTACCAAGGCGGGTAATTGGAGTTGAGGTACAGATCAGTCATGATCCAATAGAATGGAGCAACAGACTCGAGGGGCTGAATGGCCTCCTCCTGTTGCTATGTTTCTATAAACTCACTCAGATCTACAAAGACCGAGGATTGAGTGAATACACTCGCAATCTTGGCTATTGCACCCGATTTGACACCGACACAAAATTTTGACATTTGCAACTACGAAGTCACGCAAGAAAGTTATGTTAAAAAGGTTTTGTTGTTTATTTGGCCTCTGAATAAGTTCATGGCTCCAATTGTGATGGGGTTTGTGTCTCTGTGACCCCTGTACACACAGCTGCTTCCTACTCCCAGCCTAAGCCGCTCCCGGGGACTGAGGCCGCGTTTGAAATGAATGAGAGGAAGAGATGGAGGGTTTATGGTGGTGAAAGTTTTACAAACTTTATTTTAAATAAAAGAGGGACTGTGTCCGGGCAGCGAGGGGGCCGCCCGTGTGCTATGGGGTGGGGGGGGGGTGGGGTGGTCAGAGCACGTCGATTCTGGCGAATGACTGGTCCATCCCGAGACTGTTCTCCACAAACACCTCGTAGCGGCCGGCATCCTCCGCGCACAAGTTCTTGATGGTCAGTGTCGTGCTATCACCTTGAATGTCATAGAACACTCTGTGGAGAGAGAGAGAGTGTGAAAGAGATTAAGAGAGAGAGAGAGATAATAATAATCCTTGCATTTGATATAGCGCTTTTCACATCGGGAGGATGTCCCAAAGCACTTCACAGAATACACTGTAAAGTGAATTGACTATATATTTGTGGGCGAACGCGGCAGCCAATGGCGCACAGCATTGTCCCACAAACAGTCGATGATTGAAAGTGACCAATTTATTATTATTTTTGGTTTTGGAGGGATTATTATTAGGCTCTGTGTGGAGTAAGGAAACTTGCCCAAGGTTTCGCCCTCTGCCTGGAATTGAACTCAGGTCTCTCACTTGCAAAGCGAGTGCTTTAACCACTGAGCTACAGGACTCCACGATAGAGAGTATGATAGAGAGAGAGATAGAGAGTATGATTGAGAGAGAGAGTATGATAGAGAGAGAGAGTATGATGGAGAGAGTGTATGACAGGGCAAGCGTGTTAAGAGTGTGAGAAACACAGCGAGGGAGTGAGACCCGGGGTGGGGGGGTGGTCAGGTACCTGTTATCTTCGTCCACATCCAAGCCGTCCTTGGCCCAACCCACGTCAGGCTCTGGTTCCCCGCTGATCATCGCCACCAACTGCACCGTTTTCCCCGCTCGGATTTTGATGTTTTCGGGGCCTTTCTTAATCTTCGCTGGAACTGGGAGAGAGCCACCGTCACACCGGGGTCCGTGTGTGTGAGTGAGTGTCTGTGTGTCTCTGTGTGTGTGTGTGTGACTGTGTTTGAGTGAGTCTGTGTGTCTGTGTGAGAGTCTGTGTGTGTGTCTGTTGTGAGTGTCTGGTGTGTGTCTGTCTGTGAGTGTGTGTGAGTGAGTGTGTGTCTGTGTGTGTGTGTGTGTGAGAGTCTGTGTGTGTGTCTGTTGTGAGTGAATGTCTGGTGTGTGTCTGTCTTGAGTGTGTGTGAGTGTGTGTGTGTCTCTGTGTGTGTGTGTGAGTGAGTCTGTGTCACAGATCAGTTCCCTTGGGAGTTCGGGAAGGGGCTGACAAGCACTGCTCTCTGTGAGACAGTCTGGGCCGGTCCTCCCTCCACACAGGTGTTTAGACATTTTCCAATAATTCACAGAATGCCTTTTCAGAGCTTTTATGCTTCACCCAATGTGTTTGGTTTTGTACACCATGTCCTGGTTTGTCTCTGTGTAAAGCATTCACTTAAACCCTCCTGAGTGTGGTCCTAAACTTCTGAATAGTGCCGCGAGATCTTTAACTTCTGCCCGAGAGGGCACAGACAGGACCTGAGTTTACATCTCATCTGAAGGACGGCACCTCGAACAATGTAGCATATCTCCAGCGCTGCACTGAAGTGTCAGCCTAGACTGCACGCTCAAAGTCCTGATGTGGGGCTTGAACCCACAACCTTTGAAGTCAATGGTAAGAGTTCTTATCAGTGATCTGGGAATATTCCTGACACAGTGTAGAGGAGCTTTACTGTGTCTCTAACCCTGACCTGGGAGTGTGGACACACAGTGTAGAGGGAGCGTTACTGTGTCTCTAACCCTGACCTGGGAGTGTGGACACACAGTGTAGAGGAGCTTTACTGTGTCTCTAACCCTGACCTGGGAGTGTGGACGCACAGTGTAGAGGGAGCTTTACTGCGTCTCTAACCCGGGCTGTAGCTGATTGGAGGGTGTTGAGGGGAGGGGGCAAGGGGCTGATGTCTATCATGATCCTTCTGGGACTTTCTGAGAGCAGAAACTTTACCTTCAATTATGATCTTTGCTGCATCGTAAGCCTCCCCAAAGGTGTTTTTGATTGAGATGGTGTATTTGCCCAGGTCGGACAATGTCCCATCTCTCACCACCAGGGCCACTACATCTGGATCCTCAAACATATACCGGTACTTAGGCCCGTCCTTCAGCTCCTGCCCATCCTTGAACCAACGGATAAGAGGGTCGGGGAAGGCACTGACTCTACAGTCTAGCCTCGCCGCGCTGCCTTCAATCAGAACCACATCCTTCAACTCCTTCAGGATCTTGGGCGGCCCCTTCTCCCTCATCTCTTTACGGGATCTGGGCACAGAGTCAGGAGTGTCAGAACAGAATACAACAAGAAGGAAAATAATAATAATAATCCTTGCATTTGATATAGCACTTTTCACGTCGGGAGGAAGTCCCAAAGCGCTTCACAGAACACACTCTAAAGTGAATTAACTGTATATTTGAGGGCGAACGCGGCAGCCAATTGCGCACAGCAATGTCCCACAAACAATCGTAGATTGAAAATGACCAATTTCTTATTGTTTTGGGTTTTGGAGGATTATTATTAGGCTCTGTGTGGAGTAAGGAAACTTGCCCGAGGTTTCGCCCTCTGCCTGGAATTGAACTCAGGTCTCTCACTTGCAAAGCGAGTGCTCTAACCACTGAGCTACAGGACTCCACAAAAAGCAGAAAGCCTCACAAGAGGCAACGAGTGAATGAGCTGAAAAGAAGACGGGTCAAAGTACGGTCCCTGCATCTTAAGGTCAGTTATTAAATCTCTCAGCTCGTTTTTTCAGATGGGAATGAGATGTCAATCAACAAACTTGCACCTTTCCAGCAAATCTCAAAGCCCTTTCACAGCCTCTCTCAGGACACTTGCTTTCAGTGGAGGGGAAACTATGAATTGATGATGATGATGGTGATGATGATGAGAGGATGGGGCAGCAGTGGGCATAGCTTTATCAGTTAACGTTTGTTGCCTAATAAATGTACTTGTGAAGAGAGAGATCTGGATAGGGAGTTAGGCAGGTAGAGGAGCCTGCATGCGCACACACCTACACTATATATATATATGCACAGACAGACATGATATTCACACACACACACACACTATATATATACACACACATACATTAAATACACACACACTCACATACACTATATACACATGCACATACAGACACGATATTCACACACACACTAAATACACACATACACACTACATATGCACACACAAACGCGCTATTCATACACACACACAGTATACACACACACACTATATATATGCGCACACATACACTAAATATACACAGCCATTCTCCATAAATGCAGACACGATATACATGTACACACGCACACCATACACACACACAACTATATATACACACACATTTACACACTCACACTAAATACATGCACACACAGACGCAATATACATAGACACACACTATATATACACATACACACACATACAGTATATATACATGCACACAGACACTAAATACACACACAGTATATATACATGTACATATCGACATGATATATAAACACATACTATATACACGTGCATACACACTATACACACACACCATATATACACACACACGCACTATACACATACACAATCACACTATATATTCACATACATACGTAAGCATACTATTCCCCGGGCTCAGTCAGCCCGTCAGGTTGCCCTGGTCTGGCCACGGACTGTACCTGTGGCCTCTGTAGGAAGACTGGATTTTGATGGCCGCGTCCTGCACTTTGGGGTCGTTGATGTCAATGTTGCATCCTGGCGGAGGAGGGAGGACCTTCTTTGCTGACATCTGATGATAGAGAGAATGTTCCTCATTACCCTGGAGCTCAGTGCCCAGACCTGACTGTAAATAATAATAATCTTATATTCCATACGGCGCCTTTCAGGTCGGGAGAACGTCTCAAAGCGCTTCTCAGGTTTCTCTGTAACATATAGTGTCTGCAGTCAAACTGTAGTGGGAGTTGCTGATGATTATTGCTGCTTTACCCGCTCACTCCCACCCACCCCCCAGCCGAGACGTTAACTCAGCAGGTGCTGGCAATAGCGTAAATCTATATAAACGTGGTCTCGGGGGGCACGCGGTGGGAGGTCTGTGCTCGAAAACTATTCCTCAAGAGAAGGGAGTTTCTCCTGGTTTCTAGCCGAACTTACCACAGCCCTCAGAAACATTGGTCCTTCGCTCCCTGGCTGTGGGACATTGGCTGCCGCGGTCACCCACAAAACACAGTCACTACATTTTACAGTATATCCTGTGAAGCACTTTGAGACGTGTCAATAATGGTGTCAAAAGCATTGTTATTATAATACAGTAATAACTCCACAGTAATACCGTTAGGACTCTGACCTTCCGACATCACATACTGAATAAAGTGTAACTTCATCCAACTCAACGTCCAACCAAATCTATCCAACGTCAATAAAACTGAGGCTCCTGCACAAATCCCACGAGCGCCTCCTCACCTCAGCACTGACTCTCTCTCTCTCTCTCTTTCTGCTTGTTCAAGCCAACCCTTGTGAGGCATTTTTTTTAACCCTTGACTTTCCTTTACCGAGCTTTCCATCTCTGCATTGTCCCTTCCCAACTCAACCTCCCAGTCTGTCTTTGGAAAGTGCTTACAGACTTTCTATTTCACAGTTGTGATATAAGGGTATTTTTTGTTGTGGTTGTTGATTACTTGATAATTACCCTCAGAGAACAGTGAGATTTGAAGTGCGACTCAAAGGGAGACACAAAGGGAGACAGGAAGAGAGACATGGAGGGAAGCACAGAGGGAGAACCAAATTGAGACACAGAGGGAGATAGGAAGGGAGATATGGAGGGAAGCGGAGAAGGAGACTCAGAGGGAAGCAGAGGGAGACTCAGAGGGAGACATGGAACGAGACACAGATCGAGACTTAGAGGGGGACACAGAGGGAGACAGAGAGTGCATTTCCTTGTATCTATGTGAGGAACAATATTGGTTGAGCATGGCCACTCGCTGTGAGGCAGTACAATATTCAGCCTTTGCACTTACCCTGGGGAAACGTGGGGTCTTGGGTCAGTAAAACGCCGACTTAGTGCTTTTTGTTTCTTAAATGGTTTATGCTCTTGATGAGCCCTGGTGAAACAGCCCATGACTGAACGGGGAGGCCACTATATAAAGCCTCGGGCGGTGGGCGGCAGGTGGGCTGCCCTCAGAGGTTCTTCTGCAGTTTTCAGCAACAGTTACCTTGTTTGGAGCAGCACCTGGAGCCCAGAGAATCCACCAACAGTTGCACGAGGTAGAATTACTCTCCCCTTATTTAGAGTTAAGTGCAGATACTCTGGGGAATATTGTGCTAAATACAGGGATTTTGCTGTGTAATGAAATAACTAACGCCATTTAACTAATGGCCAGGGACCCAGCAAATCCCCTGCATGTCAGCAACAGATGGTGCAAGTTATTAACTTCTTAATTATTATTCTCCAAGTCTGTGCCGCATTTATCAGCTCAAACCAAGGGAGCAGTTTAAAATCAACCCTACGGTCACAAGATGGAAGGGAATTGAATCAGTATAAAGTAGATGAATATGGTGTGGAAATGGGTTTGGAGTAGATAGCTCCAGTACAGCCACGATGGGGCGAGAGCAAGGAAGGGGATTAGAGATCTCCAGTGGGGGATTGAACACCAGCACAGACACGATGGGGAGATAGCGGAAAATGGGGTTAGAATGAAGAGCTCCAGTGGGGGAGCGAGCACTATCAGATAATATGTGGTTGCATGGGCTTCTCTAGGCAATTTTTGCCTCTGAAATAGTAGAAATAATTAGTTCATAGTTTAATTCAAGATCTGAAGTAATTCAAACCATTAGGTGCAGCTTCACTCTAAATTGGGATGCTCCACTTTACTGTGAATGTCTTGGGACCTGTGGAATGTTTGAAGAGCCAAGGACGGACAGCTGCATCCTCAGACTCTCCGTCCCTCACTCTATTTTGTCTCTAGTCACTTGTAATTAAGGTGTGGTTAGGTTTCCATATCATGGGTGACTCCGGGGCTACAAAGAGCAGTGGCACTTCGCAAGCGAGACACCTGGGTTCAATTCCTGGCAGAGCGAAACTTTGGGCAAGTTTCCTTACTCCACAAACCTGATAATAATCCCTCAAGAAAAAAAACCAATAATAAATTGGTCATTTTCAATCCACGACTGTTTATAGGACGCTGCTGTATGCAATTGGCTGCTGCATTTCGCCCACAAATATTCAGTTAATTCACTTTACAGTATATTCTCTGAAGTGCCTTGAGAGGTCTACAAGATGTGATAAGGTGCTATATCAAATGCAAGGATTATTATTTATTATTATTGTCCATGCCAGGAGCTCTTGTAGCAGAATCCTGGGGCATGAATTTAACATTAGATTTTTCCATTCTATGTATTATTTAGGAATTTTCCCATTTCTGACATTCTCCAGTTCTCAGGCCACGAGGCAGGCGGTCACCAGCTCGTTGGTACTAGGGAGAGGGGCTCATTTCTTCCCTGTTCCCTTCCTTAATTTGGTGCCAGTATCCACTCCCTCTTAGCACCCCCCAACACCCCCCAACAGCATGGCTGAGATGCAGGAATTCCTGGCACAAGTCAGCTCCACCCTGTGAACACAGTGGAATCCCTGCCCCCAGTGACCAATATGTACCTAATACTCTCCAGAATTAGGTAAGCAAGGTGTTCCCCCAGGGAGATGGCACACATTCTATTGCAGACATAGAGAAATGTCCATGTGGTGGTGGTATAGTAATATGGAATCTCAAACTGGTCTGGCTCCTCTTCAGCATGGTGATGGGGTTCCACATGTCAGACACCCGGTCGACCCCCAAAAAAGTCACATTCCAAGCCCTCATTGATTTGAATCCAATCAAATTCTTATTCACTTACTCAATGGAACAAAGATGCTGCTTTCATATCTCAGTGAGTCAGACTCACTCCTATCTGTGTGATTTCATTCCTGTATTGCGATAGACATAATAGGACAATAATGGTTCATCGCTAATCTTTATTTGTCCAGTGTTCTTGACTGCACCATTTCATACTCCATGGATTTGGAGGTAAAAATGGGGATTGGCTGTAGGGAGGGAATGCCGTAATTGAGCTGTTGTTTAGCACTCTTAAGCCACAGTTGGCCTCCCAGTGGATATGTCTTTTTACCGAGTCTACTTATACAAGGACTGGATTAAACCATTAGTGACATGTAAACCGGGTATCTGGTATTGAACTAGGATCTGAGGAACATCAAGGTGATTGGTGAGTTGTAAGTTGCTTCATAAGGTCCTTCCCCCAAGGTTTGCAATGAGGTATGCAGCTACTGCTGAAGGTCTGAGCCTTCAACTCAACTACCGGGGACAGGCTGAGTCCTGCACTTGTCAGATATCTAATGATCACCTATCCTCCTGCGGAGTGGGAGGTATCTTGGGGGTTGAATTGACTTCAAAGCACCATGTCTGGTCATGAAAAATTGGAATTGAGTTTATCCTTTGTGGTCGTCTCAGTGCACATTCCACTCCAATAAATATCTTGTGCGTAAGTAGGTGGCATGCATGGTTTGGAGACTCTTAAGCATAGTGATGGATTTCCGTGTGTCAGACACCCGGCTGACCAAATAAAGCTGGACAAATACTCAAAGGGGCATGATACTTATGGTGTGACCTTTGAACTAACTGCAAGTTACAGTCTGGAATCTAGTTGAGGGTTTGGGGGTCTTGGTGGCGGGGGTGTGTGTGGGGGTGGCAGAGTAACTGCAATGTGGGAAGGAAACGCTGAGCCAGCTGTTTTTTTCTCGCTCTTTTTATTTGCCACAGGTCTCAGGCCGCTGCTCACACAAGAAATAGGACCGAGCATCAAAATGCAGCCCCGTACATCTTGTCAGCCATTCACATGGACACCAACTTCAGTTACTCACAGTTAGTCAACCCAATGTGGACACTCATTACAGCGGGCTTCAACACTTGAGCTGTAACCTCACAGGCTTCACACAAGAGCTGTCACATCACATACATCCCAAACCCTGGACAGAGTACTTAAATAATCCTGACATGATTTGATCTGTAAACTTGCAGTCCCAACACTGGCGTTGTAATGCCACAGCCTGAATATGGGAGCTGTAACATTGCAGATCACCCCACGTTTCAGTTAGAATATTACCGCTACTGGTGGTGTTACACTTTTCACTGCCTGCAGAATATCCTCCTGTTAATAAACCAAGCTCTCCATTCCCTGTTCTCTGATTCCTCTTCTCCCGAAAAACCTGGTTTATAATTTTCCTGTTACCAATCAGATGGTAATGTTGCAGCTGGATTCCCAGGCAAGAAAGGAACGGAAGACATACCCTGGGCACAAAATAACAGATGCTGACAACAGGACAGGACAAGAATGGCAGCAGTGAGGAGAGAGAAAGCCATGCACTGAGAACAGTAGGGCATTGCCTTTACAGGAACAGGAACTACAAGCCCTGCACTACACTAGCTTTACAAACTGTGCACATGGGGGAGGGGTGGAAAAACCAATCAAGCTACCCCCTCCTTGCGAAATCAAACTCTGCTGTACTAAATATGTCAACTCCTAGACTTGCTAGCTGCGTACAGTGATCACACATCACTGGTCCAAATCTGCTCACTGGCTGCTGCTCACACCCAGAGTCTCTCACACACATTACAACTAGATCTAGATAAATAAATATGATATCTTCTGTCTCAGATACCCGTGCCTTCCCTGCCTGTAGGCACCAAATCAAATCAAGCCTCATCCTCTAATCTTAACTCTTCCACTAAGTAGGAAAGCAGCTCAGTAACTGATGGCCTGACAATCCCCAGACTGGCTGACAATCCGTGGGTCTGTGAGGAAATACATGTCAATCCCCCTGCCTCCAGATTTGCTTCTCTCCTCCTCAAACTCCTTCACAAATGCTGCTGACCTGACACCTTTTGCCATCCCTCACTTTCCAATGACCAGGCTCTCATTCGCAGACCAGTGTTCAGTCCCCACATAGCAATATTCACTCTTTGAGCTGGAGTCCAGATTTCTTCCCCCACCCCATTCCAGTATTCACCCCCCCCCCCCCACCCCCATTCTGCCAGTGTCCAAACTCCCTCTACCCCACATCAGTATTCACTCCCCAGACGCGCACACAGCAGTGTCGACTCCCCTTCCACATACAGACCTAGTGTCCAGATTATTATGAGGGAAATGCAGTGTATGTAGTGTCTCTGGATTTCCACAAGGCGTTTGGTAAAATGCCATGTGAGAGGCTTGTGCTTAAAAGGGGCATTTGAAATCATGGGGAGAGGAAGCAGAATAGATTTGGTTAGGAAACCAAAAGCAAAGGGCAAGTATTAATTGTATCTTCTCAGGCTGGAAAGAAATAGGAAGTGGTGTTCCCAGGGATCTGTGTTAAGACGCTACTCTTCACCACATACATACGTTATTTGGATTCAGGTATAGAAGTTGTGGTGTCAACATTTGCAGATGACATCAAACAGGGGAGCATGGTAAACAGTGAAAGGGATTGCAGAAGAATGCAGAAAGACAAACAGGCTAGCAGGATGAGCAGACAGATGGTAAATTAAGTTTAATGTAGGAAAATGTGAAGTAATTCACTTCGGCAGGAAAAATAAAGAAGCTCTAGATGGTAGGAACCTAAGAGAAGCAAAGAGATTTGAGGATTCAGATCCACAAATCTTTGAATGTAGCTACAGGTAGATAAGGCCTTTTTTTAAAAAAAAAGGCCAATGGGGTCTTGGGCTTTATATCCAGAGGAATAGAGTTTAAAAGTGATGTTGAATTTATACCAAACCTTAGTTAGACCACATTTGGTGTATTGTGTCCAATTCTGGGCTCCACACTATCAGAAGGATATAGCAGCGATGGAAAGAGTAGAGTAGGTTTAGGAGGATGATACCAGGGCTTGCAGATAACGGTTACTAGGATAGACTGGGATAGGTTAGGCCTCTTTTCACTAGAGAAGAGACGTTTAAGTGGGGGGACCTAACTGAAGTGTTTAAAATTATAAAAGGTTCAATAAGCTTATAATAATAATAATAATCCTTGCATTTGATTCAGCGCTTTATCACATCGTTGAGATGTCTCAAAGGGCTTCACAGAATATACTGTAAAGTGAATTGACTGTGTATTTTGTGGATGAAACGTTAACATAAATCGTCTGTTTCCATCAGTTGGGGAGTCCGTAACCAGGAGACACAAGTATAAGAGAGCAACCGGGGGAGATCCAAAATAGAATTTAGTAGGAACCACTTCACGCAGAGCAGCATGACTATGTGGCTTGAAGCAGTGAATGAATCAGAGGGTAGATACACTCAAGGGGAAGCTAGACCTTCACTTGAGGGAGAGGGGTATAGAGGGTGTGGGAAGGAGGGAGGAGTTGAGGGGAGACTCGTGGAGTATAAACACCGGCATGGACTGGCTGGGCTGAGTGGCCTGTTTTCCGTGCTGTACATTCTTTGTAATCGTTGCAATCTTTCCTTCTCCAAACCAATGCCCAGACTCCCAATACTCAGTTCCCTCTCACACAAAACTACTCATTGACAGAAATTGCAGCAAGGCTCAAACACGCCTACACCCAGCTAAAACATCACATTAAGTCATTTGCTTTTTTCCTACTAGTTCATGTGCAACTAATTGCGTATCTGAGGAGGCCATGTGTTACAGGCCAACAGGGTGCACATGCATGTGTGTTGGCATATGTGCTTCCGTGTGCACATATGTGAATGCACACATATGTGTGAATGCACGTGTGTGCATCTGCATAAGTGTGTGTACACGTGTGCATGTTACCCCTACCATTTATGCACAAGTATAAAAATATACATCTTATAATCTGATCACACGCTCATCTTCCCAACCACTTGCTGCTGCCTGTGGTGGAAACTGCAGTGATTGTGGTGCTGTACACAAGACACAACACAAGTCAATATCCCCACGTCAGCTTGACACGGACTGCTTTGTGTATTTACTGTCTCCTGAACAGTGCTCGGATGCAGAGATCAGGAGTGCCTTTGCTCGATGTCCTGTTTTGGGTCATTTGATTACTATCACTAACGTGACGCCATATGAGTTCCTGCATAATGCAGGAGGTGCTATTTGCAATTGGTAACCAGAGTCTCAGAGCCCACAGCAGTAGTGCAGGCTCTGTGCGGAGCCAGAGGAAAGTTAATGTAATCTGGTGGTGAGGGTAAGGGGACATCTCCATCTCTACAACTCTCATTTCAAATAAGTAAAGATTAATCAGCTTCATAAAAATACACGTGTAACACTCATTAGGTCAGACCAGATAACATAGTTCCCACAGCAGCAAGCAGTATGGTAAGTGGACCATTCCCTGGTCCTGGCTGAGCGGAGACCACAGCTCTTTCCTTGGTCTGAAGTTTGTTGCACAAATAGGGATCTCCTTGTTTTTCTCTCTCAGAAGCAGCCGTGGTGCTAACTAGCTGCTAACACATGCACAGTGCAGTCCGTGCCTAAACATCCCTGTTAACAGCGTGAGGTATCTCTCGGGCTATCACTCTGTTAACAGGGCACCCAGATCGCAAGCATTCCCAAACCAACAGCTGCCGATGCTTCAGCTTTCTAATGGTTTAATCTGAATATAAAGTCCTTCTGAAGAGCCGAGAGTTTGATCGTGGAGTAACTGGAATGTTGCCTCAGTGTTGCAGTGTGTGGGAGGCAGGTCACTTGGGTCCTGAAGGCTGTGTGGAGGAGCTGTAGGAACGGAGCAGCACTTTGTGCCGAGTAGCCTGCTCTGAGCGCTTCCTCTGATGATAAACAAGGAACTCCTTGAGCCTGGTGGTGGTGAAGGTCAGCGTCTGCCGCCGCAGCTTCATCAGGTAGTTGTCCTGCAGCCAGGCGTTGGCGTGACATTCCCTTATACTGGGCCGTGTACTGGGGAGCAACAAGATGCTTCTGTTAACTCTCAGCTCCAAAACTTACTTCACCTTTTAATAATCCACACATCAGCTACAACATGGTTTAGATAGAGTAGAGCTCCTTCTACACTGTTATTCCAAGTCAGCTACAACAGGGCAGACACAGCTCCTACAGCACTAGTGTAGGAATTCCATTCTCTGCACCACTCATTCTGTGAGGTCTCTAGGTGAGGTTGCCAGGTTGTACTAGCTGCTCTCTGTATTGCTTGGTGAGGCTTCATCCACTGCTTTAGGTAGAGGCTCTGATACAGTTACTTCAATTATCCAATTTTTAAAAAAATTCTCGCACTAGCTGAGAGTTACCCTCTGAGCTCCTCTTGCAGGACTGCTGATTGCCATCTGATACCCCACCCAAACGGACATTGTTCATGTATGAGCCTTGGTAGTGAGTCAGTAGGTTGTAGAGTAGGCGTCTCAGCCAACTGTGCTGACCTCTTCCCCATCAGCTGTACAACCAGTGCTCTAGCAGGACCAGGAGCAGGAACCATGGCTGGGTTTCCTCTCCTTGACCGTTGGCAATTTAACCTCCCCTGCAACCACGGCATGTGGGTGTGTGGGGGAGGGGAAGGGGTGGTGGGGAGGAGGTTGGAGACAGTGGAGTAGAGGGACAGAGTTCCAAAGGGTGGAGATAATTGCATTGTGTTTACCATTGTGAAAGTGGCAAGCTTCTTGCTGTTTGTGAAGCTAGGGCCACCCTACCTGTTAGAGCTTTAACTTGCAGGATTAGCAGGATCTCCCAGTCTGCCTTCCAAGTCTTACTAATAAGCTCAGCTGGCTGGTGCATCATCATTGTTGGATAGTCCTTTGCCAGGCAGGTCACCCAGGAGCTAGCTCACCCTCAAAGAGAAACTGCTGATGTCTCCTCAGGAGGATAGTCACCAGTTTGTTATTAGATACCTGACAAGTTCAGGCTGATAGTAGGTGGGTGGATAGTAGATATTGGATTGAAACAAACATCATCCAGACATAGCACCCTCCAAACACTGTATGATCTGTCCGCAGGTACTCACGCTGGGAACATGCAGAGGACTTTCTTGAGAAAGAGAGCCGCATTCTGAGAGGCATTAGGGTAACACTTTGTGATGTCAAATTGTGCTGATTTGATCTTGTTCTCCACCTCTGCTGGATCAAGTGCAGCAAATGGTGAACGGCCACTTAACCTGCAACATACAACAGGTATGTGTTTAAAAGGCAACATTAAATGCGCGTGATTAATTGATCATATCAAAAAAAATGTACGTCTGTATAATATGCAACATACAATTCATATTTCTAAGCTAAAACATACAATATACATATGTTAACATGTCAGGGTCCAAATTCTGTGCTATTGTCTTACCAATGAAATAATTAAAAACTAGCAGGATGGGGAGGGAAAGGTAAATTAAAACTTATTTTGAAAAATTAAATACGGTCACATAAGCCTTTGTTGTGGTGACATAAACATTGCTATTTTATTGGAGTAAAATTCTTAATTGTTCCTCATTAACCGGTGGAGTTTAAACCAGCATTATTTTCCCATTCAAATTCCATCTTCTCTGAGGCTTTTGCCACCAGAGCTGCCACACGAAGAGCTGATGTTGGCATTGTCATGGGTGGCTACTGGCCTGAGGCACTGTGATTGGGAGTTGGGAGGATGGGGAACTGAGATTTATATGTAGATGTGCTTGGGGTGCTCAGCAACAGGTCCATGTAGGCTGGAACCATGGACACATCTTATACGCCACAAGCTTAACTTGCAAGGGAACCTCGCTATCTTGAAGAGAGATGAGAATGATGAGAGTGCCCTTCGCCCCTTCTCAGCACAGGCACCAAGCACAGGGTGCAAGCAAAGGCAGGTACCCACCATGACCCCCAGATACCAATAGAAATTCTCGGGGACTTACGACATTCTGCGATCTCATGCAAAGCGTCAAACTGCCCCGCACATTCCTCACGAGAAAGCAATGCAGCCTTTTCCTTCATGTGTTTTGAAGAGTTTTATGAAAGCAGCCATAGAATGACAGAGACCATATAGCATTGAAACACCATATCACCGGTTATACTCTCCACGAGCCTGCACTCCTCCTAATCCATTATTCCTATCCTCTTTCATCTCTCTATATTTCCTTGTCATTTGCACGATTGCTGCCAGGAAAGACCAGATATATTCTCCTGGTCAAAATACATGAACAAGCTCACAAGGTTACTTTGTATGAAGAAGATCCTTTGACCCATGTGATCTCACGCTTCCCGAATTCCCAACTTCCCATCACAGCATTAAGATGTTTTTTAAATGAGACCAAATGTCCTTCAAAGATTCTTCCTCACAACCTGTTCCTATCGTTAACTACGTCATGGTATAGAAAAACTTCCTGGCTGCTGTCTTCCAAGTTACCCTTTGTAACTCTACAACAACTCCTTGTATTTATATAGTGACCTTCACGCATGGCAGCATCTCAGAAAACTTAATACCGAGCTGATGTGCTTGAGCTGTCTGTTGTCTCCAGCATTCACAACATTTATGTGGAATTGGAAGGAGAATTCTGTGATGTTTCCACACCATGCTCTGTGACACTGACCTCACACCTGCACTGTCACTTTGGTAACATTCCTGACTGGTGACACAGCCACATGTGTGGAGATCTGTGTGCCCAAGTACTCACATGATATACGTGAGCACGCCCAATCCCCAGATATCTGCCGGTGGCCCGATTGCATCACCCTTCAACATTTCAGGAGCTTCGAGACAGAGAAAGAGAGAGACAGAGACACAGATAGAGTAACACATTAGTGAAAGAAGAACTCAGAAATATTAAGTCAAGAAAACATTAGCCCTTTTCAACAGTCAAGGATGTAAGAGAAATGGAGGAAGAGAGAGAGGGTGAGTGTGAGAGAGACAGCGAGAGAGAGAGAGAATAAAAAGGAGAAATAATCAGTGAGGGAGATATTATTTGAGATAGTCTTTTAATTCCCTTTAGAATTTACTAACACAATCTGCCTCCACTGCCTCCCTGGGGTATTCATTCCACACACACTCGCCACTGTCTGTATAAAGTAATTCAATCTGAACAATCTTTTGACCTTCCCTTTCTGACCTTTTTGGCCTTATCTTTGTGACCATGTTAATTATATTACTAGAGACCATTTAGGATCTTGAATAACCAACCTCCCTGAGCCTTCTCTTCCAGCGTGAACGTTCCCGATTCCGTAGCCTCTTCTCGTAACTCAAGTTTCCATTTCCAGCTATCAATCTTGTCCTTTGCTGTACTCCCACCCACTGTCCCACTGTAAGACTTCAAATGAAATTGTACACAATATTCCACAGGATCAGTGTTTTGTGCAAGTTCCGTATCACTTGCTGTGACTCTATCCCCATAGCTCTCTGCTAATGTTGTGTCCAGTAGACTAATTTCTCTCCTTTCCATGACTTGAGAACATGCAGGGCTAAAATTCCAAGCTAACTGTGTGCTCTGCAGTGAGACGCTTGCACTCACACATATAGTCAGCAGTTCCCACTCGATGCCCCAGTGGCTTGGGTACGGTTGCATTGAAGATGTGGGCACTGCCAAAGTCAATGAGTTTAATGACATTCAGGTAAGTCACAATGATGTTGTCCGGCTTGAGGTCCAGATGTACAATGTGGCGACTGTGAAGGTATTCCAGGCCATTCAGAATCTGCACAATGTAACCAACCACATCATCCTCCGAATACCTGAACCTGGAGAGAGAATCAGGTTATAATTCCCCTCTTGGGCGAGGCACACAGAGCACAGCTTACCAAAGCACAGGGTGGAAACTAGAGGCAGAATATGGAAAAGTCCTACTCTGCTGCTCCCTCTTACATTTCTCTCCACTTGTTGTGTTTCATCAACTTGAAACTTGAAGTGTTGTCACCTGGAGTTACAGTGCAGAGACTATTATGTAGGAAAGTGTGGCACAAGGTCAGCAATGTCCCACACGCAGCAATGAAATGGATGACCAAATATAATTTTCGATGAATTATTGAAGGAACATTGGCCAGATGTTTAAAAGAGGGACAGACACCGATACTTAGGTAATAGAAGTATTAAGGGGTATGGTGAAAGGATGGGGCATTGCGATTAAAACATTTGCTAAGATCTAATTAAACAGATGGAACAGGTTTGATGGGCTGAGTGGCCTCCTCCTGTTCCCGTTTCCTATGTTCCTATGACATTGCAAGAACTTTTTACAATTCTTCTAAATAGCACTGCAAGATATTTAATATCCAGTTGAACCAACTGAAAAGCAGTCAAGTCTTTGGTTTAATGTTTCACTGAAAGGATGGTAGTGTTCTCTGTCAGCCTGGAGTATGACTGTATGTCTTGGTGGGGGCTTCAAGCAACAACCTTCTGATTTCAGACTGATACATGCAGCTGCCTCAAGAACCTATTTGTACTGTTTGCTTCAAAGGGAAGAGCCCTGGAGCTCTGAGGGAGGTTGCAATATGTATTGGGTCAGGCTGGTTCCAAGTATAAGAGAGGACATGTTACCTGTCAATCAAGCTGTAGAGCAGCTCCCTCCCCAGGCAGTTCTCAGAGATCAGGACAAGATAGCGAGGAGTGACGTACGCTTCGTGGAGACTCATGACCTTCTCATGATGAAGTGCTTTCAGCACCTCATATTCCTGCAGGACGGCCTGCTTGTTTTCTGCTTCATATGGAATAATCTTGGCCATGAAAAGCTTCCCCGTGGCGTTTTCCTTACACTCACGGACAACACCAAACCGTCCCCTAAAAATAAGCACAGCCAATCAGACTGACTCCCTCTGAGCATAGCCAATCAGACTGAGACAAGCTGGCAATGTGCTGACAGGAACTTGGTGAGTGTTGAGGTGTTGTGTTGGGGTTACTGATGGAGTTCAACCTGCTAAAATATAGCTTGTGATTGAGAGCACTGTCTGCCAAGCTTCCCATTGCTTGTCCAGCTAAGACCATGCTACCCATTAGGATTTTGGTTTCAGGGTTAATATGAACTGAGTGGGAAGAATTCATACTCTCAGTGACTGCCCCTCCAAGTCCAGTCAACAGGCCAGGTGGGCTGGTCTGTCATCAGATGTGCGCAGGAATACTACGAACCCGCCTGGCTCAGGAACAACAAAGAGATGTAAATAGTGGTGACTCCCAGGGTCAATGTGAGGACCACTGCTTTTCCCATTTATACAAATGATCCAGATTCCAATATAAGAGGCACAATTTCTAAGTTTACAAATAACTCAAAAATAGGGAGCTTACCTAACAGTAAACAATGACACAATTTCAGGGGGATACAGACAGATTAGTTGATTGGGCAGAGAAATGGCAAATGAAATTTAATGTAGACAAATGCGAGGGAATACATTTTGGAAGGAGGAATAAGGATAATAAGAATATGTTAGATGGTAAAATATTAAAAGTTATGTAAGAGCAGAGGGACCTAGGGGCTGGGCTAACTTACACATATCCTTAGAGATGGGAAGGAAGGCTGGTGGACAAGGCTGTCAAAAGCAAATGGAATTCTAAGTGTTATAAATACAGGTATAGAATATAAAAGCAAACTTATATAACTCGTTTGTTAGACCACAGCTAGAATATTTCCATGCTTCTATGTCTGAACATCAGCTTCTGTTTCCCAGTACACCAAAGCCCATAACGTTTATAGCTTTACAACAACAATTGACATTTATATAATACCTTTGATGCTGAGAGGATGTCAGAAAGCACTTTACACATATTTACACAGTAGCTCCAGTATAAATTCCCTAGGAAAGCTCATTTGTAGCGCACTATCCGTTAAACCCCACATTTGTGCCCTGACCCGTTCAGCTTTGGCAGTTGTGCTTACAGCCTTTTTGTCCCTGTTCTCTGGAACTCCATCCCAGAGTCCCTTTGCCTCACCCCTTCCCTCGCCTCCTTTAAAGTCTAACTCAAGAGCTTCTTCTTTGACCAGGTCTTTGGTCATCTTCCCAACTCCCCAGGGCTCTCATCCCTCCTGAATCCAACTCCTATCTGGGATGCAAGCCCTCAACTGTACAGCACTTTGGGATAGCCTCCTGATGTGAAAGGGGCTCTTTAAATGCAATTTGTTGTTGCTGTTGTATGGTCAATGGCCAATGGTCAAATAACACATATCGGCAACAGGCTTCCCAAATACTGAGACTACCTGGGAGCCCCTGCTCCATATGAAACTGCCACTTAATACCTAGATATTCCCATTGAATGCTCAAACCCTACTTTACCTGGCCTTCTCCTCCATGAAGGTGTAGGGTTTCTGTGGAACTCCATGTCTCAAGCCTGAAGCAGAGCCGTCAGCTGTTTTAGAAATAGGGGACAGACTAGTTGTGGCCGACTGTCCAGCCCTGACACTCCTTGTTGGTCTGATCAATGCCGGTGATGGGATAGCTTGGCTGGATCTTGCTGGAGTCAGGGTGATCATTGCTGAGGGGGGGGATATCATTGCTGAGGTGGGGGAGATCATTGCTGAGAGGGGGCTGATCATTGCTGAGGGGGGGGACACGGGTGCTGAGCGTTGAGAGACGGGTGCCAGGGATGGTGACACAGGCAGCGAGGGCGGGGAGATAGGCAGCGAGGGCGGGGAGACAGGCAGCGAGAGCGGGGAGACAGGCAGCGAGGGCAGGGAGACAGGCAGCGAGGGCAGGGAGACAGGCAGCGAGGGCGGGGGGACAGGCAGCGAGGACGGGGAGACAGGCAGCGAGGACGGGGAGACAGGCAGCGAGGGCGGGGAGACAGGCAGCGAGGGCGGGGAGACAGGCAGCGAGGGCGGGGAGACAGGCAGCGAGGGCGGGGAGACAGGCAGCGAGGGCGGGGAGACAGGCAGCGAGGGCGGGAAGATGGGCAGTGAGGGCGGGGACACAGAAGCCGAGGGTGGGGAGATGGGAGTTGACGGCGGGGAGACTGGAGCTGAAGGTAAGGGGATGGGAACTGAGGGCAGGGAAACAAAAACTGAGGGTGGGGAGATGGTTGGTGTCTGGGTCACTTCTGCTGAAACTGGCTGGGAGGGTGGCTGCACGTCTGTATTAAACAAACCCAAAATTAACAAATATAACTCATTACTTCTCCTCCCCGCTGCCCAGAGCTGTATTACCACCCACTACCCCATACTGCAGCCAGTTTACCTGGCGTATCCTCTTCCACAACAATCTTCTCAGAGGTCTGGCTATAGGGGCCACATCCAGCCTTGTTGATGCATACCACCCGAAACTTGTGAGTGCCACTCACTAATTCCGTGGCATTGTAGAAACAGTCGGAAATTCCAGCAGAAATGATGGCCCACTTCTCCGTTCCTGGCACAGTACAAACAGTTGTACAAAATGTCATTGGTTTACTTTAGACACTATTGAGTATGTTTTTTGCTATCGGTCAATATAATAATAATGCTTACATTTCATGTTATGAGATCTCAAAGTGCTTCACAGGATTTACTGTACACTGTAATGATTGTGCATTTTGTAGGGGAACACGGCAGCCAATTTGTGCACAGGTCCTTAGACACGCAGGGCCCACACAGGATGAATATACAAGCTGGGATTATATGGTATGGGTACATCCAAACCAGGTCAGAAAGTAGGTTCTCACAGGTCAGAATTCAGACCGATTTTCAAAAGTGAAATACATTTTGCAAAGGGCACAATAACTTCTGTGTTTGCGCGAACACATTTCAGACATTAATGCTGAGAAAGAGATGTTTGTGGGGACCTGTAATGAATGCTAATGGACAAGGCTCCTTACCTGAAAGTTTCTGTTCCAAGGTGTAGGTGCAGGGACCAGCTGTGTCAGATGCCCTCCAAAGGATGAGTGCTGTACTTCTGTATTGTTGAGGTATTTCCGGAGGCCCTGGCTGGCCTGGGAGCCCTATAAACATAAGGAACATGATCCAAGAGCTCAGAATTAGATTGGGTCCAATGAGACATTGAGCGATACAAAGAAAAGAAACTGTAGTAACATCAACAGAGTTACAGTCAGTAATACAGGTTTGTAGCTGGCTTGTGGTACTGAGTCTAACAGCAGAAATAGTCAGTAACATAAGTTGTGAGTTCAGAATTGGTAATAATAACCCTTGCATTTGGTATATCACATTGTTGGGAAGCCTCAAAAAGCTTCACATGATTTTACTGAGAAGTATAATGACTGTGTATTTTGTAGGCAAATGTCGCCCAATTTGAGGACCGAGATGTCCCACAAACAGCCATGAAATGAATGACCAATTTTATTTGGGAGATAAAACACTTGGCGACAACACTGGGAGAAAATAGTGTTATGGGATCTTAAGTGTCCAGCTAAACAGGCAGATAGGCCCTTAATTTAATGTCTCATCGAAAGGACAACACCTCCAACAGTGCAGTGCTCTCCCCCACACACACATTATGGAATTGTGGTTTGGATTTAGGGTTCTGGAGATTGATATACATATTGTGTTCCTGGGAGAAGCCAGAAGAGACCTTTCTGTGGCACAGGCTCCCAGTGCAGTCCAGGCACGTTCCTCTCCAGTGCCTTTGATTCTCAGACAGCTTCTTGCATATTTTCATTTTGAACAACAACTCAATAGTGATTGTAATCTGACTGTAACATGCACTCCCTCCCAAATCTCTGGGACTCACTTGCAAGTGATGCTGTGCAGGAGCTGCTGGCAGTGCCCAGAGGGCTGGAAGCCACACACTCGTAGTTGCCAATGTCCTTCTTCATTGTTCTCATTATTGTTACCAGCTCACGGCCATCAGAACAGGAGACAATCCGAATCCGATCATCTGACACAAGGGGCTTTTGATCTGAAGAAAAAAAAAAATCCAGGAAAAGTAATAATAAGGAAGAGGTGGGGGGAGAAAGGGAATAGCTCAGAGATGAGAGAAGAAAGGCAGAGATGGAGACAATGGAGATGGGACGTCCTCCTGACGTGAAAGGCGCTTTATAAATGGAATCTTGTTGTTGTTGTTGTTGTTGAGACAAGACCTGGAGATTGGAGGAAGAGTCAAGGCAAAAGCTGAGACATGTTAGAAGAAATGGGCCAAGGGCTGGAAATATAAGGAAGAAGACAGGGCTCAAGGCCTGCAGGGGGGAGGAGAGATAGAGGCCAGGAGCAGTGATAAGAGGAGAGAAATGGGGACAAGGACCAGCAACAAAAGGTATTTAACAATGTTGTAGAATAGTATAATTAAAGAGGAACCCACCTTTTACCCAGGTGATCTTTGGTGCTGGACTTCCTGCTGGCAATGTGCAGAGGGTCAGGGGGTCACCCTCCAACAACACCTGATCTTTTAGTTTCACATGGAAGACGGGTGGGAAATCTGTCAATTTGAACGCAGCAAAATCAGTTAGATCAATGGTTATTGTATACATACAGAGCATTTGTTCGCTTCCAACCCACCCACCGGAGGATAATCACTTGACATCTGACAGTTCATCATTTATCATCTGACAGTGTGAGTTTGAGCCGTCAGTAGATGGTTGGCAGGTACCAGGAACTTCCTGCGAGCTTCTTGATGGGCGATACAGCTCATCAGGAAATGGGTGAGAGCATTGCCGCCATCAACTGCCCACAGCTCAGACACACATCACTACTCATTGAGCAATGGTTCGATAAGTTAGTTCTGGGAAAGCTTTGTAAAATGATTGTTGATTGAGTGCAGCTGTTACCTGAAGCACTTCTATGGTACAGTAAGGAGGTAGCTTCACAGGCCAGCGAGATGTTGGGCTGAGAAGTTGCCTTGTCTCTCCTGCCTCGGGACAGACCCCATCGATCCCACCGTGACCTCCTTTCGCCATCAGGGGAAGCTGGAGAGAAAGTATTATATTACAGGAGAATACTTTGTTCGCTTGGTCCCTAGTGTAACCTATTCACCTTAGTTCAGGCAGCCAGTGCCACCTGACTAGTGCACTCAAACACACAAACTCCACTGAATACAACCCTATGGATGTGGTCTTGAAGGAGGTGGCGGAGGTGGTGTGGGGGGGGGGTGGGCAAGGTAGGGGACGTGAAGCAGGCCGGAGGGAGTGGGCATACACAAAAAAATGTTCTTGGATGAGGATTAGGCTCCCTTTACAGAATCCCCATTTAGCCTTTCCTATCAGATCAGACAGTGAATCTCCAGGCATTTCAATGGGCCTGGTGAGGGACTCATTTCCACTCCATCTGCTGCGATGTGTGGAATTAGTAGCCTCAGAGTGAAGACAGACAGGCAAGGACTGCTGCTTACCACAGAGCTGCTTGGAGGTGGTGCTAGTTTCAGACTGCAGGGACTCTGATGATGGGGCTGAGGGTGACTGCTTTGCCAGCTGGTTCTGGGGGATCCCTACTCGCTTCAGGGAGGCAGCTTCTGAGCTGGAGCGCCTGAGCAGCGAGAGAAAAGGGGCACGTTTGCCCTCCTTCCCCTCCACTTTGTCCTGTGGTGTGGGAAGTGATGTTTCTGACCCTGTTCTCTCCTCAGACCGGCTCCGCCCAAACCTCAGCGAGATGCCTGAGATAGTGGACTCAATTTTCTTGCGCACATTCGTTGCTGGCGAATTTTTCTGCTCTTTTTTAACAAGTTCAGCCTCTTGATTGGGAGTAGCCATTACGTTTCTCCCCTCATCAGCCTCCTCCCCGCCAGCCTTCCTTTCCTTTGAGCTACTTCTTCCAAATGGCCAGGAGACTTTGCGGACACCACCGCTGGCTGCCATGTTCTCTTTCACCTTCTCTTCTTTTCTTTCACTGGGTCCTCCTGCTCCTTTTAGCCGCCAGGACAGTTTTCTTAAGAAGCTGGAATCCTTCACTGCTTCTGGAATATTCTGCTCGGATCTGGACCTGGATTTTCCCGTTGTAAATTTTTGAAAGAATCTCTCATCCTCTTTAGTGAGCTGTAAGGGTGCCCCCAGCGGCCCTGGCCTGTACACCTGCTCCTCCTTTTTGGATGTTTGCTGCAGTTTCTCCTCAGATTTTGGTCTCATCAAATGCTTCAAGCTGCGGGTTAAAGAGGAGTCTCTGGTTTTCTTAAACTTTGCCTCAAAAACTTCCTCAGACTCGATATTAGCAATGTTTATACACTGGCTCATGCTGGACGATTTCATTTTGAGTTTCCCACCATTCAGATCTGGAGGGATTTGCTCACCGCCCTCTCCCAGGCCCCTGCTCTGATACCCATCGTCCTTTCTCACCTCTGCATTCACTTCAGGTTTGGGGCTGACCCTGGAAAACACTGCTGGGTGCTGAACCACCTGCTGGACAATTCCCAGAGGGTGTGCATTGACAATGTGGGCCTGCTTTCCGGTGGCAGAGGTGTCCCTTGGCTTGGACAAGCTCACAAGCTTCATGGGGACAGGCTGTGATGGAGTCTGCTCTGCGGGGGCATGCCAGGCATCCTTTGCAGCTGGGATTGCTGAGTGAGTGGAGGGAACGGGGATCAAATTAGTCCTGTGCTTGGCTGAGTGTACTTCAGGTTGTTCAGTTTTGGTGGCTTTCAGCACTTCAGGTGTCCGGTGCTCTGCTCCGGGTACAGTTTGTAAATTTGGGCTCTTTATATCTGGCACAGGTAGTTCAGTCAGAGATTTGGATTCAGGTAAATCGGGTTCAGCCGAAAGGTTACTGTGGGTGATGATTGCAGTTCGTCCAATCATGATTTTCATGCACGGTGTTTCCATTAGTGCTTTCTCCTCTGTGCTTTTGACTTCTGGCACTACTGGCTGAACCTCTGCTGGTGATGGTGTTCGGTACAACTCCTTTGTTGTGATTAATTTGACTGGTGTTGGGGGCCGGGAGGTGTCGAATTTAGTTGGATCGGTCAAGGCAGAGAGGGAAGGAGATTCCTTCAGTGCAAAAACTAGATCTGGGCTTGCTGACCGGGAATCCAGTTGAGACACTGGTAGTTCTAGAGGTGCTCCCACTCGTCGGTGAAGAATTGTCGGTTCTCCTTGAGAGAAAGATGCACTTTTGCGAAGAGCGCGTGTTTCTATAAGATCCTGGCTTGGGGCACTCTCGCTGGAGGCTGCTTTGGTTAGTCTAGGTTGAGCCGCGGACTTCTCCGGTCTTGGTGGGCGGTGAATGTGCCGCTCCAGAGATGAGGTGCGCTTTTTGGGATCATCTGGAATTCCTAGATGTTCCAGAAGTGGCCCCCGGAGACCACTCATCTTACTATCCACAGAGCCCCCCCGAAGCAGCCGTTGCCTCATGAGCTCAAGCTTCAGAGCGTAATCTTCCTGACTGGGACTGGCTTTTCTGCGCTGGACACTCAGCTCTTCCAGCCTTCCAGGGCTCGGGCTTCTTCTCGGGAGCTCCATTGAGACCGATTTTTTCAGTCTTCCTGGCAGCTCTAGGAGCTCTCTGCTCTCATCCTTGTTGGTTCCATCAGTGACCTGCTGTGCTCCAAGCAGAGCCAAGGCACTGTCAGCAGAGCTGCCTCTTCGGAGCTCGCGTCGCCTCGAAACAACATCCGCTTTGAATGAGTCTGGTGACTCAATGGTCATTCCTTTCCGCAGTGCACGCTTGGGAAACTCCGCTTTCTGTGGCTCAGACTCTTCATCTGAAGATCCAAGAGGTTCTGCCTCTGTTGATCTCTTTCTTGTTATTTTGATCCGAACTTTTCCTAAACCATCTGCTTTCAGTTCCCCATTTTCTTTCTTTTTGACAATATCCACCTCTTCTTCAGGCTTCCTTGGTATTTGAAGTGACAGGGAATGACCTGGTGCCGGAGAGGATTGTACAGGTTCCCACACTTTTGCCTGTATCACCTCTTCAGTCACTCTGCCACCCAGCCCACCATCTGATTTCCCCACCATCTCTTCCTCAGTGGCTATTTCATTGAGAGACATCCACGCTGAGGAGAACTCCATCTGAAGAGGCATCGGGATGAACGGGAACTCATCAATTTCATCGGAATCAGAAGAGGAGGAGAGGACGGATGAAGCTCCATTCTGTTTGAGATGTTTGGGAATTCCAATGCCCATGTGACTAGATGTGTCTTCCAGGAGGTCAGGAATGGATCTAATCACCATGGAAGATTTATAATTGATGAGGGAGCGCTAAAAAATCAATGAAAAACAATTGATCAAAAGAATATCATCCCAATCCTGTTGTGTAGTAACCTGGGTGCTGCCTTACCAGAGTGCCTCCCACACAAATCAGACAACAACAACAACAAATTACATTTGTATAGCGCCTTTCACATCAAGAGGACGTCCCAAGGCGCTGGTCAGGACATATTGCCACTCGCCAGGCTGCCCAGTATACTACGCTTGTGCGCCCTGAGAAGGGAATGGCTAGGTTGTAGAGCAGTCCATCGTGTTATCATGTTATACCTGAATCCGCACTATACTCAAGCGAGCTCTAACAGGCTGCACCTTATATCAGTTACATTATGGAGACGTTGAGTCTGAAGGTGCCCTGAATCGTCTAGACAAGATTGCAAGATTCTACACACAAACCTGCCACTTCCTGCGGGACACCAGCATCTTCAGATGATCCGTGCTGATCATCTTCCCCGTGTTAATGGACTTGCTCTGAAAATAGATTAAAATTAATCATCTTCAGCTGTAATAACAGGTGATAATATCAGCTCCTGTTGCAGTGAGTGTCACGATCAGCTTATCAACACAACCCCTATTAACAAGGAAGAGTCACTATCTCTGTTACGATAAAGACCCTAAAGGGATTGACACTATTTAGGTCCCTGTTACAGTGCAAATTGGTGATTGTGTGCTTTTGCCCACAAAGCATACAGTCACTCCACTTAACTTTACAGTATATCCTGTATTAAGAGAGTTTAGGAAGAGCTTCATTATGGAGCAGGTGGTGAGAATGTGGAACTCACTTCTAGAAATCAAGGTTGAAGCAGAAACCATCAATACATTTAAGAGAAAATGTGATGTATACACAAGGTGTGGCACAGATTAGCCGAAAGGGTGAGTACAAGTTGTTGTTGCTGTTGTTGTAAGAAGCTGGAAATAACTCACCAAAACCCAAGGATGTTGGAGACATTCGTCTGCATTTGGTCTCCTACAAATGAGAACAGGACAGTGTTAATAAACAGGGCATGGAAAGCGGGAGGAGCAGACAGGACAGGTGGAGGTGGAAGGCTTTGTACTGGGCAGGCTCCAGAAGATGCTATTTATTGGGCTAATAGGTCCCTTAACTAATTGGGCAGTCTGAGACTGAAAATGTACAGGGCCACATGGCCAGTAACAGTGTTATGTTGATTGATTTGTTGATGAATATTTTTAGTTTTTTATACAAAGGCAAAGACAGGACTGACCAATAGCATGTGACACTGGTTGCCAGCTCTCTAATCAGCGGCAGCAACAATGCCATTTGCTGATGAGGGAACTGGTGTCACACAATTTTAACAGTAAATGGAGATCTTCACAGTAAAACCAGTCACTACAGAAGGTGACATTTAGCAGCACTTCCACTATCACCATGGCAGTTTAGGGACCTAGGAATAACGTTAGGAGATATAGAGTCAGTAGTACCACATGAAGTCTGTTAGGTTTTTGTTTGAGAAGTGTGAGTTTTTAAAGGATGTTAGATAAACATCAGGAGGGATACAACTAGAATACTCAGCCCTTATTTATTTTGTTCTATCTATATGAGCGTCTGTGTATTTCTACGACTGTGAGTCTGTGTATGTCTGCATGCATATGTATGTCTGTATGCGTATTTCTATATGTGTGTGTGTATGTCTGTGTATGTTTTTAGGTCGATGTATATGTGTGTCACTGAAGTGAGTGACAGAGACCCCTCTTTGTGTGTCTAGTGCAGCACTTGTCCCCAACTTACTGCTTGTCCTTCACTAAGAGCTTGATGACGAAGCTTCTTGCTTCACGGCTCAGGTCTGCAAACATCTTTTCCTCAAAGGCCACGTTGTAGTTTTTGATGTTGAATAAGGTGCACTTGTCATTCTCAGCAAAGAACGGTGAAATGCCAGTCAGGCTGTCAGCACAAATACAACACATTCAGTGAGTGACTCAAACAGTCTCCTTCCCGAACACAGCATTTCCACAATATCAACAGCCTTGCCACGAGCACTACCAGTGCATACAGGGAAATCCTGTCATCCACAAGGCAGGATGGTTTTGATGGATGTGACCGCAAAGAGGGAGTTTTAATCCATATCTAACCCGTGCTTGATCCAGGGATGCTGAATAGGAGAGTAAGGAATATAAGAAAACAGGAACAGGAGGAGTCCATTCAGCCCATTGAGCTTGTTCCAGCAGCAAATTTATGTGATCTTGGCAAATCTTTTAATACATAATAATCCTTGTATTTGATATAGCACCTTTCACATAAGGAGAAAGTCTCAAAGTACTTCACAGGTTTTTACTGTGACTGCATGTTTTATAGGCTAACGCGGTAGCCAATTTGCACATAGCAATATCCCACAAACAGCAATGATACGTATGACCAATATTATCTAGAGGATTGCTGGCTAGGACAAGGGGAGAAACTTCCTACTCTTTTCTAATAGTGCCACGAGATCTTTAATGTCCACCTGAACAGGCAGACGGGACCTGGGTTAAACGTCTCATCCAAAAGATGGTGCCTCCGACAATACAGAGCTCCCCAGCCCTGCATTAGAGTGTTAGCAGCTAACTTGTTTTACGGCCAGCCTGAGAGTGCTGGATGAATAGTGTACAGGAGCTTTACTCTGTATTTAACCCATGGTTTGTTCGAACTGGATGTGTCAGGAGGATCCAATGGACAATTTCTCGGCTGGTTTGAATGCATATTTTTAAATATAAGTGAGGCTGTGTGAAGGTTACCAGAGAAGAAACAGCTGTTCTAATTCATCAGTAACAGATAGATGTGTGAACTGATGACTTACCCAATGTAGGCAATGACTCCAACAGGCCTGTTGGTGAAAGAAATAGGTATGAAGAGCATGCTAGTGACTGGTCCCTGCTCCAGAACCTCCACCTTCACCCATGAAACAGATCCCAGTCCCAATCAGACTTCAACTTAATGCTAACAAGTAGACACTGCCCTGTACTGACCCACGGAGGCCCCCACCCCACACTGACCATTACAGACTTCTGCTCTGTAATGATCTCAACTTCATGCTTACTCCAGGGGGCTGTGCTATTCCCAGGCCTTTGCCATTTCCCTGAATAATCCAGTTCCCAAGCTTCAGCACTCGCCAATCTGCGCCCAATATTCTCTGTAATTAGTTAAGCAGGAGATGTCCCTCTGGGTGTGTAAATTTAATTCAGACATGGCAAAGTTTCCCTGAGTAGGTGGCATACATATGTAGAACTCTCGGTCTGGTTTGGATACTCAAACATTGTGATGGGTTTCTGTAACTGTCAGATAGTTAGTTGACTAAACAAATATCATCAAGATTGGAAGCTATTGCAGTTCTGTGAATCTACAACAGGTGGCAATGTTCAACTAATGATATTTAGGTAAGCGTTGGGCCACATGCCCACTACCGCTATTTGTTGTACACACAGAATTCCAGCAGCCTTGTCACCCACTATTGGTAAGAAATGAAAGGACCCTGTGTATTTTTGGACATGAATAAAGTGTGACACAAGCCCTGTGGTCCTGCTATCTAATCTGAATGAGGCACAGTAAGGAGTAAAGAGGTCTGAGTACCAGATGTCTGTAACTTGAGATACAGGCGAGTGGTCGGCGATCTCTGGGGAAATATACTCAGGCGTCCCGAAGTTACAGTACTGTGATGTGCCCAAGGTGACTTCCTGTGCATTGCCAAAGTCACAGATCCGAAGGCTCTCGCTGCCTGCATCTGCCAGAAGAATATTGTCTGGCTGGAAGAAATGAGGAGAAAGGAACTGTTTGAGATAAGAACTAAATCATTCCTACACACAACAATTTTAGGCAACCTGAACCTAAACAAAACTTGAACAAAAATAGTTCATTTCATGTGAAGTCATGCCTCAGAACACTGAACAACAGCGGAGTTTGATGCTGAGCCAGGGAGAAAGGGAGGTGACCCGTAGGCGCGGTCGAACAGGAAGTCTTCAATCTTCAATCTGGGCAAAGAGGGACAAGGTGGAGGGATTGAAGCAGGGAGATCTGGAGACTCAGGGCATTGTGGCTGAAGGCCTGGCTGTTGATGGTGAAATGGGGCCAGTCGAGTGAAGGGTCAGGCGGAGGAATGAGGTGTCAGCACATTGGAGAGGTAGGGAGGTGCTTCGGCTAGGAGTCATTTGTAGATGAGTGTGAGGATCTTGGAATTGATTCATTCTGTGACAGGGAGCTAATGGAGCCTGGCAAGGAAGAAACAGCACTAAATTCCAATCAAATCTGCACTAAATCCATTCTACACCATCCATTTTACACCAAATCCGACTCCCACATTAAAGCATGATTACACAGCAAACCCTAACAAGAATTATCCTTATACTGTATTTGATATAGCACTTTTCACATCAGGAGAATGTCCCAAAGCACTTCACAGAATTTACTGTAAAGTGTATTGAATTTGTGTTTTTGTAGGCGGATGCAGCAGCCAGTTTGTACACAGCAATGTCCTGCAAATAGCCATGAAGTGAATGACGAATTTTAACTGGGGAATTGTTAGCCAAGACACCAGGAGAAATTCCCTTCTTTTTTCAAATAGTGTCATAGAGAAGTCCACCTGAACAGATAGACACAACTCAGTGTTTATGACTCATCTGAGGACGGTGTCTCTGATACTGTGACAATACCCAGTGTTGTCCTGCAGTATCAGCCTTGCTTGTATGTTCAATGTTCTAGTATGTGGCTGATCCTGTCATGTTCAATCACAATCCTGTTGTGCTGAATCACAATGCTGAACTCAATCCTACCTTAATGTCCAGGTGAAGAATGTTGCACTGATGAAGGTAGCTGATCCCATCTAGAATTTGTTTGATGTAATCCCGGATCTGACAAAGAGAACACTGATCAGAGTTGAGTTCCGAAACCACCGGAAAAGCTGTCCGGCAAATCATCATTATCCTTCTCTACCAGCAGCAGCAGAGGAAGCCGGCTGAGGGAAGCTTGACACTAACCTTGCAGACAGAGCAACAACAACAACCACTTGCATTAATATAGCGCCCTTCATGCAGGGTAGCGTCTCAGAGCAGGTCACCAGCCTCACTCACCTCTCAGGCTGGGGGGGTGGGGTGAGGAAAAGAGACCCCAGTCTCACTCATCTCTCAGGCCAGGGGGGAGTAGGAAGACCCTGTCTCACTCACCTCTCAAGCTGGGGGGGAACCCGACCCCAGCCTCACTCACCTCTCAGGCCGCATGTACCCCAGCCTCACTCACCTCCTCCTCCCAGACTGCAGGCTTCCTAATCAGTCTGTCAAAAAGTTCTTCTTGAGAACAGCTGTGTCAGAGTTAAGGTGAGTAACAGTGTTGGACTAATGGAGTTCCATAAGAACATAGGAATTTGCTGGCGAAAGAAGACCAAGCTCCATCTAGTTCCCCTTCCACCATCTTGGCAGTCGCTTGACATGTCGTGTCCTGAACTATATACTGTATCCCCAGATATTATTTCCTAACACAAATCTATCTAGTTACTCAATGATTGCAGAGCTACAGCAGAACACAACCCCGGCTGTTCACTGTGACTTCAGAAGATTGCTCCCCTCTGCACCAATGTGTCACTGTCAATCTTGTGGTCACCATGCAGATAGACTCACAGGGTAGCAGCAGAGCTGATAGGGCGCTGAGCACTGTGCCTGGGCAGAGGGATGTGATAGCCTGAGCACTGTGCCTGGGCAGAGGGAAGTGATAGCCTGAGCACTGTGCCTGGGCAGAGGGATGTGAAAGCCTGAGCACTGTGGCAGGGTGCTGAGTATTGTGGCTGTGCCCTGTGCTTGTAGCTTGAATTACAGGATACAGTTCCTGAAGGAGGATCAGGCTGTTCTTCTTCTGGAACACATCATGGAAGTACACAATGTTCTGATGATCCAGCTGGGATATAAGCTGCAGCTCTCTCACTGCGTCGCTCCTCGTCATTGCTCGGAAGGAGATGAATTTTGCTGCAAATTCCACTTTACTGCTCTTTTCTGTGACCCGCTTGATACATGAAAATGCACCACTGGTAGGAAAAAAATCACATGTAACCACACGCAAAACAGTCATTGATCCTAGTCCATCAATCACACCAATAACCTGATATCATTGTCAGCTAGTAATCAACTAGCATACCGAGCTTCTGCACTACAGACACGTTTAGACAGGGGAGAAATGCAGAACAGACCAAGTCGGTCTTGGAGTGAATGTGCATAAATGCACAGAGTATGACAAATAAGTTTGGTGAGCTGCGGCTCAAGTTGCCACATGGGGTTACGATGTAGTGGCAATAATGGAGACTTGGCTCAAACAAGGGCAGGAATGGGAGCTGAATATTCCTGGCTACAATGTACTCAGGAGGGATCGGGAAGGAAAAAAAGGAGGGGGGGGGGGTTGGCAATATTGATTAAAGACACAGTTACGGCCCTGGAAAGGGACGATGTGCTAGAGGGTCCCAAAATAGAATCTATTTAGTTAGAGTTAAGGAGCAGAAAAAGAGCTGTTACTCTGTTAGGTGTATACTATAGACCACCAAATAGTGGGAAGGAGATGGACAAGCAAATCTGCAGATTTCAGAAAGATGCAAAACCAATATAGTAGTGATAATGGGGAACTTCAATTATCCTCATGTAAACTGACAAAATAACAATGTAAAGGGCAAAGGATCTGGACAACAGTGATCACAACATCATTAGGTTTAGAGTACTTATGGAAAGGGACAGAGTAATCAAAGGTGAAGATACTCAACTTGAAGAGGCTAATTTCATTGAGTTAAAAACGGACCTCGCCAAGGTAGACTGGAAAGAAAGATTGGCAGATAAAACAGCGAATGAGGAATGGTAAGTCTTCAAGGAGGAGATAGCTCAGGGATAGAACAAATGCATTCCCACAAAGGGGAAAGGTAGGGCATCCAAACCTCCCTGGATGTCTAAGGAAAATGGGATTAAAATAAAACAGAAAAAAGAGGCTTATGATCAATGTCAGGTCCAAAATACGGAAGATAATCAAATAGAATATAGAAAGTACAGAGGAGATCTGAAAAAGAAAGTAAGAGGGGCAAAGAGATTGTATGAGAAAAGATTAGCGGGTAACATAAAAGGGAACCCTAAGATATTTTATAACCATATAAAGAATAAAAGATTAGTCAAAGGTAGGGTGAGTCCAATCAGGGACCAAAGAGGAAATCTTCTTGTAGAGTCAGAGGATATGGCTGAATGAGTACTTTGCGTCTGTCTTCACAAAAGAAGAGGATGCACCAATGCCACAGTATCCGAGGAGAGGGTAGAGAAATTGGATAAGATAAGAATAAACTGAGAGGAGATACTAAAAAGGTTATCGGTGCTCAAAGTAGACAGGTCACCCGGTCCGGACGGGAGGCATCCGAGGTTACTGAGGGAAGTGAGGGTGGAAATAACAGAGGCTCTGGCCACAATCTTTCAATCCTCCTTGGACACCGGGATGGTGCCAGAGAACTGGAGGGTTGCAAATGTCACTCCCCTGTACAAAAAAGGGCAGAAGGGTAAACCCGGGAACTACAGGCCAGTCAGCCTAACGTCAAGAGCGGGAAAACTTCTTAAGACTTTTAATCCGGGACAAAATAAATTTTCACTTAGAAAATATGGGTTAAATAAAGGACAGTCAACACAGATTTGTTAAAGGCAAATCATGTCTAACAAACCTGATAGAGTTTTTGATGATGTAACAGAGCGGGTGGATGAAGGCAGTGCAGTTGATGTAGTTTATATGGATTTTCAAAAGGCGTTTAATAAAGTGCCACATAAAACACTTGTAAGAAAAACAGAAGCCCCCGGTATTAAAGGGACAGTGGCAGCGGATACAGAACTGTCTGGGAGACAGAAAGCAGAGAGTGGTGGTGAACGGTTGTTTTTCTGACTGGAGGGAAGTGTGCAGTGGTGTCTCCCAAGGGTCGGTATTGGGGCCATTGCTGTTTTTGATCTATATAAATGACCTGGGCTTGGGTATAGGGAGTACAATTTCCAAGTTTCCAGATACTAAACTAGAAAAAGTAGTAAACAGTGAAGAGGACAGTAACAGACTGCAAATGGACACAGACAGACTGGTAACATGGGCAGACACGTGGAAGATGAAGTTTAATGCGGAGAAATGCAAAGTGATGCATTTTGTGAGGAAGAATGAAGAGAGGCAATATAAACTGATGGTACAATCTTAAAGGGGGTGAAGGAACAGAGAGACTTGTGGGTTCATATAAGTAAATCTTTGAAGATGGCCGGACAGGCAGATAAAGCTGTTAAAAATGTATACGGGATACTGGGCTTTATAAATAGGGGCATAGAATACACGAGTCAGGAAGTTATGATGAACCTTTATATAAAACACTGGTGAGACCTCAGCGAGAGACTGTGTTCAGTTCTGGGTCCCACACTTTAGGAAGGATGTCAAGGCATTGGAGAGGGTGCAAAGGAGATTGACCAGGATGGTACCAGTAGTGAAGGACTTCAGTTGTCAGGAGAGGCGAGAGAGGCGAGGATTATTCTCCTTAGGGCAGAGAAGGTTAAGAGGAGACTTAATAGAAATTTTCAAAATTATGAGGGGATTCGATAGGGTGAACAGGAGAAACTATTCCCACTGGTGGGTGGGTGGGTAACCCGAGAAACCAATTTAAAATAGATGTTAAAAGAAACAGAGGGGAGGTGAGGAGAAATTTTTTCACACAGCGAGTTGTTGGGATCTGGAATGTACTGCCTGAAAGGCTGGTGGAAGCCGATTCGATAACAACTTCTAAGAAAGACAGGGGCAACATGGCTGAAAGCTTGCACAGTGATGGATGGTGGGACAAGAGGCAAGCCAGGCCTGCAGAACATAGGGGCTTAGGCAATAGGACTGCAGAGATCACAGAGGTATGGTGAGCAAGGCCATGGAAGCTTCTGAAGATAAGGAGACTAGGACACTCACCGCCCGATCTCCTGATGCACCTCGTAATAATCTGACAACAATCTCATCTTCCGCAAAATTGTTTCTTCATCGTCTATTGACTCCTCATTCCCTCTTTTCCCTGTAGAACAACAAAAGGATCAGGAAAACTGGGGTGTTGTGTCAGTGACTGTCTTCCCCGGGCGAACGTGACCCTGATGCGACCCTGGGTCTGTCTGTCTCCCACGTTCTGTACTGCTAATGTATTTACCTCTCAGCACAGTTAGCTCTGCTTTACACGACACTTCTCCAGCCAGGTTCCTCGCAGTGCAGGTATAGACCCCACTGTCTGCATCTGTTGTGTTCAGGATCACAAGTGAACACTCATTGTCATCGTACACAAAGGACAGGTGGTTACTCTCCACCAGTAACTTGCCATCCTAAAACACACCAAGCACATGATTATGTGCTGCCAGGCCATCCCAGAGCCTGAACACATGATAATAATAATAAACATGGTCACATCACTGTGTCCAGGTCAGCACTGGCTTCATGTGGGCAGCTCAGTGTCCACCCTCCTGCACTGTTGGAGCACAGTGACCAGATTCCTCACACCACTCACCTTGTACCAGTTGATGTCAGGCAATGGCCTCCCTTCTACAACAACCACAAATCTGGCTGTCTCCTCCACGCTGACCTCGATATCTTCCATGATGGACTCATAGCATGGTGCCTCTGTAACACAACAACTTAGTCACAGCCGGGCATTGTTAGGATTGGCAAACAATCAGGGTCTTCTCCTTCACTGCCCAAGTTACAGTGCCCAGATCAGGGGATAGCCAGCACCTTGTGTTTGAGGAATGATGGCACAGTAATCACAAGCCCCTCCAAAGCACCTCACACTGTCACAGGGAAACCTTCACAATGTGAGTAGTTATGGAGGGGAACACTCAGCTTTTTTTTTTGACAGATGTCTGACACACAAAGAAACCCATCACTGTGCTTAAGAGTATCCAAATCAAACTGAGAATTTCATGCCTCCCACCTACACATGGAAATCCCAGCGATAGATTGTTGAATGGAATGTGCTCTCTGTCTCTCCCTAGAGGGACGGATCCTGCTTACCTAATTCCGGAAAGTATTAGGCACAGGTTGGCAAGAGCCAAGACTTGGGGACCACAGAGTGTGCATTGGGGTACTGTTGGAGTCTAACTAGCTAAAACTGATGATATAGTGTGGGTAGAGAGAAATTTATTGTGTACGTAATGCTCCTCTCACGTTGCTTACCTGCTAACTCCAGAGCAATTCTGCACGAGTCAGTCCCCTTCTCATTACTGGCTGTGCAGGTAATCTCACCGACCTCGGCCTTATCCACTTTGACTATCTTCAGCATGTGCTGGTCATCATCTGGCATGCTCAACTCATATACCCGTGGGCGGGCCAGCAGCTCCACACCATTCCTAGCAGTGGTCAAATTAAATAGAACAGTCTATAACTAGCAATCAGTATTCAGTCAATAACCCTAATCAATAACAACAACAAAACTTGGATTTATATAGCGCCCTCCATTGTGGACGGCATCTCAGAGCGCTTCACAGTAACGGATCCCAGGGCCGAGCCAGGAGGAGGGGGAGGAAGGTGACCAAAGGCGCGGTCGAAAAGAACGGTCTTCAGCTGAGACCTGAAAATAGGAAGAGAGGGAGCGAGGCGAAGGGAGGGAAGAAGGCAGTTCCAGAGCCTCGGGGTGAAGTGGCTGAAGGCATGGCCGCCGAGGGTGGAGCGGAGAACTCGGGGGACAAGGAGGAGGCCAGACCTGGAGGAACAAAGGCAATGGGCACTGTTTTGAGGAGGGATGAGGTCAGAGAGGTAGGGGGGTGCAGAGGAGTGGAGGGATTTGAAGACAAGGGTGAGGACAATAATAGTCACAGCTAATACCCAGCAGCAGTTTGTACCTCTGTGCACACCAATCACTGGATATATGAACGTGTTCACGAACCTGGCACCACGTAGCACCTTCTAGCAGCTGTCACCCCAAACCTCAGAGTTTCCTCATCAGTTTCCTGATGGACAGCTGCCTTCTGCGTGGTGGGAGGACCTTTACATGACAGCTTGTGATGTGCCAATCACCTTCATGTTCTACATGTTTTGGTCGAGCGCTGTGTGAGCCAGGGATCCCACCCTGTCACTAACCAGAGACACTCTGGTGTCAGCTCTCCCACTCCCCCCACCCCCTCCCCGCTGAAATATAGGTGTTTCTGTTGTTATCATTAAATCAAAAAGTTTCAAACCAGGAAAGACTATAAATCAGTATCGAGTAACAATCAGCATCAACTGATCATTGTCAATCAATAACGGCTAATAATGTCCCATAGCTCAGCGGTTAGAGCACGCGCCTCAAAAGCAAGAGACCTGGGTTTGATTCCCGGCAGGGTGAAACCTTGGGCAAGTTTCCTTATTCCAGACGCCTGATAATAATCCCTCAAGAAAAAAAATAATAAATTGATCACTTCAATCCACGGCTGTTTATGGGACGCTGCTGTGCGTAATTGGCTGCCACATTTCTCCCACCAATATACAGTCAATTCACTTTACAGTATATTCTGTGAAGCGCTTTGAGACGTCTACAAGATGTGAAAAGCGCTATAACAAATGCAAGGATTATTATTATATTATTATTATAGTGATCAGTGCAGTAATGAAGCAGAACACAGTAAGATTGGGATGATGTCACATTCTCTAGGCACTGACCCTAGAGGCACAATAGTACCCAGGTGAGAGCAGCAAGCACCAGAGGATTGCAAGATCCCAGAGCATAATCATGGGCAGATCTCACCTGCTCCAGCACACATTGGCTGTCCTCCTTACCTGGTCCAGCACACATTGGCCTGCACATAATTCATTGTGCAGGTGATGCAGACACTTTCGTTCTCCACAGCATACACAACATCTGGTTTGTCAACGAAGCAAGGAGCGTCCTCCAGATAGGGACCTGTTGGATCAGCAGAGAGTTGGCAGTAATGAGAGCTGACAGTAACACACAGAGCAGAGAGAAAGTAACACAGAGCACAGACAGTAACACACAGAGCAGAGGGACAGTAACACACAAAGCAGTGAGACAGTAACACAGAGCAGAGGGACAGTAACACAGAGCACAGACAGTAACACAGAGCAGAGGGACAGTAACACACAGAGCAGAGAGACAGTAACACAGAGAGAGACAATAGTTTGAGCATCTTGACTTGACCTTCTTTCATCAGGAAGTCCTTACCTCTGTCCAGGAGTTTTACAGGCTCTGAGGTGGCAGAAGGTTTGCTGCAGCTCTTGGATGTTGTGCTCTGGACCCTGAACAGATACTGATTTCCTTTATTCAGTGACTGAATAGTGAATGTTATTCCCCTGATGTTGGCTTTCAGCACGTGCCACTGTGCTGTCCCCAGAACCTGGCTCTGAATCACGTAGGTCAGTGTATCGGGATCTGTAAACGCAGCATTCAGTGTGTGTTAATGTATGTGCTGGTGTATTTGTGAGCCTCTGTCACCAGTGACTATCATAGTTAATGTTTACAAAGCCACTGTCCTAAGGAGCTGGACAGTGAAAAGTTTGCACCCAAGCTGGGGGGCAGAATCAAGAGGGGTGAAGGGCAGCACTGCATTGTGTTAGAATTTACACTTTTTGTATAATGTTAGAATCATAATGGATGTTGCGAACGGGTTAACTTTTAAGTTAAGTGTGGGGGGCAACTGGACTGACACTCATGATTAACACTCAAGAGCAACAAAAGGCAACCCTCAAGAATAGCAGCTAACGAGCAAGTTGCTTAAACTAGAGGACCTTGGTACCATCCCGGGATACTGATAAGAAATAATCAGTCATTTAAAAGGAATGTACTAATGATCCCACCTAACAAAATAACAAGCATCAGATAACAGGGGTCTTAAGGACAATGTGTATGTGTGCTGAGGCACGTACACCACATGAGGTGTTCACGTGAACCCAGCATGATTTTGACCAGGTGATCTAATGTCCGCACCATGATTGGACGAACATCGGTATAAGAGTTCCGATAACTTTGTGTACGGGGCTGTTCCGGGTCGCGGAGACAAGGATACGGGAGATGGGGCCATCCCGGGCTGCGCAGACAAGGGTACGGGAGATGGGGCTGTCCCGGGTCACGGAGACAAGGATACGGGAGATGGGGCCATCCCGGGCTGCGCAGACAAGGGTACGGGAGATGGAAGACTGAGAGCTAGAAACACTAAGACTGAGGATATCAGATGGAAGATTGAAAGCTGTAAGCAAGAAGACTGAAAGCATGAAGAATCAAACTTGTGTGCTGTAAAGACACAGTGTTGAACTCGAGATATCTATGGTGGTATTATTGTGTTATAAGATCTGTTGATTGTATCAGCCTTTGGTCTGACCCATCGGGATATTGGGGAATAACGAACGAATAATAATAAAGCAGTCAAGATATCTGGTTGTAAACGGATTATGGATGATTTTATTTTCTAACAATTGGAGTGATAGTTTAGACTATGTGATTCCAAGTCCCAAAATGGGGTTTGAACCCACAACCTTCTGATTCAGAGGCGAGCGTATGTTACTGCCTCTAACATCAAGTCTCTTGTCATAATGGAAACCCCTCATCCCTGTTAACATCCTCAGGTACATGTTAGCCCCCACTCACCCCAGCTCGGGTCTAAATCCCTGACTGTCCAGCGCCTTGGGACGTCCTCCAGATGTGAAAAGCCCTATACAAATGTAATTTTGTAGATATGTGTGAATATGCTGCATCTTTTCTGTTGCTTTTGCACCTTCCTTTAATGAGGTGTCCAAAACTGTACACAATATACCTCTAACCTAACTAAGGACTTGTACAAGTTCAACATTACCTCCTGCATTTGTATTCTATGTCTCTAGCTAGTGTCTGTGGTTTCTGCATAGCCACCTTTAATACCTGTATAAGACCAAGACAGGGTCCCTGTGTCACTCTATACCATTTAAAACCTGGTATAGGCCAGACCTCTTTCACAATGCTCCTCGCCATTTGGCATATATCGAATTCAACACAATATGTGCATGCAGCATACCTTTAGACAACTGTGTGTGTAGCCCTCAAACTCAGTGTTCAGAGAGTAGATTCAAACACTTGTGCATACAGACACACTCATAACAGCCAATGTATTTGCTGTTACCTATAGATGGATCCAGTTTCTTTGGTTTGTTCCATTTGAGAGTCACCGTGCGGCCGCTCACTCCAAGCACCACAGGGGGCCCATCAGGTGGCTCTGGCACCACATCTGTAGACAGAGAACAGCACAGCATGTCATAGCATGTCACAGCATGTCATAGTATGTCACAGCGTGTCATAGTGTGTCACAGCGTGTCATAGTGTGTCACAGCGTGTCATAGTGTTTCACAGCATGTCATAACGTGTCAGTGTGTCACAGTACATCAGAACCACTGCAGTGACACACCGTATATTCTCCCCCAGTGAGATACCCCAGACTCACTCCTTCACCTTCTCACATTTCAGGTACAGAGCTTGAAACAGCATTAAAAATGACAGATCTCGGTCACTAAAAAGCCCCAGTCGTTCGATTAGATTTCAGTCTGTCGCTAACTCATGGGGATTCCATATTTTATTTCAACATACTATCCAACATGGTTTTCATCCAGACCTGCTGTTGACAGGTGCTTTAGTCAGACACAATGAGACAGAGGTACAGCGGTCACTGAGATCTTACCAGATACGTATAAATGTGCATAGCAGGTAGCCTTGCCCACTTTGTTGGCTATGACGCTTTTATAGACGCCTGCGTGAGAATGGCTGATGGTACGAATGACCAAGCGATGGATGTCTTTATCTGTGTTGGAGATGAAAGAGTTAGAGTAATGAAATGGGGGAGAGCAGCAGTCTAACCCATCATTGGTGTCCACACTTCACATGCATGTGCACTGCTGTTCCCTGTCAGAAACACCCTTTCCCACCACCACCATCAGGGAAATGGACCAATTCCAACTCATGCCATAGAAATTCCCACGAACAATGTTTTCAAGACAATGAGCATGGATAATGAGACTCGCTTCAGAGTGATGAACAAGATTGTTGGTCACAATCAAGCAGATCCCAGTTGACCAGGGCAATGGACTTTCTCTCAGTATCTACTTTTTCATGTATCCAATATCTGACCTGGGTTACTCTGCCCCACTGTAAGGCACTGTTGATGATTGATGGCCTTGTCTGGCTATTCTATGGGACTTGAAAGGTACCCATGTCAAGGGGAGAAAGGGAGGATAGATGCTTCTCAATGGTTCCTGATAATCTTATAACCCAACACGATCATTGTGGTCACAATTTAAATAAAGATTTTTTTTAAACATCTACTCACATGGACAAAATGGAAAGGAGCTATTAGTATTGAACTATTTGCTTTTTAAACAATGCTATACTGTTGTGATTGTGAGATGTCTGTGTTTTAATAGAATCTGAAATGGGGTAGAAATTCCACCTGAGTCCATATTAATATAGTATTTCAGAGCCTGAACAATTTGGTAAATTGTTGAATTCAATTTTTATCTCTGAAGCCCGGTTTCTGTCGATCTTAAAAGAACTTACAGAAAATTGGGTCAGAATTAAACATTTGAGAATTTGACAAACACTTCGCACTGAAATGCTACGTTATTAGGTAAGTATAAACCTAGGTGAAATTTACCCCGGGAAGTGCTCGCTCAACAAGATTAGTAGATTTACTATTGATTGGAGCCTCCCCTCTTCTGCTATTATTGACAAAGCATGACTTCAACCATGCTGCTGTGTGTGTGTACGTACACTGGGTCATTCTCCGCTCTTCCGTGCTCTCCAACTTCAGCCCATTGTGATACCAGGTAATGGTGGGATAAGGAAGCCCCGTCACTTGACACTCCAGAACTGCGTCCTTCCCTTCAGTCACATCAATGTTGTGGATGGGTTTGATGAAGTCAGGCATTGTGAAGCGTTCCACCTCGTTCTCTGGGGTCTCAGGTTCCTCAGGGATAGAAGGCATCTTCTCCAGCTTGGCCCTGTGTGGGCAAAACACACAAGAGGGAATGATCAATGGCACTGAGTGCTTAGCTAGTGACTACCATCACTGTGATGGTATGGTATGTTCGGATGGTAGGAAGAAGGCTTTGATGTAGCTTAAGTGAGGAATCGCAGGAGGTGGAAGTATGTGAATGTGTATTCCTCCAAGTGGTCCAGTGCCTCAGGCAATGTTGTTACACCTACAACAATTTGCATTTATATAGTGCCCTTCACACGGGGTAGGGTTCCGGAGCACTTACAACCCCTCAAGATGTTAGCAGCTTGTAGTAGATTCACGACTCTGAGCTAGGTAGTCCATAACATAACAGAAACAGAAGGGCTGTTTATTAACAGTGCAATCTAGCGGAAAGCTCATTCACATTATTTTTACATTTGAGTTAAGGCTCCTGATTGTTTATTCTGATTTTATGCAGAATTTATGTAAGGCCAAATTTCTCACCAACAGCATAGCTTATAGGCCTGACAGTCTGGAATCTGCTTTTTAAAGTGAAAGACAAATATTTAAGACAACCACTGCTGCATTGTTAATCACTGTCCCCTGGATCATGTGTTTGGAAAGTGAACTTTCACTTGAATGGCCAAACACTGAAGAGAGTTTGATGCATTTGTTGTTTGGATGTGTGCCCTAGAAGCGAATGTTGAACGTTGTTTCAGTTAAACACAGACTGATTGCAACCGAGCAGAGGACTCGAACTGTGGGACCCATTAGTTCCCCTTGAGAACCAGCCTGAGACTGTGGTATTCCCACACTTACAGGACCCAATAGTTACCAAGAGGTTAGAACCTGTGTGGCCCACTAACAATAATCATCCTCACATTTGATACGGCACCATTCACATCAAGGGGAGGTTTCAGAGCGCTTCACAGGATGTAAAGTGTTGTGACTGTATTTGCATGAGAACATGCCTGAGCCCTCTGCTAGCTATGCTAACGCCACTATGAGCTCAGTGCTGTGCCTGAATGAGGAGTTGTGTCACCGTTGCCCTTACATGGGTGAGGAGACCACAGCTCGCGGTTCCTCCACGTAAAGCTCTGCTGAACAGAAGGCATCACCATGTGGATTCTGAGCAATGGCAGAATATTCTCCTTCATTCTCACTGACGGCATGAGTGATGATTAGCGAGTGGAGCCCCTGGTCCTTCACGATGCGGACATTGTCACTCTCCACAACCTTTTCTCCTGTCAAACAGATCTCATGTTAGTCAAACCATCCCAGCTCAGAAACAGCTAGAGAACATTCCCCTCATTGCCTCCATTACTTTCCTCCCACTTTTCATACCCACACATTCAGGTGTCAGGAATCTGGAAATCTTCATTTTTAATGTATTTGGTGCTGGCCTCTTGTAGCATTAGCCCCATCACAGAGAGAGGCCATCATCACACCTTCTGTCTGCAATTGGGTTTATACCCAAATCCCAGAGTATCTGACCCTGTGCACCATCCAGTCCCACACGGTTATATTATTTATTTGGGAGAACTCATTACCAAAATGCATCCACATGAGACTTGGTGGTGGCGTGCCACTGACTTTGACATCCAGACGAGCTGTCCTCCCCTCAATCACGACAACATCTTCCAGCTTCCTGGTGAAGAGCGGCTGAATTGAGGGCGCTACCGATAGCTGGGCATTGCAAGTCTTCTCATCTGAAAGAGAGACTCTGGCATTTACAGGAATCCAACTCTTAATCCTGGGTTGCAGTTGGATTCCCTCTCCCTCTCCACAGACATGATTAGTCAGTCATCATGACTCGCACTAACTGGGCTTCGACGGTGGGTAAAATCAGTCCTCGGCAGGTGTGGTGCTTTCACACACCAAATCGCAGTTTTAAATAATATTTGTGCCTACTGGGGAGGGTCATGAAATATCACCTGTCCAAAGTCAAGCTGGATTCCACAACAGTCAACCAAAGTCAGAAAGCACTTAGTCTGCTCATCACACAAACAGACGAGATACAATATTGATGATTTGTCCAGAAATTAGTGAGTTAGATTTACAGTTTCATAATATGAGGAAAATGCCATGACAGATGGGCTTTATCACCCTAATATTTAGGAGATTGTTAAGATGACTTGATTCCCCTCTTAATATATTTTGCCGAGTCCTTAGATACATAGCAACAGGACCCTTCAACCCTTCAAGCCTATTCTGCCAGTTTATTAGATTAAGCCAGATCCTTTAATCCATTTTCCTGCATTTTCCACATCCTTGTTTTTGTGGCTTACCTTTGGCAGTGCTCACTTTGCACGTATATATCCCGCTGTCGTCTTCGTGCACCGAGTTTAGAAGAAGTTTACACTTTTTCCCATCAAAGTGCATCTTGCAGTTAAGCAGTGCAGGCTGCACCAACTTTCCTTTGGTCAACCAGTCCACATCAATGTCTAGCGGACCTTGTATGAGACACTCGAAGCAGGCTGACTCCCCAGCATTAACCACATTGTCTCGTGCAGGAGCTAAAATGGTCAAAGTCTGGTCTTCACGCCGGGCTGCAATGTAATATGAATAAACAAGAAAAAATGGATCTGGTAAGGAAATGATTAATGTACATGTCCCAAAAAAATTATCAATGGGAAACCAAAAGGAAATGGTAGATGTGAGCAGTAACAGGAAGCTGGAAGCATGGATTGACAGTACAGGTTCCTGAAAAGCACACACAGTCTGAGTATGTGTCAAAGTGTTTTCCAGAGGTAGTTTCTTATAAATCTCTTAGATCCCTTAAACAACTTTTAAGAGAGAAGTAGATAATTGTTTGGAGTCCCTTCCTAAATTTAATAATCCTAATTCATTTTAGTTCCTTTGTGAAACCCATTGTAGTTTCCTGTCCCACTGCTTGTACTGCTAATCTGTTACACTCACCAATCTAAATTTTATTTGCAATTCTTTTTTGATATTTTCGTTTTGAGTATATATGTTCTTGAATTTTGTATACAACAGAAAGCCTATCTGATTCAAACTTCCCAAACCATTCATAATCACTTCTATCAAATTTCTCCTCACTGTCTGTTCCAGGATAGCTAACCTAAAAAATATAGTTTCTCCACACATAACTTCTCATCATTCACAGTAATTTACATTTATATCTAGCATACTGCTCAGACCAGTAACCCTAAACATAGATTCATAATTAACCTGATTAATAATTAGCTAAAATAATATGATAAACCAATCAGAGATAAACTAATAATGAATAGAAAAAAGAGACAAACTAATAAGAGGATAACTTGATAAACAGATAAATAAAAAATATATAGTCAAATAAAGTAATAAATTGATAACTATGGATAACTAGATAAATTGATGAATAAATAACTGATAAATAGAAACATTGAGATAAACAGATTATGCAATAAACAGTAAACATTTATTTTAATAAATAGAAAGTAAAGATAAACAGATTAACAAAGGTATAACCTAGGATGAACTGATAAAGAGAATCTGATAAATAAACTGATAAAGAAATTAACGTTAACAGAAAATAGAGACAAATTGTTGGATAATCTGATGACTCGATAAACTGATAAACTATAGAGCTTGATAGAGACAAACTGATAAGAGAAATAAACTAATATGAAGAAAAATATAACAATAATTAAATGAAGAAAACCTAATAAGTTAATTTAGTAAATAGAAATAAACCAATGAATAACGAGATAAGCAAATAATCTGATAAATAATTAAATATTCAGGTAAGTATGATTAACATGATAACAAAATAAACCGCTAAATAAATAAGCTGTTAAGCACTCTGAGACGCTACCCCTTGTGAAGGATTCTATATATAAATACAAGTTATGATTGTTAACTTCACAGATAACCTGATAAAGAGATAAACCAATAAACAGACAAAAATAAACTGCTAAATAAAAAAGAATAACTAATACATATCCTGATGAATAAATTAATTGACAAATAGATATTCTTGCACACACTTATATCTGACATTCTGTAACCGACTCACACTCCTGCACACACTTATATCGGACACTATGAGTCTAGTGGCTCATTTACACATTGAAATCAAGAAACTGAAATCTCCCAAACTGCTCATGCTGTGTCTCCAGGTGCCTTTAGCAGTCGGAGTAAAGGAGTCAGTGATTACTGCACAAGCAGATACCAACGTATGTATTATTACACTGACAAGATTAGTTTGGTACTGCAAAGTGCACTGACCACTGGATACTTGGGATGGATGGAGATAAGAGAAGCAACAAGACAGAACTGAGACACAGAGTGATGGAATTGAAAGCTGGATGATCAACTGCAATTTTAGTGCATTTAGTAAACAATAATCACACCCATTTTACTGTTTTTTGTTTGTGGTTCAAACTATTTTATTGAATATGCTAAAAATTATTTTACAAATAGTTACTGTTTCTTCACAGAATAAAACAAGTGATTGAGCAAAACACAGACAGGTACAGGTACAGCTTGATAAACACAGCAGCACCCCCAGAATGGGCATGTGCCCCAATCAATATCACTTAGGGTCCTTCCAACAGAATACTTCAACAAGATAGAAAGTGATTGGAAGCAATCACCTAAACCTGTGTTTTCTAAAGATAGATTATTTGCTGAGGTAGTCAGCCTCCAACAGAAAGTGCTGGGAATGCGGATCAGGCCATGAGCATCTGCTAAACAGTTTGGTTTGCAAGTCAGACTGCAATGCTAACTCTCTCTCAGAATATTTTTTAATGTATTTCCAGCATTCCAATTTTTCTTTTTAATCTCATCAGTTAAGGAGTTTCTTTAGAAATGAAGATTAACGTTAAAAAATAAATGCTAGGAATTAATGTTTCTCAACATCAGCCTTATATTACGGAATTTGTGTTTCTCAAAATGTTGTTTCATATCAAAGAGAGGCTCCTCTGGAAAATAGTTACAAAGAATTCAGATTCATTAAAAACATTTGGAAATCTTTTCCCCTTCAGGGCTCTTGTTCTGTGGATAAGTATCCTATGATTGCTGATGTTTATCCCTATTTGAGTATGTCTGTAAATGTACAGTATATGTGTTCAAATGAGCATGCAAGATAGGCTATATGTATGTGTTTGTGATAGTGTGAGTCACTATGTTTGATATGTGAGTGTCACAGTGGGTGTGAAAAAGTGGGTGTGTAAATGTCCATGTACAGCAGTATAGGGCCAATATGAGTGTGCTTCAGAATGAATGTTTGTGAGTATCTGTTTCACAGCAGCTCAAGTGTGTAAGGTGATGAGTCTCGGTGCAGTTGGAATCGTGCAGCATGTTAGGAGCAGCATCACTGTAAGGCTGTCAGATTGTGCAGCAATTGGTAAACAAGCACGTTTCCTCTTCCGACCAGACTCTGTAAATCTTACTATATATAGTTTTATTCAGACATCAGATAGCGTTGATGACTGCTGTCAATCTTTTCTCATTACAATGGGAAGTAAAGAAAAGGATATCCTTCCCACTTCTAGTTCCTGTCTCTTGTCAAAGGAATCGTGTTCTTATGTGTAGCCAGAATGATGGTTTGGTTTTATTCTTAATGAAGCACAACTGAGAGTCGGCTCAATATTCACCAATCAATGGACACTCTAACACAACGCACTTAGGGAAATGTTCAGCCACCTCAGCTATAAAACTGGTCACGTCAGAAAGGCAAGTTGAACAGACACTGGAGGGTTTTGAGCTGTGGGTCCTTATTAGCACATGATTTGGACATTGTTTTTACCAATTCTCAAGGTTTTTAATTAAACATTTTTATGGATGCATGATTGTTTGTAGCCTCATAGGCTGGGCATTAATATACACTGGAAGATGACATTACAATGACACATTGCTCACATACTGGCTGGCACACATGCTCTAAACAACACTCTGGGGCATTGATTAACTTTGTGTTTGTGCATCAACACAGTAGATTATAGTTTCTAATTATCAGAGAGACTTAAAACACAAGGAAAACTAACACAAGTACCCAGAGAATCTAATTGAAGTCAAATGGTGACTGCATCTGAGGTCCTGCTGTGAGTCTGAGATACGGAAGGCAATAGACCAATATAGATAGTGGACCATGTAGTTACACAAACAGTCTTCAACTGTGACAGACATTAAACATTACATTATGATGGCATTTTGAGGACAATATCCTTCCACATGACATAGACAGTGAAAGTTATTGGATAATCAGGCAATCTGTATTTCCTGAAGACTATTCCCCTCTTTCCAGTGAATTAGGACGCTCAGATACCGAATCGGGTAACATGGCTCTGTCAGGGAAGTCTTCACATCCAATCCTGGAGGCTTGGGGAAGACAGATTCACTCTTGGTATTTTTAAATCAAGACATTTTAATATTGTGTTCATGTGATTGTGTAACACTCCAGAGACAAGGGCTCCAACTCTGGGCTAAACAGGCAGAGATTTTGACATCTGTCCTCAGAGGCCAAACTGATTTGTTGCAGAACAACAAACACTAAAGCATGGATGGTTAGGTTTGAACTGGTGGACTGTGGACACTCACCCAATTTCAATGTTTCCCAAAATACAAGCACAGGTTAATGGCCCATTATTATCCAGAGCACAAGTCAGAAATCTCTCCGAACTAACTAAAATATTAGTCATATTACAACATTCCAGGTCCATAATTAATTCCAACATCTTCCCAGAGTTCCATGTGTGACAAGTAGTCCTTCGACTCGCTCAAGATCACTTAGCTACCAAATGCAACAACAACAAAATTGCATTACATTTTGTATGTGGGTTTCACGTCGGGAGTAAGTCACAAGGCGCTGGACAATCAGTGTTTCGGACCCGAGCTGGGGGTCAGGATCAGGAAGGGTGGCGGGCAGGGGGAAGGAGGGTGAACAAAGGCATGGTCGAAGAGGAGGGTCTTGAGACAGGTCTTGAAGGAGGCAAGGGATGGGGCCAGGCGGCAGAATGGAGTTCCAGAGGGTGGGGGCAGAGTGGCTGAAGGCTTGCCCGTTAATGGTGCTCAGTCAGTGCAGTCAGAAGATTGGTCAACTAGCTTGCTACAAACAAAGTTTATTTCTCATTCCTTCCACAAAGCACCAGCTGGGTATCACAGCCGAAACATTAAAACACAAGAGAGATTCAATAACTACAAAATCTTGCACTTTTATAGCGCTTTTCATGTAGAAAAATTATTTATAGTGCTCCTATGGGTTCACAGAAGGAGGAAATGACCAAAGCTGCAGTCAATGCGATAGGTTTGTAGAAGAGTTTTGAAAACAGAGAGGGAAAAGAGTCACAGAGAGCAGGGGCAACATGGCTGGAAGCTTCCTGTGGAGAGGAGGATGTGAAGCACCCCAGAGTTAGAAGAGCGGAGGGAGTAGATTGGTGAGTAGGACTGCAGTAGGTCACAGAAGTGGGGTGGGCAAGGGCAGTTGAAAATTAAAAGGAGAATCTTGAAGTCAATCTGCTGCAGAGTAGGGGAGCATGGTATTCTGGAACTTGTGGAGGGTGGAGATAGGGAGTTCAAATAGTGTCCTGGGTTCTTTAATGTCCAACTGAACAGGCAGTTTAACATCTCATTTGAAGGACAGCATGTCCAACAATACCCCACTCCCACAAAACTGCGCAGCAGTGTCAGCCCAGATCGTGAGCTCAATGTTTTCAATGCCGGACTTGAACCTACAACCTTCTGACCAAGAACGAGAGTATCATTTGTAAATCGTGAACGGCAAGTCACCTAACACCTGCAGGATTCTTTTAACTCGCTTCTTGAAAAGATCTATCCAATTCATGGAATACATGTACCTAACAGCAGAAGATACAGAACTCCAGAGTGTAGAGCTAATATATATGTATATCACAGAGCATAATCAACACATTGCCATGTTTCAACACATGAAATACTGCACTGAATGATCATGTAGAGCTCACACACAGCTGTTTCACAGGACACAAGTAGAAGTGAGGATCTGGCAATTTAATACAACATTATGGACATCCTGCTGAGGTTCCACTGAGTGACAGACTACATTACTGTTTGCAGGAAGCATTGGGTATAGAGAGAATCTGAGAGACTGCTGAAAATAACTCTACAGGGATAGGGTATGGATGGGGGAGGGGGTGGTGGAGGGAGATGGCGGGGGTGGGGGGGTAAATGGAGGGAGGCTCTTTTCTTTAAATGTAAAAGAGAGACGTGACGTACGTAACTCGTACCAAATTCAACAACCATGAGAGAAGACAAGAGTAAATGGTAATGTCATATGATCAGGAGGAAACACAGGAAATGCAAGGATTATTATAAATTATTATTACAAACCTCCTTTTACAGCTATTTAAATGAAATTATAGAATGTGTACAGCCACAGAAGGAAATATTCATCTCACTGTAGTGTATTTGTGTTGGTGCTCATTCCTCCACTAGAGCTCTCTACCCTAATCCCATTCCCTGCTCTCCCCGTCTTGTCTGTGCTGGTGCTCACTCCCCCACTGGAGCTCCCTACTCTAATCCTATTTATACATTTATAAAAATGTACAGTCAATTCACTTTACAGTATATTCTGTGAAGCACTTTGAGACGTCTTGAAGACGTGATAAGGCGCTATATCAAATGCAAGTATTATTTATTTATTGTTATTCCCTACTCGCTCCCCATCAACGTCTACATTGGTCCTACCTCTCTACTGGAGCTCTCTATTCCAATCCTAGCTCATTTCATACAGAGTGTGCTCTCTTCCAGATGACTGTACATGGGGTACACTATGTGCACATGCTCTGCCATCTCACTAATGTGGAATCCACAGTCCTCTAGGATTCCATACATGAAGCCTGCACTTCATCAGCTCACGATACACTGAGTCCATACTCTCACAGCAAACCAGATGTGGAATCCCATCTGTCTATATATGGAGTGCAGTCTCCCAGCTAACTATGCAGGGGCTGGGTGGAATTCTTTCTCAGCTCACTAAAGATGGGGTCCATAATCTCCCAAATCATTAAACAGTCTCCCAGCTCATATCGATGGAAACCAGCCTCCCACCTGTTTATACGTGGAATCCACTACCTCCCAGCCCTCTATAAGCAGAATCATACTCTCCAGTTCACCATACATGGGGTCTCCCTACAGTGTCTCCCAGCACACTAATACAGAGGTCTGTACTCTCCCCAGCTCACTACTGTGACTAACTTGAGTTCAATATGAAAGCTCACCTCTCCTTTCAAACTATTCGCTCATTGGCATCTCTTCAATAGATTAAACTTCAAACTATGTCTGAATGATAATCTAATGAAAACAAACCCTATTTAATGCTGGGCTTGATGCCCAGCGCACACCCCTCTCCCCAGGGAGAGGCTGACTGTGAAATCAATGCAGACAACATGGGCTCCGTTATAGAGTGAACACTGAGAATGGCAGCCAGTCTCCAGATTAACCAGGATACACATTGCTACATGACTCCGCTGATTGGAGTCAATTAGACAAGACTCAGACACAAGACAGTCAAATAGTACTGCATGGTGTTTGTTACTAAGCAAAGTCAGCGATGGGGGTCCATATGACCTCAGTTCCCCTGTGTGCAGATAGAAACTCTGTCAGCCACTGCAGTACAGAGTTAGTTAGCACAAAAACACAGCAACAACAAAACAGAACAGGACCAAGGAACAGCATGTCTCCATCTGTGTCTTAGCGTCACTGTAATTAATGAGGACACCTGTGTGACCAGCCTTTCTCACCATGAATAATGCATCATCACATGCTGCAGGGAGAGAGAGGGACATCACTCTAGTGAAAAATTATCCACAACCATACAGTTCCAGAAAAAGGCCAGCAATAGAAACCTTCTGTAAAGGTATCTTAAAATGTTGAAGATTGGCCCCTTTGACACATGCTATCTCTGGTACTGCAGTCATTCTGTGGAGTTGAAAAGTGCCCTATGAGTGTAGTGTAGTGTGCACCAAACCTGACCACTATCACGTCAGATGAACGTATACAGCAATGTGACTTAGAACTTTAAATAGTTCCACAGATTATTCCAGATAGGTACAACCTCTTCAGATAATTGACTGGCCAATCACCTCCATCAAACTTTCTGATTGTGTCTCTCTTTCAGCTCTATCTCTGTCCCTCTGTTCTTTTCACTTAGATTCTCAGTCCCTCTTTTATCATAATCTTGGTGTTTTTGTGAGAGAAACTTCTCTGTATGCATATCTCTTGGGTTGTGATTCTGCTGTCTTGGTATCTCTCCCTCAGTCTCTCATCAGTGTATGTGTGATTCTCTGTCTTTCTGTGTCCATGTATGACTCTACCATTCCATATCTGTGAGCTTCTCTCCTTTTGATCATTGTTTGCAAATGTGTCTTTGTGTCAGTCAATTGTCCTCTGTGTGTGTCTCTCTCTTTCTCTCCTGTATGTGTGTGCTTTCTCTGTCATTATCAATGTGTATCTCTTTCAGTCCATATCTAGTCACACGTACACCTGCCACTGACTGGTCAGTGATTTAGACATGATAGGTTACAGTTGTGAGCTCACATAATGGTTCAGACAAATCCCAAGAGGAATTAATCTCATGCGAGAAACACACTGACTTTCTGTTTTCCAAATATATAGATATTTTTATAGCCACAGAGAGACATGCACACTATCTGTGCAACTCATTGATCAGTACCTGACCCCTGAAATGTCAGGATCAGGGGAGCTCACATGCTTACCTTTGACCTCAAGCTTGCCATCACACTGCTTTGTGCCATACTCGTTGATTGCTTTGCAAGAGTACATTCCAGAGTCGGACCTCTGCACAGCAACAATGTTCAGATGGAATTTCCCCTTCTCCCCTTCCAGGACATAATGCCGGTTGTCATTCTTCACTGGCTCACGGTTCCTCAGCCTGTGAAATGTTCAAACCTGGAGTTACACACATCCCCTCAAAGAGTCACACTTGCTTTTCCACCCTCTAACAGGGTTTCTAACTGTGAGATTCCCTCAGAAACAGATGTCCGCAGTGGTAAGACTCCTTCCGTAACTGTCGTCCTGATGCTGAAACTCTTACAGTAATAGGGGTTCTTGTGGCAAACTTCCCTCTGTGTGTGCACGTGATATGTGTGCATGTGTACACATGGGAATATATATACAAGTTGGAAGAGGATCAATATACATAGTTCGGGTTATGTTGGGCCAAGCTCTCTTGCAGCTGGAGAGCCTGTCTGCCCTTACATGTGAAATCAACAGGATCCTCCATCAGATGTAGATATTCTTCATCTGATGTGATGGGGCCGAGGAGCTGGGTGTAGAGTTAGATGTAGATCTCGGTGGGAACTGTCAGCAATTTGCACTCAGGTAATAAATGAAATGTATAAAAGCGACAGATGTGGAGCTTCCCTCATACTCACCAGTAAATGATAGGCTTGGGCTCTCCCTGTACACTGACAGTCAGGCTCACATTCTGACCTTCCACAGCAACCAAGTCACTCAGAGATATCTGGATAAAACAAATCACATTTACTCCAATAATCTCACTGTAGTCAGGAAGGGATGATAATTCACACAAGTGAACAGCAGACTCCTACTGATATTTCATTTCTAGCAGAATTCATGTTGTTTAACAGAATGTTCAATACAGAAAGCATGTCCGTCTCCCCAGCCCCATCAGTGGTCAAGGACCCAGCTGTTATACCCTCATGCTTTGGAACTCTCTGAAAATCTGTCTCTGCTTTGCGCCTTCTCTCAGACGTCAAAACTCTTTTAATATGCATCTCTAAGACTGTGCCTTTAGTCAACACCTTCAGCCTCGCTGGGCAAGTTTCCATACTCCACACGCCTCTGTTTACCTAGCAGTAAGTAGGAACTTGGATGTTAGTCGATTGGTGGATCGCTTTTCTGGGGATAATAATCCCTCAAAAAAAAATTTGATCACTCAATCCACGGTTGTTCGTGGGACACTGCTGTGCGCAATTGGCTGCCATGTTTTGCCCACAAATATACAGTCAACTCACTTTACAGTGTATTCTGTGAAGCACTTTGAGACGTCTTGAAGACTTGAAAAGTGCTATATCAAATGCAAGGATTATTATTATTTTATTATGATAACTGGCAATCTGACAGTCAGGTGCAGGTAATTGAGTATTAATAATAAATAATATTTGCATTTAACATATTATAAAAGTGTTAAAACCGAGGCAGAATGATGTGAAAAGAACAAATGGAGTGAGAGAGAAATTAAATACTTGTGTAGAAAGATCAGCTGTAGATAGGGTACAAGAAACAATCACACACTTAACATTAATACTTGTGAATAACTTTTGATATTTCAACAAAATAAGATGCCATGAATGCAAGTTCTTTCTTTCCGTACCTCAAAGATAGGCGGTGCTTTGAAGTGTGTTTCGATGAGACCTTGTGATGTGAGGGCCTCTAGTGGGGACAAGATCTCTGGCACTTTCAGAGCTTGTCTGCCCTTATACGTAAAATCAATAGGATCCTCCACGGGACTTAGATATTCCTCATCTGATGTGATGGGGCTGTAGAGCTCGGTGGGAACTGTCAATAATTTCCTGTCAGCACCAGAATCTGTGCATTCACAAAAACAACATACATTCAGTTCCCATCTCTGTGCTGAGCAGAAAATTACTACAGATAAAATTGAAAAATGTCTCCTAGTACCATTCATTCACATTGTAGCCCTCCCACAAGTCGTTGCCCAGTAACTTATGCTCTCGAGTCCCAGCTTCCCTCTCCTCAGTCACTCTCCTTGTTCAGTTTTCTCCAGTTACTCTCACACTGACCAATCACCATGGAATTGTAGCGGTAAATCCTGGGAATGGTGGTGGGGGGTGGGGGGGTACTGGTTGGGATGTGCAGAGTCTTAGTGGAGCAAATCATGAATTCTCCATTCTAAACAAATTGCTCGCCAGGCTTCCCAAATCTTCCCTGAACAAGCTGCAGATCCTTAGAACTCCGCACTCATGTCCTCTCCTGCACTCGGCTCCATGAGCCAATCACCCCTATGCTCGCCTGGCTCCACTGGTTCTCCATACCCCATAGGACTGAGTTCAAGATCCTCATTCTTACTTTTAACTTTCTTGCCCACCCAACCTCTGAAACTTTCTTAAATCCTCGCAAACTGCCGGTCTCTCTACTGGCCTGCTTCACGTCCCCTGCCCATCCCACTACAGGCAGCCTTTCTGACTCCACTCTCTGGAACTCCATCCTGGAATCTCTTCACCTCGCCTCCTTCAAGGTCCATCTCAAGACATTCCTCTTTGACTGCACATTTGATTATCTTTCCCCTCACTCCCACTTGGCCCCAGCACTTTCGAATCCAACCCCCAGCTCAGGTGCAAAATCTTAAATGTCCAGTGTCTTGGGACATCCTCTCAATGTGAAAGGCATTATATAAATGCATTTTGTTGTTGTTTTGTTGAAAAATGGGGCACCAAAAACTGCATTCATTATGGTAACTGAGGTCTAACCAGTGATTTCTACTGAATTAGCACACCTCTTTCACCTACAAGATACAGTCAGTGTATTTTACAATAAAATCAGGTGAAACACTTCAAGTCATGAAAGATCAACATTGTTTACAAACTTCCAGTCTAAAAAAAATCTACTTAATTCTGTTAATTGGAACAAACATGTCTTGTAATGGAGGCATATTGTGGCATTCATATCAAATGTACATGGGTCAGTGAGATATTGGCAGGAATGTAAAACCAAGCAAGTTCTACTGTAGTAGAACAGTAGCCAGTCTCCATCTAGTGGAGAGATTGATTTATTCTCAATGAAGTATCCAAATCCCATCTCTGAGTCACGTCATGAGATTCAGGAATATAGAGATTCAGATGATATTCAGGAATATAGCTCTGATTTTTAGTAAACCTCAAGCATCTTCCAGCTAATCTCAAAGTTAACTATTCCTAGTCTATCAGGAAAGAGGATTAGAAACAAAGAAATCTATTGTGCAGGAGGCCATTTTCCTCATCAAGTCAGCACTGGCTAATAGAGCAAGGTGATGGCTTCAGTCCCACCACCCACTTTATCCCCTACCCCTTCAAGCCTCTCTCTCTCTCTCTCTCTCATATAGCTGTCTGTGGCCCTCTTGAAAGCTACAATGGATACCGTGTCCACCACCCTACTCAGCAGGACTATCCACATACCTATTCTCTAAAAAGTTCTCCTAACTTCTCCTTTTGCTATTTTTGTGCCGATCATTACTATGTACCCTAATCACTGACTCCCCTATCAGTGGAAATAACCTCTCCCTTTTTACCCTAACAAAACCCCTCATGGCTTGGAGAGTAAGAAGAGTAAGGGTTTTACTGCTATAATCACTCTGAATACATTACTGGAACTGGATTCTTCTGTGAAAGAAAGAATAGAAATCAGAAAGAGAGAAGGAGCTTGCCCCGTTCCTGCCCCACTTACAAAGCCAGTGTGAACACTCAACACCAAGGCCAGTCCACGCCGTTCCTCCATACAGCAGTACGTTGCACTCTTCAGAAACAGAAAGTTCTGCTTTAAAAAGCAAACCACAGCTTCCAGTGTCAGGCGATCTAACTCAACAATATGCTCCTGCCTCTGACAACTGATATCCAAATGCAGAGTGTTGTACAACCTCTCCCGGAAAAATTCTCAGAAGACAGGGTCCAGCGGGAGTTGGGTGAGGTAGGCCCATATTGAGGAGGGTCTTCATACTTGGGATTAACAGTCCTGACTGAGCAGAGAAGGCAGTCTGTGGGAGCAGTAAACAGTAGCCAGCCCACGTGTCTCCAGAGCAATGCAAGGTATGTGCTGCTCTTTATTTAGCAGTAACATCACCCAGGCCATGTCGTTGTGTAACCCAGCCAAGGAGCAAAGAGTGGGTAGTGATCAAAGAGAGATGTCACAAAAGGGACAGCACGACTGACAGATAAATGCTGCAATCTCTTGACTACTGCAGACTTGCTGTCTCCGTACCTAGGTGGCTAGAGACATGCTGCAATTCATGCTCATATTGTCCATAGTCTGCAAAGAGACAAGGGGGAAGGGGAGGCGAAGGGATTCTGAGAAAGAATCCCAGAGCGTGGGGCACAAAGGCTGAAGGTCTGACCGCCGATGGTGGCAGGGCAGGCAGGGCAGGTGGCATGGATCAAGCTAGTGCCTGCTGTGTGTAGGGAGCGGGCAGATAGGTAAGGTTTTAAGAGGTTACATAGGTAAGGAGTGCTCTAAAAGTGAGGATGAGAATCTTAAATTTGATCCTCTGTGGGATGGGGAGCCAGTAAAATCAGGTGAGGATGGGGGTGATTGGCTCACGCATGCAAGGAAATTTATGAACAGAAATAGGCCCATTCGTGATTATGATCTCGGCCTCTTGGCACACCCTCAGTTGCTGCTTTCTTCAAAAGCATGTCTGTTATTTCTGGAGCTGATTTACACTGTCCATTTCTCTGGTAATTTATGCTGCTTTTATATTGCAGTTTGAAATGCGGTATTGAGTTGGTGACAATGCCGCGTTTCAAGCAACAGCAGCTTTTACATTGCCTCCGAATCTCTGGATATCGCAATACTTGTGCTGCTCTTTAATTAGCTGAGACATCATCCAGGCAGTGTCATACCTTAAGCTGGCCAAGGAGCAGAGGATGTGGCAGCCAATCATAGTGGGATTTCACAAGTACAGGCAGTCTGACCAAAGATAACTAGCATGTGTACAGTGCCAGGTTAGCATCTTCAGAGCACAACTCCAAAAGACGACATCAGCCCCACAACTCTGTAAAAGCGTTAGCGATGGAGACACAGAGACTTGTCTCAAGAACCCATCTCTGTGGCACTGACATGTTTTATTGAATTTGGGTCTTCTCTACCCGGGAACTACGAGATCTGAGTAGGCAAAGAGGATCAAGCTCAAAGTAGGGTTTTCCAAATTTGGTGTATCAATTTTTCATCAAACGTTTGGTTCAGGGGCTGGCGTGCCTTAGGAAGCAAGTTTGTAATATTTGCTTGACTAAAAAACTTTGCTTGACTTCCCTGCTTACATATATGTTCCTTACGTGTAACACGTGTCCCTAGTGTTTACTACATTTGTCTTAATTAACAATTTACATAGAACAACCTTGTTAATCCCCTTCCTCTGCTGCATAACTTCTGCACTATCCTCCCTCTTCCTGCCTCACTCCCACACCCTATGTATAAATCCTAGAGTCCCATTTGTTTTTATCAGTGATTTATTAACAATTCTTTAAACTGCTTTAACTCCTATTCATTATGAAAAGGGAATCCTGGCCCATTATTTCCACCCCACCCTACCCTTCCCTCCTCCCATCCCACCCCTTCCTCTCCCTTCCCACCCCACCCTCCCATCTCAGACAATCCTGCCCCTCCCTCTACCCTCCCAGACCACCCTGTCCCTCCCTCTCCCCGTCCCAGACCACCCTCCCTCTCCCCGCCCAGACAACCCTGCCTCTCCCCTCCCAGACCACCCTGCCCTAAGACTCTCTCTCTTAAACCTTCCTTGACCCATTTCTTGTTCATCTCCACTCCTCATGGATCAGGTTTCAGCTGCATGGGATTAAAGGAGTGGCAGAAGTTGCAAAGATGGAAGAAAGTGACTTGATTAGAGCCCGGATAAACGGTTTGAAGGTGTGTTGAGGGACAAACAAAATGACAAGGATTTCCACAGTGTCCATGAGTAGCAGTCAGCAATTGGAGTGTTGGATATGGTCAATGTCTGATGTTATAATAGTAATAATAATCTTTACATTTTTACATTTGATATAGCGCCTTATCACGTTTTCCAGACATAATAATAAGAGATTTATTATTATTATTATTTAGTGAAGGCTCTGGCACAGATAGGAAAGTGCAGACCTGGGAACATGTACCAGGGAGGACAAAGGGCAGAGGAGCAAAGAAGTGGCCAACAATGTCAAAAGCGGTGGAGATATTGAAGTCTAGGAGATACAGGAAGCACTATTCACACACAAAGAGGATATCCTTAGTGCCTTTTAGGGAGTGGTGGGAGAGTAAGAGGGAAGTCAAGAGACAACAACAGACAACAATGTACCTGCTCGGATTTGGACAGAAGCGGAACAGCTAGACAAGCCGACCTCATTGGCAGCACTGACAGAATATAGACCGCCATCCAGTACACTCGCTGATTGGATGAGCAGTGTGTGCCTTTCACCCTCTGCTTTAATCAGATACGTTTGGCCCAATCCGAGAATTTCACCATCTTTTTTCCAAATAACTGTGAGAGAAATAAAAACACAATTTAGTAACAACTTTCTATTTCCAATTCTCTCCCTTTCTCCTCTCCTGAAAGCTTTGACTCGAGCTGGGTACAGAGCCACAAGTGGCCACGCTCTGGGATCTTGCTCAAGTTACCATTGTCCTTGTGTTGTCCCAGACAGTGAGTGTTTTCAAGATGTTTGCTCATAGAGGGCATCGTAGCCAAGCCCAATGCTGTCCTCATTTGATGACCACACTTATACCTTTCAACAAGGTTTCACTGGATAGCAAACAGAAGATGATTTTCCTCTCCTCACTAAGGTTAATTGAGGTTAATTGTAGCTCCAACTGCTACACCAGATACACAAAAGATACCAGTTAGCTCAGCATGGACTGAGAATACAGTGAAGATTTTTTTTGGTCAGCTGGGTGTTTTTGACACTTGAAACCCATCACCATGCTTAAGAATATGTATAATCAGACAGAGGTCAACAAATGTATGCATGCAGGTTAGCAAAAGCTGAGGCTTGAAGACCCCAAAGTGTACAATAGGATATTGTTGAAGTTTAATCAGTTAAAATCACAGAGTTTGCCATTGAAAGCATTGTCTGGCAAGCTTCTGCTGCTTGTCCTATGACCAGTACGTAGATTATACGTACTGGTCATAGGACGAAGATTATAATATATAGGACGAAGATTATAATATATAAGGTTATAAGGAACTTTCTTTTCATTTTCCTACCTTCAGGCATGGGAGTTCCTGTAACAATACATTTCAGCAGCACTTCAGCTCCAGCGGTCACCATTGTGTCTGTGATGGGAATTTCAAAGACTGGAGGCTCCAATGGCTCCTCACCGGCTGACACATAGGAATCATCTGAGGAATCCACTGGAAAACAAAGGTCGGTTTCTTTCTCCTTAGGGGTCTTTATAAACTGGAATACATCAGGTCTCCGTCTGCTCTACAATGCCTTAGTAAAGTTGGACTGAAATTTTAATTGCAGGCATGTGCACAAGATTAACAGATACACAATTTTACTGACATATATCTGTAAACTGACAGCACAAGGTGGAGAAATCCAATTCACATAAATGCAGAATTACAGAGACACACACGCCAACACACAGAAACATGATATCCACAATAGGACCTGTCCCAAGTTGTGGAAATTTGGATTATCTACTCTATAGACACCAGAAAGATGCCAGTTTATTCTTTGACCCAGTCTCTCTGGTACCTCCTTACCTGTTTCTGGTGAAGTTGGACAAAGCTGTTTTGATTTCCCTCGGGAGATTTTCCGGGCAGATTTTCCCTCTGTTGTTCTTAAAGCCTTTCCTTCCATTTCTACATCTTTTCTTTCACCAATTGTGATCCTTGGGATGATGGGTCTGGGTGTGGCACTTGGATTGGCAGGACAGAGTGGGGCAATGTCAAGCCTTGGAACACTGTCTTCCTGGTCCAAATTCAACCTGGTTTTCTCCAATGATTCTCGCAACTGTTTACTTGAAGCAGGAAGCTGCGATAGATTCTGAGCTGATCCCCTATGTTTGAAGTGTGCAAGAGTCTCAGAGTTCTTCAGCTGGACAGCAGAAATGTTAACTGGTACTTGGTGCTGGAAAGTTGAACTTGCCTTTCCTTCTTGTTCCACAACTAATTGTGAACGACTTGGCTGAATCTGAGTTTCCAGTGTGCAGGATCCCAGGATTTCCTGTACGACTCCAGTTCCTGCATCTTGCACTTTTGTATTGCCTGCTTGTGCATCTTGCTGGTCAATATGATTGATTATCGGGTGCTGCGCTTGGTGTTTCTCTCCATCAACTTCCAAATCATCTGGCTCAGTTGAAACACTAGTAGTAGCAAGACCTCTCTGAAGGGGCTTACGCATAGAATTTAGCATTGTGTCTTTTGGTGCTTTCTCAGCAACTCGCTCCACACACCTCGCCCCCTTGGGCATCATACTAGGCTCACCTCGCTGGACAGTTACTCTCCGTGCTGACAAGTCTCTTTTCAGCGCTCGTTCCAACACAGGAGACTTCATCTGTGGTTTTGACATGGAGCTCAGCGCATTTTTCTTAATCCGATTTAATTCCTCTGAGATTTTGAACTCTATTTCATGGACCCTGTGTGCGTACTTCCCTTGCTCATCAAATGAAGCTGCTTTTTGCTTGAATACCGTGCGTTTCTGCTCTGGACCTCCACCTTCCACCCTCAGTAGTCCTCTCCCCTCACTGTCCAGCAGATCAGAGAGCGAAGGCCTTCTCCTCACCTCATGTTGTTCCATGTGATCAAAGGACTTGCACTTTCTGAACCCTGGCCACGGCTGTCCATCCACCAGGTCAAAACTTCGCCTCCTCTCTGGAAATGACTCAAAATATTTCACTTTCTCAAAGATTCTGGATCCGGAGCGGGAAGGGGCTGGTGACAGCCGACATGTGCTGTCTTCCATCGCTACATCCGTAGTGAGGTAATCATCTGACCTGGATTTCTTAACTTTTGCTTCAAACTCCTCTGGAACGGTATCTCTGTATTCAACAGGTGTTATGAGTTTCCGGCGTGGAGTCAGTGGAGTGGTCTGTATCTCCCTTACACTGCCCCGGACAGGCTGCTGGGGCTCACTAATGGGAGACGGTCTGGGGCTGGTAGAAGCGGGGCTGGTGTGAGCTGGTCTGGGGCTGATGGGAGCTGGTCTAGAGCTGATAGGAGCGAGGCTGATGGGAGCTGGTCTAGGGATGATGGAAATGGGGTTAATGGGACCTTGTCTGGGGTTGGATGCTGAAGGAAACGAAGATGCTCTCAAGGTTTCTTGCTGCACGCCCTGGTGGTGTTGTGACATGCTGTCCCTCCAGACAGGGTGACTGGAACCTCCAACTACACCAGTCTCAGAAAGGTCTCTGTGAGAGATAGAACAAAACAGATAAACAGGAAATCTTCCTCTTTCTTGGACAGACTCCTCCCTAGGCACTACTATATAAGCTTCCAAATGGGTATATGGCATGTCAAAACAGAGTCAACAGAGGGAAGAGTTGTCTTTTGTAAAACAGCACTAACCTAGCACTGATTGAAGATCACAAGGAGGATATGTCATTTCTGGCACTATGAGGGAGAGACCCTGAGTACGAGGAGTGAGAGAGAAGGAAGGAGAGACAGAGGTGGTGGGAAGAGTCTGAGTGTGAGAGAGGAGGAGAGGCTGAGTGTGAGTGAGAGGAGAGGCTGAGTGTGACAGAGGAGGAGAGTCTGAGTGTGAGAGAGGAGGAGAGGCTGAGTTTGAAGTTGAGTGAGGAGAGGCTGAGTTTGAATGAGGAGAGGCTAAGTGTGAATGAGGAGAGTTTGAGTGTGATAGAAGAGGAGTCTGAGTGTGAGAGGCGAGGCTGAGTGTGAGAGAGGAGAGACTGAGTTTGAATGAGGAGAGGCTGAGTGTGACAGAGGAGTCTGAGTGTGAGAGGGGAGGTCTGAGTGTGAGAGAGGAGGAGTCTGAGAGAAGAGGCTGAGTGTGAATGAGAGGCTGAGTGTGACAGAGGAGGAGAGTCTGAGTGTGAGAGGAGGAGAGGCTGAGTGTGAGCGGAGAGGCTGAGTGTGAGAGGAGAGGCTGAGTGTGAATGAGAGTCTGAGTATGACAGAGGAGGAGAGTCTGAGCGTGAGAGGAGGAGAGGCTGAGTGTGAGCGGAGAGGCTGAGTGTGAGAGAGGAGGACGAGAGGCTGAGTGTGGGTTGGAATCTGTTGAAGATCGGGGACAATCTGGGTTAGTGCCTTTACTGCAACATTAATATCAAACTGACCTGAAGCAGACAATTGGTTATGGGGTGAAGTATGTCCATATCTATTGTTTTGTGGGTCTGTCATGACAGTTAGCATGTAATAAGTGGTGCCCCAGTAAAGGAGCACATCCTAACACATGTCATAAACAAAGCAGTTTCACATGAGCTCAGTGAAGTCATGCAGGAGTCAGAGGAAAGCAAAATATATAAAAAGCTGAATCAGGACTGGAAACCTCAAAGCACTCAATTTCCTGATCTTATTATAACCACCAGAGGAGAGCTGCAGTATCTCCTGTACCAACAATTTTGTCAATAGCCAGCTCCCTGTAGGTCACTATCATCAGGATAATAGGCAGCAGATGATTACAATTCTTTCTGATTGAAGCTCATTTTGTGGACAGATAGAAGATTGATAATATTTAAAGATCTGGACCAATTCTGAAATTGGGCAAGAGTGATAGACACAGTTTACTGTAAACAAATGTAAGGTAATGGAGACCAGAAAAAAACAGTGAATGTCTTAATAACCGGAATTAACAGGGTTGTTTAAGAGAGAGACAAATACACAGTCATAGAAATATTAAAGGATGTGGTGAAAAGGTGGGGCATTGGGATTAAAAGTTCTCGCACAATCTAATAAACTAGTAAAGTAGAACAGGCTGATTGAGCTCCTCCTGTTCCTGCTTTCTTTTTCTTAACAGAGGTACCACTGCCCATAATTGTTAACTCACAAAGCATTCCACTCTGTCCCATGTACCAGGATATAAACTATGAACTAGTAATTTAAGAGGAAGATCAAGAAATTGAGCTCTTTCAGAAGCTAAATTTTCGCCAACATAAAATTTGCAAATAAATTCACCTGATGATGGATGGAGCTGGAGGGAGATTGTGAGGGGCATGTACTTACGCAGGTATTGACAACGCTTTTCCTCTATAGAGGCTGAACATGCTTCCGTATGTATCACTAGCAACAGACAGGCTTTCCTCTGAGCTCCAGCTACTGTACACCGAGTTAGAGTGGGGGGCCGGGATCAGTGGCTCTACCCCCAGGTGTCGGGTCTGCGTGCTCACTGGCTGCTGTGTATCTGCTTGCCTGGGAGATTCTGTGGGGGCCTCCTGAACTAGTCTGATACCGAGTTGCTCCTTCACTACTCCTTGTGAGGTCCCAGTGCTTGGGGTTCCTGCAGTCTCCATCGATGAGTGCTGGCTCCACGACCTATCCGAGTGTGGTGGATGCTCTTGGACTGTCCTTGCAGAAGAAGGTGTGCTGCCTGATGTCATATCCATGAAACTCTCCAATTCACCTTCTCAGGAAAGGAAAAATATCATTGAAACACATCAGGTCTGAGCTCCAAGTCTAGAAGAACTACAGTGAGACAAACACATGGAGACTTAGTTTTCAGCAGTTGCCGGTGAGAACAATATGGGAATGAACAAACCTGCTCGAACCTTAAAAACCTGCCTCCTCCCTCCACTCGGCAAGCACTGGCCTGCTTCACAAACTCTGTCCTGTCCACCTCCTATCGGCAGTCAGGTCTTCAGCCTTTCTGCCCTACCTCTGGAACTCCATCCCAGAGTCCCTTCACCCTCACCCCTTCCATTGCCTTCTCCAAGGTCCATCTCAAGACCTTTCTCTTTGACGGTGCCTTCAGTCATCTTTCCCCTCACCCTTCTTGAATCCAATCCCCAGCTCGGTTGAAACCCCTCAACCATCCAGCAACTTAGGAAGCCCTCCTGACATGAAAGATGCTATAGAAATCCAATTTGTTGTTGAACAAATTCATCTTCCAGAAGATTACAAAAAAGATTTTACTTCAAATGAAGAGGGCAAATCAGTTTGTTTGGGATAGGACTATCAGCACAAATCTAAAGCACAAGCTACATTTGTTTTGGTCAGCCAGGTATCTGACACATGCAGAAACGCATTACCATGCTAAAGGGTATCCAAACCAGACAGAGTTCCACGTCTGTATGCCACCCACACATGGAAATTTCCCTGCGTGTAGAATGGAATGTGCAAACTTTCCCTGGGATGCATCCTGCTTACCTGCTTGTCCCTGAATCTCTCCGTGGTGGCCTTGCCTTCACCTACTATATCGTAAACTCTGGAACTCCTTGCTCCAATCCTTACACCTCATGCCCACCTCCCCATGCCACCTATCTTCAAATCCCACCTTAAGATCTACTTGTTGGACCAAGCCCATCGTCACCTCCTCCTCTCACTTTCAGTATCCAACCCCTCCACTGTGCAGCACTTAAGACATTATCCGTACCATAGGATGCTATTTAAATGCAAATTATTTTTGTTGTATTTCCAGAGAGTATATTAGATGCAGCTTGGCAAGAGAAAAGGCTTTAGAAACCCAGACTGTGTGCTGGATAACTGCTGGAGTTGAATCAGCTAAAACTGCATAGCTTGCCATTGAAAACACTGTCTGACAAGTTTCCCGCTGCTTGTCTAGCTAGATTTATATTAATAATCCTTGTATTTGATATAGTGCCTTATCGTGTGTTCGAGAGGCTCAAAGTGCTTCACAGGACACACTGTGAAGTGAAGTGACTGTGTATTTTGGGGCGAAATGTGGCAGTCAATTGCGCACAGCAGTGTCCCACAATAGCTTGGACAGCGGCAGAGTTGAGAGGGGTGAGGTACAATCTATTTATATCTTATAAAATACAAGGTTACTTTTTTCCCCCAATATAATACCTTGGTCAAAATATTTCAACCATATTTCAACTTAATGGTTTACCCATCCCATTAGTGCTTTGGCTTGTAGGGCTAACAGAAACTGAATGGGAAGAATCCTTGCCCCAGTGACTGGCCTGCCCCTCCAGGTCATACCAACGAGCCAGGCTGGCTGTGCTGTCATCAGGAGTGTCCTGGAGTATGGCGGATGTGCTCTTGGCTCCAAAACAGGACTACAAGACCACCAGAGGATTTTCTTGATTCCGAACTTCTGTTGCTAAATATGTCACCTTGAAGCCAGCTCATCTCCAAAGGGACCCCACTTACCTCCCGCCAGGAGGACAGTCAGTTTAAAATAACTTTATTAGGTACTCGGGAAGCAGTTCAGAGTGCATCTGCTTAGTGGAAATAGCGCTGGTACGTGTCGCGTTGCACTGTGCCCTGTGGTTTAAATTTGGAATCCTCTGTTCTCAAGTCCAGATCTGACTGTGCTCAATTGACTTGAGTTTATTACCGGGCTATTACTTACCCTGCTCAACTGTCTCACCCTCATCTCCATGTACCTACCTGCAGGCACTCTTTGAACAGTCTGTTTCTTTGGTCCCAGAGATTCCCCAAGACCACAGGCTTCTGGGTTTCAAACGTGTCGTCCTCTGCACATTCCTCCGAGTCTGGGTACAAACAAGATTTTTCAGTATTAATAGAAACAGCTAAAGCTGCACATCGCTAGTTGAGATGCTCTGGGATTTACATTGTTGGTTTCCTCAGGAGAAGCCTTACCTTCACTCTCCCCGAGCTGCTTAACAGTGATTTACTCTGAAACTCACACTGACAGGAGTTCACACGCAATTGTGAAGACAAGATCCTCATATGCACAAATGCTATTGAAGGCTGATGGTTACCAACAGACAAACAGAAGCCCTAACTGTAACCAAATTGAGCGATAGGCGTATTCCAAAATGGCAGCATAACCCTGCTGCGATCATTTGCACAGTACCAAGTTTCAGCACCAACATTTGAGGTGTCTTAACACTGAAATTAATATTTTCCGAGACTGCATACATGAACTTCCAGTAGAAGTATCTGGATAGCCATCCAGAACAGGAAATCCAGCTGCAGTTAAATCTGCCACCATATTTGGAATACACCAATATACTGGTGTGCTGGTTTTTCTTTCCCTGTTTTAGACTGAACCAGACTTATTTTAAATTGGTGGATATTTGTGAATGTTCAACACAGATCAATAAATCAAAAGTAAAAAATATTGAGAAGAATCATTTGTCCTCTCCACCAGGACAACAATCATAGGGATAAGGCATTGGATGTTGGTCAGCAGCATGTTCTAGCTTTAAATCAGCTTGCTCTGCAGTGAATATTGGTATCAAATATTGGCCAACAAAACATCAGACTAGATCCGCTTCCCATATGATTTCATGACCAAGTCCCATTTTCCCAGTAAATATCCCCTTACTTTTTCTCCCCAAATTGTAAAATATTTATTTTGCATACCATAGCTCTGCTTCCTGCAGGAGCGGAATACTTCGCTTCCATGTGGCAGTAAGAGAAAGCACATATTATAGAGCGGTTACTAACACAATACAACACATTGCTATGCACATATAACACTGACACATTTGTGTACAACTAGCGGATGGCGCCGCAATAGGGCAACATTCAACTCTGTTTATACAACTACATGCAAGAATAAATACACTGAAAAATTAATGAGTAACACATGGTTATGGGTTCACTGAGTGCAGGAAACAGGCATCTACTTAGCCTGGTAAGCACAGGATGGAGATGTCTTCCTTGTGTTTCAGTCTCCAAATCTCACACCCCCAGTGAGTTCCTGATCTCACTAGGCTATGGGTGGGTGAAGCTGGCCTCTGATCACCAAATGTCTGTTCTTCATCTGTAAACCCAGACAATGAGTCCTGGCAAGGTATTCAACTGTGGGGGTATCACAGCCAAACCCAATCCAGTCTTTCTTGCAACATTTCAGGTTCTATAGGTGACATCCAAATATGGCACCTTCCAGAAGGGGCGTCAGAAGTTTGGCTGATTTTCTCCTCCCTAACCCATAGGCACCGAGGCTTCTCTGACCCCAAGATCAATGAACAACATGGACTGAAGATTACGCAGTTTGTAACCGATTATAAGCCAAAGCAGAAATCAGAGGAGTTCAGAGCAGTATACTTCCAGAGACAGAGAATAGGTTCCCAATAGACAGAAGGCCTTAAGAGACATCGTACTGATCTCCCACAACTCTGTGCGTGACCCAATATCTCTGGCTTGCAGTCAGTCCGCGGGCTTGGCTCCGGGAGTATAGGATGAGAATTAGGTGGGTGTAACGGGTGGTGTAGGTGAGGGAGTTGTTGGGTGTTTGGTGACAGATCTGATGGAGCAGTGTGTGGAGGGGGGGAAACTGTGTAAGGGTGTGTGTTTGTGTGAGAAGAAGAGGCTGTGGGGCTGTGTGTGAGTAGGGTCGGTGTGGGGTGTGTGTGAGTGAGACGCTGTGCATGTGTGTTGGGGGGAGAGGCTGTGTGTGTGCGCATGTGTGTTGGGGAGGAAGCTGTGTGTGTGGGAGGGGAGGCTCTGTGTGTGTGGGGGGGGGGGTGGGGAGGCTGTGTGTGTTTGTGTGTTGGGGGGAGGGCAGGCTGTGTGTGTGGGGGGAGAGGCTGTGTCTGTGTGTGTGAGAGGCTGTGTGTGCGGGGGCGGAGCTGTGTATGTGGGGGGGGGAGGCTGTGTGTCTGTGTGTGGGGGGTGGAGGCTGTGTGTGTTTGGGTGGGGGAAGCTGTGTGTGTGTGTGTGGGAAGACTCTGTGTGTGTGTGGGGGAGGCTGTGTGTGTGGGGGGGTGAGGCTGTGTGTGTGTGGGGGGGAGCTGTGTGTGTGTGGGGGGGGGAGAGGCTGTGTGTGTGTGTGTGTGTGGGAGGCTGTGTGTGTGTGGAGGGGGGGAGGCTGTGTGTGTGTGGAGGGGGGGAGGCTGTGCGTGTGTGAGGGGAGGCTGTGTGTGTGAGAGGGGAAGCTGCGTGTGTGTGGGGTGGGGGGTGGGGGGCTGTGTGTGGGTGGGGGGGGCTGTGTGGGTGGGGAAGCTGTGTGTGGGTAGGGGGGGGGGGTCAGGGCTGTGAGGGTGGGTAAGCTCGGTGCCTGAGGCGGCGGCAGACAGCACATCCCTCCTTAAACCGAGTGCGGAGCTGCTGAGTGGCCGGCCCAAAGGTCTGGGGCAACCGCACAGCGAGCCTGCCCCGGGAGCCGGGCTCCTGGGCTGCCCTGCGGTAAATCAACTAGAGAGGCTGTGACTGACAGGAGGCTCCGCGCCACGGGTTAAACACAGGGCAACGCACCATGAGACAGGCGTCCGAACGTGCGGGTGGAGTGACCGGCTTTCTGGAAGGGAAGAGAAGTAGATTAGTCAGGCACACAGTCTGGCTGTCAGCCCGAGCACTTCCCTTCTCCCCCACTGGAGCTCTCTCCTCTATTCCCATCCCCGCCCCCACCCCCCCCCAATTGGAGCTCTCTCCTCTAATCCCATCCCCAGCCCCCCACCCACTGGAGCTCTCTACTCTAATCCCATCCCCCCACTAGAGCTCTCTACTCCAATCCCATTCCCTGCTCTCCCTCCCCACTGGAGATCTCTACCTAATCCCATTCCCTCTTCTCCTTCCTCCCACCTCCCCATGGAGCTCTCTAATAACATTCACTCCCTGGCACCTCCCTACCTCTCCGATCCACCACCCAGCACCTCCACTCAACTGGCACAGGCCTCCTGCTCATCTCACACACCCTGCGCCCACCATTGGCGGTCACGCTTTCAGCTACTGTGCCCCAAATCTCTGGAACACTCTCCCTCAATCTCTCCGCCTTGCCCCACCTCTCCCCTCTTTCAAGTTCCGCCTGAAAACCTTCCTCTTCGACCATGCTTACGGCCACCTCCCCGGCTCGGAGTCAGCCTCTGCCACTGTTAAGCGCTCTGAGAGGCTACCCTGCAAGGAGGGCGCTGTATAAGCGCAAGTTGTTGTATCCCATCTCCTGCTTCTCTCTCCTCCCCCCACCCCCCATGGAGCTCTGTACTTTTAATACTCCTAGCATGCTTTTATATCCCACAAATGTGCATACATCCCAATGGCAGCCCAAGGGGATTATACCCATTCGTGATTCCCAATAATATCCTGAGTATCTGTGGCTTCACCTTAAGGCCCAGGTTTGAGAAGATTCCTCCCCCTGACTCCCATCCCAGAGTAACAACTCATCACATTGACCCTCCGAGAAGCTGTTTGCCTGCTGCCACCTGTGGCCCTGTACATGAGGACATTTAATTACTGAAATTAGAATTACGGGTAAGATTCATTTTAAATCTGATTGATTTTCACCTGGTGTGCTTACTTGATGTTTAACCAGTCAATAATATGGGTAATGGTATCTCTTCAAATCTAAATAAAAATTGGTGTCCTGACACATTGTGACCATTACCTGCCTTCACTCCCCCGAAAGGGATCGGGATTGTCATATAAAATGGAGGTGTCGATTAGAAGGGGGTGCCACAGGGGATGGGGTAGAATTATCCTGCAGGTGTATGATAATGGTGTCAGACAGGGATGGGATTGGATTACCTGCAGATGCATATATTATGTTGACAGATAATCTGAACATTGAGATATCGCTTGAACTATTGACACAGAAATATGGAAAGAAACATTTGGATAATTTGAAGTGATTTCTAACCAATGTGGAATGACAGCCTGAGCATTGACATGCCTGATACAGCATGAATTTTTAAAATTAATTCAAGGAACCATATTATTAGAGAAGCATTTCTGGTTTGATTTCAATGGAATCCTTCCTGCAACAGATCTTCATAGAATTTAAAAAATGAGAGAAAGTAAACTTTCTTTAAGAAAGGAAACTTGGTAATCCCCTAAAATGTTCAATGTCCTTCCCTCATTGTGGAACAGAAAGGGTTAGCTGTTATTTTATACATTTATTCTAGTGTTTGAGATTTTTGAAGCACTTGATCAAATTTTAGAAACTTTGGAATGAGTCTTTTCTCTAGGTTCCATTCCAATAACTGTCATCACACCAATTTTAGCCCTTAGATATTGATTGCTACACTCGTGATGGTAGCCTCTCATCAGTAACACGATTCTCATAGTTCTGTTCTCAACACATTTATGTTTTTTTCAATTCTTATTCCCCATATTTAGCCATCTTGACCAGCGAATTGGTTTAAAATTGTAGAAATTTACAGCACAGAAGGCCATTCTGTATTTATACAGTCAATTCACTTTTCAGTTTATTCTGTGAAGCGTTTTGAGACGTCTCAAAGACGTGATAATGTGCTATATCAAATGCGAGGAATATTATTATTATTCGGCCCATTGTGCTCTTTCAAAGAGCAATCCTTTCAGTCCCATTTTCCTGCCTTTTCCCCAGACTGCTGCAGTTCACTCCTTTTTAGATATCTATCTAGTTTCCTTTTCAAAGCTAATATTGATTATTCCTCAACCACTACTCTCAGCAGGGCATTCCACATCCTAACCACTCTGTGTGTGAAAAAAATTCACTTAGCTTCCCGAATTTGCCAGCTATCTTAAATTGATGCCCTCTAGTTACTGACTCAC